AGTGTCTGGACTCCAAGGGGGAATATGCCTTATCCGACCTCGGAATCACTGCCTGATTATCCTGCGGCATGATTGAGTGCAATCTCCGGAGACTTTGCACAATTCAGATTTATGCATGTTTAATAAATTATTGTTGAATTATAACGAAGTCTCTACTGATTACAATACTTTAAGTGGCACATAATTTGCACAATGATAAAATTGTGCATGACAGATGACTGTTGTTATTAATGCAGAACATGTCCCTCTCAACGGGATACATCTTTAATATATCGTTAAAAAGGCACCGTGTCAATGTTACTGTACACTGAAAAGTCTCAAATAGATGCAGGAGCACTATGCAGAACAGCTGGTCATCTCCATAAGGCTCCAACCTTATCCTCAGCTCATCTGCGTGGTAAGTCATTAAAGCACTCATTAAGTATCTTGATGAGGATTGACCTAACTGCCCGAGCATAAAGCTCCTCATCACACATGAACACTGTGGATACAACAGTCTTTCAACTTCAACCAAACAAATGAGACCAACTGTTCCGCTCAAAGCCTGTTTCTATTTATCACAACTCACGACCAAATCCGAAACACACAAAGCTTCTTTATTTTAATCCAATGTGTTCAGCCAGAGGAAATATGGGCTCTGATGCAGATGGGAATCTATAACCTAATGTAAATGGCAGGGGACATACGGAGCAGTGAACAACATCTGCACATCAGACTACCTGAAATATGCTGGTTTTGTTTCCATTGGTGTAAACGTATGTTACGAGAAAATACTTTACTCAAGTATGAGTTTTGAGAACAGGCTTTAGTCTGAATTATAGCCTTGGTACGTTGCCTTCGTCACCTATTTCAAAGAGCTGTGTGAGCAGTGTGGTCCCCACCATTTCATCCTCTGTGAACTGCGGGATATCCGGCGTCTCTGTGTGTCTTAAGTGGAGCCAAGCGACGGCTTCTCTGGTTGGAGTTCACAGTTCAGTGCAAAATCACAAATGAAAAGGCATTCTGCATTCCTGCCCAACTCCTTTCTCCCTACCTGAGTCAAAACTCTGTTTTTTTTTCTCCTTTCCGTTCGAATGGGCAGCTCTATTCAGAGCCTCAAGCCACCCACGCCATGCATTTATCTGTAAGTGTGTGCGAGAGCGAGATAGAAGGACGGAGAGGAGAAGACCCTCAGTGTTGTGTGAGGTCAATACGTTTTCTTTGGGCTTTGGCCGTTGCTTTCAATGGGCTAGTTTATGGTCTGCAGTTTGGTATGAAGTGAAAGTCAGGATCAGGGTTAATAATAAGCTCCATCGGTTCTAATCAATATTTCCAAATCAACAATGGCTCAAATGACTGCGTAATGTGAAAGGTCGCTCGTAATGATGAACCTATCCAGCAGCTTTACGGAGCCTCCTTCAGCTCATAGTTTTGGTTTTTATGGCCCTCGACTTCGGTTCGGTCTCATCTCTGCATCTAAAAGCGACTGTGTGATACGCGCTGAATTCAAGTGGATGTGTATAACACGTTTATTTTTTGTTCTCTATACATCAACTTCACTGATCATTGTTAGGGTCCTTATCAACTCATCAGGTCCCCCCCCCTGTCTGTGCTTTTGTTTAGTTGGAGTTTCCAACCGTTGTGTTCCACCTCCGGTCCCGCCCCTCTCTCAATAGCTCAGCTGTGGCTTTTTTTCTACCTCTATAAACTTTGCAAATATTGTAAAAGTGTATTTGTATTCCTTTATCTCTGGGATACGTTAGGGCGAGGATTAGCAGTGGTTTATAAATGAGTATAAAGTGGATGGAGCTTTATATAATACTGTATAATAGTGGGAGTATTTGTGTAACAGCTGTGAGTGTTTTTGCGAGTGTCATGATTTTATTGCGGCTCAAAATGAACTAATACTGGCTGATCACAACAAAGTCAAGTTCACTCATTTGTGGCTGTGTCAGAAAACGAGGACAAACGGCATCAAACGAATGCAAATTCAATTCCAAAAAAACTATTGTTAGTCTTTTGATGATAATTGCCGTCAGTCGATGAATCATTATGTTGCCTTTAAGCATAGCCAACTATGTACGCAAATCCATTCAACTGAACTTCAATTCTGCAGGAATAATTTTCTCCAAATGAAAGTCTACTGCATGTGAGTGCTTTTATAATTGGCTGAGGATACAGGCAATAAAGCACAACATTGTGCTCATTTTCATCCCCAGTCATTTTTCCATAACACAGTTGGTGAACAAGGCATTTTTTCCAAGAATATGTCTTCTAATTTGTGTAATAGAAAATTTAGCATTGATACACATCATTATATTTTAATTCCCTCAACGTGTGTAAATGTGAACTATCATAGAAGCAGAGAGAGGAGAGATGAGTTATTCTTCAGAATACAGTTTTCTATCTGGCTCCTGCGAGCGAGCCTTAGGGGGCCGCTCGTCTCCGCGGACTCTCTCTGTGTGCCAGGCTTCACTGGCTTTAGCAAAAGGAGCAAAACTTATTGGATCATGGGGTCCACCGTCTCTGACTATCGGCGGCTGTGTGTGTGTGCCGGGGTGTGTGTGTGTGTGTGGGTGGGCAGCTTGTGAACCGAGGGTGGAATGGAGTAGTAAAGACACCATGAATTCCCATTTACTCTCGTATTTTACACCCAGGATGTTCAGAGGTTTGAAGTTGAAACGGCCTGTGAAGCAGCCTACTGTAAATGAAGCAGGACCGTCGGAGCTCGTTCTAGTTTCATGTGGGTGTACAACCGGAAGTGTTTTGTCCGCATGGATAAGGATACAGGTTTGGCACACATACTTGTTCAGATGGATTTTCCTCAAGAAAGAGATTCACAAGTGATTTACGGGAACAAAAGACACTGTATTTGCATCCCTGGTGCTTGACTTGACTTCACTTAAAGTATTATTTTTATGTCATCTTTCAATGGTATAGATGAAAAATAGAATTCATGGTCCTACTTTTTTTTTGCTGCAATAGTTCATTCATTCTAGAGGATGAAAGCATAACATAGCAAGCAGGAAGTGAGATTTTGGCACGTTGTGCCCAGCATCCTTTATGCACGCTTTGATGGAGGCTGCCCTTTGATTGGAGAGTAATACCTCCAGTTTCACAGCAAACCAACACCTATAACTGGATGGCGAATGGCAACGCGGTGCCACCCCCTGTACTCCCCATGACATGGTGTAACCATCCAGGACAGGCCATCTGTGAATAACCGCTGATTGTTTTAAAGGAATGAAGAAAATCAATGCCACTGTCGGAGTGGACGTTTAATTGCAAGGACTTCGGGGGGGGTTGGTGAATGTAGCGTGCGGCCCTGAATGTGCCGGCTGAATTCCGCTCACGTTGCTCTTTGAGGGGCTGAGTGACTGCCTCCCTCTGCCAGAAGCGCCATCCTTATCCCAGTGGTGTTCCACCTTAAAAAGATGAATATATGTGCCCAACCGGCTGGCTGACATTGACAAGCCGTGACTCACGCTGTCATGCCAGTTCAGTATAGCTGCTGGCAAGCCTCTCCCCGCCCTGCTTTGGTCATTTGTTGGACTTCTCTGCGCGGCTGTTTACTTGTAATTTGGACATCTGTCAATGTGGTTTCTTTGCTTCCCCGTGGTGTGATCAGGGTACCTTTTGCATAATCTCGGAAGATGGATGTTGATAGGGTCGATTTCTGGCTGCAAAGACAAGGCGGGAGTTTGGCTACCTCTCATCGGCCGGGTTGTGTGGGATAATTAAGAAAGCATTGAGTCTCAAAGGGCTGCTGGGTCAGGGAGGTACAGGCATATTCATCATGCTTGCTCACACTCACTCTCTCTCTCTCTCTCTCTCCTGCGGTCTTCTTGGGGGTCTTTTGTCCCAGTTCTGTCCGTTTGGTCTTGCATTTCCCTGTCAAACAGGGCATTCAGCGCAGCGTGACAGCGTCTTAAACCGCGTCTTAAACCATGGGCAGAACAAGTGGGGCAATTAAATACCTGCCGGTAAAGCAGCTAACCACATAGCTTCACACACCCTGATGTTGGCAGGAAAGCTCAGCCTGCAAACACACGGCGTGGAACACAGGAGGAAATGTGGTGTGGTGCTGCTTTCAGATTGACTCCCTGATCAGGTTTCATCCCGAGTGTTAATGTTTAATTCATCTCTTTAATGAGCGTTAATTAATTATTGGCGGGAGTGCATTTAACCAGCACTTAGGTGTCCTCATGGCAAGTGGTCCATACTCACATCACCTACACTCTAACGTAATCAATACTGATTGATCATTTCGCCGCTCCATCGGACTTCACCGGCAGACTTTACTCCAATTTTTGGGGTCACACTTGCCGCTGTGAGGTTTTGTACTTGAGCTGTACTCCCATTCAAACTATTGTTGATGTCTGTAACGAGCTTGGCCATCTAATAAGGATTTTATTGACTGACTGAAAAGGGAAGCAGCTACACTGCAGTTTGCAGCTGTGTGACCGTCTCGGCAACGAGGAACAAATCGACACGCAGCTCATTGTGTACCGTCTGTCAGAGAGCGTGTGTTTTGATGGGTGTGCCAGGAGGGCGTTTCAGGGAGGGTTGGGCAAAATACAGCAGCATTTCTGTTCAACCACCCTGAAGCAAAACAACATATTAAACATTCTTTGTGAGAAATCAATTTCACTACATCTAAACTACATTACAGCATACAAAAAAACAGATCATATAGACACACAGGGAGTCATGATATACATCATTATGGAACGGCAGGTGATAGATATGTTTACCTTCAAGAAATGCTGCGCAGCAAAATAGTTGTTGAGCGGCACTAAACAGACAGGAAATGATTAATGTCTGGCATGAACTCCTGCACACGAGATTACAAAACAAAACATTCAAATGGGATCTTCTACATCCTATTTCGTTTTGAACTTGTGTATAACGTTGCCAACTTACAAAGAGACATTTCTTATTTTAATGAAATCCATTTGAGGGAGGTTTTAAATGTTCCAGACTGGGAGTGGCCAACCGGTGCCCTATGGACAGAGAGGGTGTGGCCATAGATACTTCTACTGAGTTTCACCTGAGAGTAAATAATCAAGCTGCACTAGTACTGAAGCTCTGACAGCTCTCCAAGGACATACTTTTAATTTGGATTATTCCTGTACTTTAAGGTAAGTCAGAGCATTATTTTTCTCCTTTTAGTTTTCCTTGGTCTGTAATCAATGTGATTATGTGTGTAATCAAGAACAAAACCGAACCTATCTTACCTCTGCTTGTTTTGAATTGAAGAGCAGTAAGTCGACCACTAGCACATGCTTTTTAGGACCAAGAAAAACAGCTGTGTCAGAGAGGTAGAAGGATAATTGAACTAGAGACAAAACAACCCGCATTATAGCAGACGGCCACTGAAAAGAAATTCTTGTAGTTCCTCATTTTACGTGGCGCTTGCTTTCAGGGTTATAATGGAACCTCTATTCGCAGGTATGAGGCTAAAGGTGGCTTTGCTGCTTCTGCTTACTGTCTGGCTGAAAACAGGTGAGTCTAATTTCATGTCTGTGTTTTAGGTTTCAGATGAGTAAGGCCAAATCCTGTTTTTATGAGAAGGTATTCCGATTATAGAAAGCCGAGTGTACATGATCACGTCTTTGTGTGTTTGTGTTGGTGACTCACACAATACACTGGCCAGTATACTGTTGACGATACTTCTCTAATACCACTGAGTAAATTGCCCTGCTGTCAAGCAATGAACTGGATACATGGAATACTATCGCCGGCATGAGATGCTTAACATTCTTAGCTCTTTCTTACATGTATTGCTGTCAAACTGGTGTTTGCAAAGAATGACGTCACCGTCCCCCAGTGGAGGAAATATTCTTGGGCTTCGTTTTGTTTTTGGTACACAAACGATACGGAAGCAGAAGTGACATTGGAATAAATGCGTGCAGAAGACTGAAAGCGGACATATAGAGCACATGCAAAACTCCTAGCTCTTCTAGGCCGAAGATAATGGGCCCATTTTAATATTTCCAGCTCTTTGTGTCAAGTTTCGGGCCTGCCTGTCCACATGGAAAACAAATCTCACCTTGTTCCAAGTATTTTGCCCAAGAGGGATTTGGCAGTATAAGGATTTGACTGACTAATTGAAGCTTTTTTTCAGACTTTTTTGCCATTTACGTGCTTTCATAAATACCTTGTGGCATTTATTCTTCTGAGAGAGAGAGAGAATTGGACTTTCTTGGTCTCCAAAGCTGGTTGGATTCATCAACGCATTTCGTTAAGACATTTAGTGAAGGATAATTACCTGGATGGGAAAAATGGTGATAATGGATTTGCCCAAGATATCTGAGGGGTTGAATGACAACAGTCAAGATAAAAGGCTCGGATCTGTTGAAAAACGCTGCTGCATAATAAATAATCAACATTCATTTCCAATCTTTAAACACCAAGCTGCAGTAATTAAATGAGAGCCGTAAACAGTGTAAAAGCAGGGCGTGTTTACACCCAGAAACAGCTATTAACTGCTACTTGTCAAGTTCATTTTTTCCAGTGAGTTCAGTTTTAATCATCATTTATTCATACTTTTCTGAAAACTAATGAGCGTTGGGAGTTTTCCCACACACACTCTCCCAAAAGTACCTCTATTTTTCTATTCCGACACCCAAATCCTCCTTAGTTTGGCTTAAGAGGCCAATTAGTCTCAGATCACGCCTGCTGCACTTTGAGACTGTTGCCGAGCAAAAGCCCACAGCTCAAAATCCATTATGTTGGAAAAAGATATACGCTGTTGAGAGACCTTTTAGTCCATTGTATGTATGTCCTCTGGGTAGAACACTGTGAAAATCCGACTGAGGCAAATTTGACGTGAGTTCTTTTTTCGACTGATTAGATGTGGCGGAGGCCCTGCAGGTGTCTCCCCCGGGGCCAGAGACCATTCAGAAGGCCGTCGGCGAGAAAGTCAGCCTGGGATGCACCTTCATCTCCGGCCCCGAAGACACGGGAGAGCTGGACGTTGAGTGGTCCAAACTCAACCCGGACATGACACTGAAAGACCAACTGGTAGGTGTTTGTTTGAGGCCACAGAGACGGATGTTGTGGTAAAACCTGTCTGGGAGGTTTGACAAATTAGTACCGTAGAGAGTTCATTTTTTTTTACCTTTTTGAGCTCTGTTGGAGGTGTCTCTGAAACCCACCTTTGCATCCCAGATATTATCGTATACTGGGTCCATGACACACTACTACGGCGATGCCGGGATCACCAAAAGACTCCAGTTCGAAGGGGACCCCAAGAAGGGAGACGCCTCCATCTTTTTCTCTGCTGTGAGAGACTCGGACAAAGGCACCTACATGTGCAAAGTCAAAATGGCGCCGGGCGTCGACGCGAGAAAGGTCTCTCTGGAGGTGTTGGGTGAGGAGGAATTATTCTTTACAAGTTTTACCTGTTTTCTCAGCACTCCCATTGTTGGTTTCACATGCTACTCTCCCTGCTATGGAATGTGGATGCTCCCCGGCTTCTCCTCATGTCTCAACCAGTGAATCACACCTTCCGTCCGTAGCCCTAGATCTTATTGTTCTCCCCCCGTCTCACCTCTGAGCCTCACGCGATGAACCAAAGCATTGATCTGTTTCGTCCTTCACCAGCTCCCCCATCGGTGCCAAAGTGTTGGGTTGAAGGCGGAGAGGAGAAAGGTGGCCCGGTCTCCCTCCGCTGTAAGTCCTATGAAGGAACCATTCCTCTCAGCTACACGTGGAGCAGAGACACTGGAGGTGTAATGCCGCTCACTGCAACCCAAGGTGAGGAAGCATCGTAACAGGCGAAAACCCCTTTTCTGTTCTGCTTCCATCATGTCTTCCTTGTTACTGAGTGCTTTCTTCTTTCATTAAGACCCACAGACTGGGGAGCTGTTAATTAAGAACCATACAGACAGCAACGTTGGGAGTTACGTGTGCGAGGCCAAAAATGCAGTGGGCCAAGCACAGTGCAGATACTCACTGAATGCATACAACCGTAAGTCCGTGTCTAACTTGGCTCTTAGGGAGGCGCACCTGTGTGTTGCATCCTGAAGCCTCTATTTACTGCTGCCTTTCATGCCTTGTCAGACTTGACAGCAGCCTGTGCTCTTTTGCAGCTATCAATAAGGCGGGTGTCATAGCCGGGGCGGTGATCGGCGCTCTCCTGCTGTTGCTCCTCCTCCTGCTTCTCATCTGGCTCCTGATCTGCTGCTGCCACAAGCGGCGCTACGTGAAAGAGGTCGCAAACGAAATAAGGTATGGTGCCCGAGCCGGAGACCATGTCGGAGCACCCTCCGCGGAGCGGTCTGAAACGTGTGTGACGGTTCCGATGGTAACCTGTGATCTGTTCTCCCAAAGGGAGGACGTCCCGGCTCCAGAAAGCAGACCGACCAGCAGGAACTCCAGTTTCCGCTCAGTGTTGGCGTACCGCACCCACCCCGGGGTGCAATACAGCTCGGTGAGGAGCAACGGTGCGTCACAGCCTACCCGGGCGGGGGAAGGCCGTCCTCCCCTCAAATACGACCAGCGATACGGCTACCCTGTGTAGTCCCTCGTTTTATTTTTAGTACACGACAACGCCTTCTGACGGGGGATGTTTTACTTCAAGTAAGAAACTATATATATATATATATATATATATATATATATATATATATATATTAAATTGTAAAGAACTCAATGTAAAGTATGTGTATGAACAATTTTGCTAGTTCAATATATCTACCTGGAGAATAATGGGAGCGTAATCAGATTTCAGGGCCGAGCCCTTGTACAAACAAAGATGTGGATGACTTCCATAGTGCACTGGAGTACATCGTCGCTACTACTACTAATATTATTGTTGCACTGATTTTGCTGAACGTGTGTGTAAAATGTAAATATCAAAAGACAGATTTCTACTGGTGCCTTTTTTTTTTTTTTTTTTTCAAACAATGTATGGACAATAAAACCTTTTTTAACTCCGACGTTGATGAGGAGAGTACCATCTGAATCTCATTCAGGGCTCACGGAGCAGCCACATTTTAGCGCCGTTGGTCCCTCTTTTATGTCTTTATGATATCTGACACAACATAATGCAACAACATTTGGAGCACCTGAGCTCCTAGAACGTATAACCGTCTAAAATTGCTTAATCAAATTAATCTTACCGCGGCATCATGATGAAATTAGGCATGTTATTTTGTCATGGGAAAATTAGATATGAATTCATCAAATTAAATGAAATGTTGTTGTTGGAGGTTCCAAAACACATTGTTATTAATTAAAAAAAATGAATTAGGAGTGCATTGAAAATGAAGATGGTGATCATTTTTGGCCCTTTCTTTGTACGTGGAAAAAAAGGTTATCCAGATATCGGAGTTGGCGATTTGATACCAGTCTGGATTCATTGGTTCTTCAAACCTTTTTTTCCTCATCTAAAATAATTCTGTGATGGTTTGTTTGTGTTTGTTATTTCTGGCTGCATGCACAAGGTCGTCTTGCGGTGAGGTTTATACTGACATTGAGATTATTTGGAGTTAAATTTAAAATAATAGTTTTTCCTTTTAATCATTACAATCTATTGAATTAATTAATTAACTGCACTACTCACTTTGCTGAAAGTTACTCATGTTCAAAGCTGCTTAAAAAAATATTGTTAGGGTTTACTTTTCAACACAGGCCTGTGATTACCTTGGTAGACAATGGGGACTAACAGCACTCATAGACTGTGATGGACAATGATGGAAGTTTGAAAACATTGTGGACCCCAAAGTAGAACAAAATGACACTATTAACACAGTAAACTGAGACCATGAATGCGTCCATTGCCTCAGTGAATGCCGGGGTGGTTCTTAACGCACTTGCCACCCTGCAGGCTATAATGACCTATGACGATCATATTTATTTTTTTAATAAAATGTGTTTCTCACACTCCTGTAACAATAAAAAATTCTCAGTGTGGAGTCATTATATATTAAACCAACTCTGAGAAGAATATTCTTTGGATAAAAGTTTGTCACTGTTGATTTTTTATGCAAATTCTGTGTATAACAAAGACCTATTGTCTGGATTCTTGAAAATAATTTGAATTTAATTGAAAAACAAAAAGGCCATAATTATAGAACAGTATTGACGTGTCTCCTTTTTGTCTTTATATTATTTCATCATGTTTTTTCTATTTTTTTATTATTTATACTTTTTTCCTGTCTATATTTGGTGTTGGCCCCTTGGAAATATAAGTTAGAATGTTATTTTGCTGTTTGTTAGTGACGATTTGTGAAATTGTACCTGTACAGTTAAATAAAAACTAACTATAGAAATGATTTGTTAAGCTAGGTTAAATTCTCCATTCTGTTAAGCTAGTTCTGCTCTCTGTTAGTAACACAGTTGTTTCCATGTAAAGCCACGCTGGTATTTTAATGGGCTTTGTGAAGTGTCTTTAAATAAAGCGTATCAAGTGTTTCAAATTCTCCAAATAGAGTAAACTGATGACCAAAATGACCTCATCCAGGATTTACGAATCAGTCCTCAAAACTGCTTTCAAGGAAACAACGTGGCAGAATGAGTTGGGTTAATTTAGCCTGATATCTGCTTGTTAGCCTGAATTAGTTAAACTACATTTAAAGAACACGGCCAAGGGCTGTTATGTTCAGAACTAATATAGATTTAAATTGTGAGCTGCTCATGAATCAGACTGAAGTTAATTTTGTTTCCGGTCCCCTAATGTGCATTTGCCTCCTGGAATTGTTTTTGAATGCAGAACAAATCGTTGCAAAATTGCCTTTTACGTGTTCTCCCATTTTGGTTCAAGCGGTTGAGCACTTATTCGAGTCGCTGTTGGCTGCGGCGCTTACCTGAAGCCACGCTCAGAATCCGGAGTGAGCACTGCGCCTGCAGCCCTGCTCAGAGTTTATCTTCTCTTCAGAGGTTGACAAGCAGCTCCTGCAGCACCGACCACACAAACACTCCAAACCCGTTTTACGCGCCTGCAGCCTTTGACTGAGTCCCTTGTGTGAAAGTCTATGTACATTTCTTCATCTTTCTGATTACTCAATTTGATTACAAATTTGTAAAGAAACGTTTATCCATGAGAGTAATAAGCTCTCCATGTAAAAGTCTGTGTCTGTGCTTTAATGCATGAACTGGGAAATAGAATAATATATAACAATTACGTGTCTGGCAACCTCACTTAGAAACTAGTTAATCTCTTCTTTTAATAACCAAGAGAGCAGAACGTCTCACAATGTTGGCAGAGCAATTCTTTTCATACTCTTCTTTTATATCCAGATTCTCCATAGAAATTAGCTTTTTCATGCTTTTGTGTATAGTGTCTGTCTTCCAAATTTGGCTTTGTATCATTTTGGATCACTTGTCATGAAAATAACTATTTATTACAGATGTAGCGAAGTCAAAGTTAAGATGTTATTCAACAAGCAAAACCCTGAAAGAGGACCTCTGTCCGTTTTAAATTATGCTAACGTCCTGCGATAACACCAGCAAACAAAAATATAAATGAAATATAAACACTCTTGTTTATATTCGATTCAAACTCGACGTTGAAGTCTTTCTCCAATGTCAGTTGCCTCGACTTTACCAACCACGGTGATATGGTTGTGCGTTAGAAAGGCTCCTGAAGGTGATTCAGCAAGGGGATTTGCTTTTCTTATCAGGTAAATAGGGCTTTGTGTGTGTGTGTGTGTGTGTGTGTGTGTGTGTGTGTGTGTGTGTGTGTGTGTGTGTGTGTGTGTGTGTGTGTGTGTTGTTGTGGTGTGTGTTGCGGGTGTGTGTGCGTGTGTGTGGTTGGTGTTTGTAAATAAGTGGCCGAGCCACAGGATTAACCATTTGCATTGGGAGTCCGGTGGTCTGTGGATTGGCCGCGCTGAGATGCTGTGCTGATTGACATACATTATCCTCGCCGGATATTCACGATGATATCCGTGATATGCAAATACATGCTCACCATTACCTGTGGTTGGACATGATGCAAAACATATTCAATGCTTGGATATAAATCCCTGTCAAGGAACACGTTTGCCAAGACATTCACCTTCCTGGGAGCGTTGTACGACTTCAGGCTATAGGGATAAACAAAATAACACAAAGGACTGTTCTATGGAAGCCAAAGATATTGAGCCAGACGACGTATTGTGAGGACTAACCGGCACTGAGTGGAAGCAGAAAACTCCAGGAAGATTGAGAGTGATGAAAAGCCAAATCCAACCCACGGGAGCTTTGTTTGAGGTAAACATGGATGTTTATTTAACCGTATTTGAACTAACTTTCTCACCTCACCTGCACCTGGCTTTGTTTAGCATACGGCTGCCCGATTTGTAGATTTAACATATATTCTCAACTATAACATCAGCCTATTTGGATATTTTATATGTATTTCAGAAGCTAATTGTGTAAATCTTTTCCACAGGCAAACACCACCAAAGTGAAGTGAATAGCCACCTGGTTTGAAGTGTGTGTGTCTTTTTTTTGTCATCTTGGCATCTGTTTGAGCTGCACACTGTGGAATAACTTCTTGTGATACAGATTGTCGACGTGTTTGCGATAAAGATTATCACTATGTACGTGATGAATAAATCGACCATCTGGGTACTGACTGGCCTGTTGGCCGTCACAACTGTCTTCTTCAATGTTTACATCTTCCTGATGAGCCTGTTGAGCTACAGGCAGAACAAGAAGTGGAGTCCCTGTGAAACCATCATCCTGGCTCTGTCGCTGGCCGACGTCGCCCACCAGCTGGTCTGCTACCTCTGGATGACCATGGATGAGGTGGACAGTAAGTGCCGCATCGCCGACCTGCCCTACGCTGTCATGCTGCTTTTGATCTTCAGCCTCAAGTTCACCATCATGTGGGATACCGGCTTCCTCACTTTCTACTACAGCACCAAGCTGGTCAACGCGCCCAATCACTGCTACACACGGATCCAGGCTGTCATCCTCAAACACGTGAGCTTGGCCGTGTTGCTCATCCCTCTGTGCGCCTTGGGCACCTGTATGCCGATGCTGGTGGTCTTTCAGTCCACCAACGTCACCGATGGGAACAAAGACTGCGGGCTTTTAATGCCCGCCTCCACCGCCGGCATGGTCTACGAAGTCATCTATCTGCTCCTCGCCGATGTGCTGCCAGGGGTGCTCATGGTGAAATGCTGCATCTCCATCTCCGTCCACCTGGCGTTGCATCTCCGCCACATGAAAGCCACCACCAACGGAACCCACGGGCCCAAGCTGGGCTCTCAGATGAGGGTGATCCGGATGGCTCTATCCCTGGTGGCCGTCTTCGTCCTCTTCCTGGTGATAGACCTGTACGTCAACTACCAGATAACGATGAACCACGAGAGCATCCTCACGCTCACCTTCCTGTTCACCTCCGTCTACACAACGGTCACCGCCATGGTGCTGATCTACGGGAAAAAGACTTTCTGGAAAGCGCTGATACACGAGGTCAACGTCTGCCTGGATGAATATCCGTGTTTGTCTTGTTTGAAGGTGCCTGAACATAAAGCTCAAACCGGCACTACTGCAAAAGATTAAACCCCGAGAAGACGATTTGGGCTGAAATCAATTAGTCACTGTCTGAAGTTAAAGCTTTGAAGTATCGTATCATTATATCTGTGTGTGGTTGCAATTACGATCTTAATCATAAATTGCATTTTTTTACATCAATATGGTATTTTAGCTGTGTTAGCGTAGAAGGGTAGAGCTGTACAGAGCAGCCCGGTAACCCGCTTCCACCCAATCACACGCTCATCACACTGTACCTATGAACATTAATATTTTAGTAGAACAAATAAAGGTTAAGCCTGTAAAATGGATCCCCAAGCAGGGTTGCCTGGACGTGATGTAACTCTGCACCCACCTAAAAATGTTTAAAAATATATGGTGACTGTGGTGAGAGTACAGAGCACATTAATAAAACAAGAAAACACACAGTCTGAATTTTTTTCCATCCCAGAGGTTTCGAGAGTTTCCTGAGCCAGGCGGCAGATAGTTTAAGCAGCGCACGGGGAAAACAGGATCCTGCCTTTGACTGGAAGGTTGCCAGTCGAAGCTTCTGCAACAGTTAGGAGAGCGAGAATAAAAAAACGTGAAAAAGCCTGTATCATCGCCACTTTCTCCAGTGTAGCTGTTCATTGGTGCTCAACAGAACTGTACTCGACAACTCCTATGACTGATTGTGTGAGACTGCGAGTGTGTGTGAAGCTGGGCGTTCCAGAAAAGTGCACTCGTGTCCAGCAAATCCACCCTGCGTAAATAGGGTTTAAAAAAAGGCAGCAGACGTCTTTGCAATGGTCCATTAGTTCACGCCCCTTGGCGTAACCTCTTGAGGTTCGCAGTAGAGATACAATGGTGCAGATAATCCCAATCCACATGCAACATTTGGACGCCTCCTGCAGCTAAATGGACAAAATAAGAATAGTATGTCTTCTTTTGCTGCGGGGGGAGTTGAGTCGGCTTCCAGCTCTCTCTGTTGGAGGCACTCGGGTTGACAGGCCCAAAAACAATAAAGTATGATAACATACTGGCCAATATAGATGCAATAATGGGATACAAAACACTCATATCATTCTCTCTCTTTATACTTGCTTTGGGAACGGCAGGGGAAATAGTATTTAGGTCCTTTTCTTAAAGGGGACATATGGCCCTTACACTCAGGTTCATACTTGTACTTTTCTATTATTACATGTTTAAATGCCTTAATTTCTTTTAAAACACTTGTTTTTTTTGTGCCACTGTTCGTCTAGCAACTGTCGCGTTACGCCTTCCCCTTCCTGAAAAGTGCAGCCTGCTCTGATTAGCATGTGAGAACAATGGGGTGCACCTTTGAAAACATAGTTCTCAGGCAGTGTGTGTGTGTGTGTGTGTGTGTGTGTGGGGGGGGGGGGGGGGGGGGGGCCTCAACTCGGGGGCGAACACTCTAAATGAGCCTGCTTGGGATTTAGGGAGAAGCAGGCAAATGTGAATGTCTTGTTTGGCACGTTTTCTGATCCAGTCAGCCCACAAAAACTGACTGGGTTCTCATTCACACACTGTTGAGTTAGTAGGCACTCCAGATATCCCAATTTGTGCACACAAGCACTTTACCTTTATGTAAGACTACTGATTCAACAATGTAAAAAATAGTAAGTAAAGTATCAGGTACTGCTGCAGAAAATTCCCCCCTAATGCCTGAAATATATCTATGCAGTATATATAATATTATATGTACTGTTGCATTTATTTATAAGCACGATTTTGCTATTGCTGGTCTGGTCCAGGTCCAATTTGCAAGTTTAACTAAAGCTCCACCTACAGTAGCTACAAGGTAGTTGAGTTCAAAACATCATGAAATAAAATCTAACCACTTCGGGCTATAAACAATTATCAGATTATAACTATGGGAGACGTTTATTTGGTGGAACTGCTAACTACTCACACGTGTGATTATAAGGGGTTAAAAACTAAAACAGTTGCAAAACACTGATTTAATTATAGAGCATTGTTTTTTTTTGTATCTAAAATTTAAATCTAAAATTGAGCGTGACCATAACAAGGATGTACAAAATAAACAAAATTAGAAAATGATTTATTAATTTTCAACTCAGTTTGAAGCTGGAAAGACACCCGCAATTAACATGAGAAGAAAAATAATGTTTACACCCTTGAATTCTGTGCAACATCAAGCTGTAAACTTGTCTTCAGCATGGCATTTGTTTCCATGGAGATCGAGTCAAACCTGGCAGTTGGAACACTGCTCTCCGTGCATGTGTGAACATCACTTCAAATGCTGGTTGCTCCTGAGACTTGCAAGGAGAGTGATATCCCATCCTTCAAACTTGGACAGGCCATCAGAAATCCAGATTAGCAAAACCAGCACCCATCACTGAACGGCTATAAACACATCATGCACACAGCCTCCCCCAGATGATGCCTTTTTATCTCCTAGTTCAACATGAGCTATAGAGGCTTCAATCTCCTACATATATGGTTGTGTATGAAAATGCATAAATCACCGTTTCCTGGTTTCACCAGTGTCCAAATGAATGTGTCTGTGAGCGCCAAGAGAGCAATCTGTATGCACTTTGTTGAAATGGAGAAGATGCCTTTCTAAAACAATCAATATCCCCAGGAATTGCTGGTCTTTTGATAATTATTTATTTTTGTTCAACAACAGCTTGTTCATAAAAAAGATCCTTATCTCTTGAGGCATTGTTTGTATGAAATGTGTGCTTGTTGTCAAGAAATATGTACCGTACAATGTGAGTCCCTTGTGAAACCATTTCTGATCTAAAAAATAAAATACTAAAAAAATTTCATTTTTCAGGTTTTAGCCCTCTGAAGGCACATATTGTGTCTTTCTATACAAATGTAAGCAGGGCAGAGTAAAGCATGTTGAAATGATACTTTATGCTGCATCAAAAGCTTTTAAGAAATGAATGAATATCAATAATTTACACTGCAATAATGAATTGATCAGAAAGAAAATATGTAGATCAAGACCTGAAATACAAACGTAGTGAACGTCAGAGGCATATATGCTTGTACCATACAGCGTTTAGACCTGTTTGAAATGTTGTGAAGCACTTTTTTTTCTTTTTGCTGGGAATAAGATGAAAAGATCAATAACACTCATGTTTGGACAATAAATAAATAGCTGGTTTAGCGCTTTGTTTAGCGTAAAGACTTGCAACGTATTGCAATGAACAAGATATTGCATGTTCAATAAACTAGTGTTTCCAGTCGATATGCTATGCTAGGCTATGCTAAACTAAGCGACTGTTGACTCCAGCTACCAATTTACAATACAGATGTGAGAGTGCTATCCATCTTCTCTCGGCAACGGAGTGTATTTCCCAAAACGTCTAAAACTATTCCTGTAAGGGAAAATTGACTTCCACTGAACACCAACATCAACGTGATGCAGCTTGGGAGGATCAGTTACAGTGTTCAGCTCATAATAAAAAAGAAAAGAAAAAAATCTTCAACACATTCATTAATGCCATCCAGTGTCTCTAAAACATTGTGGTTTGGGAAAATTGATTTGATCATAATGTTACACACAAAATAATGTTACATTTCAACTAAAAGTTAGATTCTGTACATTGTGTTCCCTGCATTTGATAAAGTTTGAAATGTATCTAACAGCTTCGTCTTATTAAAATATATGGAACACATTGGGGTAAAAATAAGTCATCCAGTGTTCCTTCAGCTCATAGAAGCTAAATTCATTAAGGCTAAATATTAGATTGCAGCATTGGTCATTTGTTTTCCCTGCGAGTGATAAGTCTGTACAACATACTGACTTTTGGAAAAAAGAAAAAAAAGAAAGCAGTAGCACAGCAGTAGCGTCTTACGATAATAATGCCTCATACAAAATAATCTTCCTTGTGGCTTAAAAACTAAACAGCTAAAACTTGAGAACAAAAGGACTAGGACTTGGAAGAATTAGCGACTTGCCTCAGAAAGATTTCTTCTTCCCTGCAAATCTTGCATACATCCCACATGGATGATCCTGCATCTGTGGCTTTTTCAGAATGCCGAGTATGAAGCTGCACTTCTCATCACAGCAACATCAGAAAATAAGCAGACCTTTGAAGCTGTACACTTAGTGGGGGGTGTGATCATATGTGGGGAGCATCGACTTCCGAGTTTTCGGAGGCGGAGGAGGAGGCTTGCTCTCAATTTTCATCGGTAGTGGAGGAGTAAACTGCGGGGAAAGAAAAAGTTCATGTTGGGACAGAAGGATAAAAACAGAATATTTGAACGTTTACAGATCGTTAAATATGCATTGGCAGGGGGGTGTTATTTTCTCCAAGGAGATGTACCTCTGTCAAGAACCCTGGGTTGTCAATCTCGTGCGGGTGTTTCTTCGGAGGCATGGGTGGGGGGGTCCCTGGGGTGTCTGTGGTATCGACGCCGTTGTCACTGAGAAGCGAGGAATAACCTACCATGGGAGGGAAGAAACAAATGCATTTCATACCGCATGCATCTGTAAATATGCCTATTCGCGTGTGTCTGTGTCTGACCTGATTATGGCTACAGACAAAATTTTTGGTATTCCGTGTGCAAGGCGTGTTTTTAAGTTACACTAAAATGATGGCCTGCAGTGAGCACTTGTTTTTGTGCTACGTACTGGAGCTGCGGGGTGTGCGAGGTGCGTGTGGAGAGTCCGGCAGCGGGCTGAGAGGGTTCGACGAGCTGAGCTGGGACGAACCACCATGGAACAGGGAGAGGGTAAGCCGCCGGTCCCCCAGTTGTAAACTCTTGGGTCTCTGTTGCTTCTCTGAAGGAGTCTGGGAAATAACAATGGAAAGCAAAGATAGCAGGTTTTTGTGAAATTGTCGGATAGTTTTTGGGAAGGAACGAATCCCAATTCACAACTGAGTAACAGCAACTCAATATTCGGAGGATATGGTTTTGTAAACAACCTTATAAAACAACCTGAGGGGGGGGGTGTGCTGTCACAGAAAGGAAAATAGCAAATATAGCATATATATATATATATATATATATATATATATATATATGTTTATGTTTATACAAATATCATCTGGACAGGAGGACTTACCTCGTCTGCATCTGACTGCCTCTCCAGTAGGACCTGGGATTTGCTGACGCTCCATTCCTTCCGGTTCTTTCTACCAATCCTGTTGTCTTCCTCCGAGCGGGACAAAACGGAGGCCCTCCGATCGCCGGGGCGGGACAATAAGGAGCTGCTCGTGAATAATCGGGCGCAGGGAGAAAATACAATAATCAAGTCATTTTGATTTGGTTTTTAAAGAAGCCAGTCCGTGTTTTGCGATGGAGACACCAGGGCAGCGGGGAAGATCAAGGGGAGGACGCGTGGGACTGACTCTTGGGAGGAGATGCAGGAGGGTCCGTCTGAGGATGCGGAGCCGCTGGAGAGACCCGAGGAGGCGTTGGAGAGGGTCGAGATAGTAGACATGCGACGCAGGGTGGAGGACAGGATGTAGGGCATCACTGCGGAGCCCACGCGACTCTTCTTCCTCTCCGTGAGAGAGCAGGGCTGGAACGCACAAATGGGATTAAGCGTCAGCGGGGAATCTTGGCAGAAGGAGGAGCACAATGACAGGCCAAACTTGGGTCGCGATGGATGGGTTAAAGGAAGATTTATGCGCCCCGCGCACACTCTGCTTTGAATGAGAAGCGATTGATAGGAAGGCAAGAGGGCCGATAGCCTAAGTTGGCACCCTCTTACAATAAATTGAGTTTGCGTCTGGCAACGCACCAAGGTTATGACGCCGTAATGCTTCTCCACTTTCTCCCGAAGGTCTCGAAAGCAAGTAACCAGGCGGTTGTGCAAGGGCTTCAGCTGCTCGGTCGTCTTCTCCCCGTGGATGCGAATCCCATCTGCCAAGAGAGGGATCTAGAGGGGAGGACGGGCACTTTAGTAAAGCAAAACATGTTCCGCTTTGAGGCCAGTGTCAATGACAATGATGGCGGAAGGATTTACCTGCAGGGCGATGAGCTGTTTAAGGACGTCAATGCGTTCGTTATCCTCTGGGTGCTCTTGGATGTAGGTCTCTGTGAAGAATGCCTGAAGAGGATGAAAACGGGATATAAATTGGGAAACTGTCGTATCGTAAAGAACACAACTTTGTAGCTTGACGCCAGCAAGAATAAACTTGCATGTACTTTACAGTTCTGTGATTGTTATTTGTTAGTGTATTTTGGCGATGTTTGGCAAACCTTCTCATAGTTGGAGAAGCCGCCCATGACAGCAGGGTCGACGATGCCGCTGAGCATCATGGACAGCGGGTTGATGGATAACGAGAGATCGCATGCTTGCTGTTGCACGAGGTTACTCAGCTTCTCATTGGCCATCTCCATGGTCTCTATGGCGTTCGCCAAAGGACTGATCTCCTCCTGCACATCGGGAGAATAATGAATTATAAAACAATCCTTAACAAACAACACAGTTTAAGCATCAAGTTGGATCCTTACCACTGAGACAGATTTGATTTCAAACCATTTCAGAATCCCTGGGAAGCGATAGGCTGTAATGTACGTCGTTCTCTCGATCCACATGGTCTGTAGGGCAGAATAAAAAACAACAAACAAGAATAAGGTAAACACAGACACAATATTTTGTGTTCTTACACATAGTACCACTTAAGTACTAATTAGTACGTAAAAATTGCTCACAGCAAATTCATTGTCTGGATCCTTTTTCCCTTTCCTGAAGGGCCTGGAATACTTGAACTGATCCACTTCATTGGTTCTGTAATAGCTGCACAAGAACAGGGACATAGCGGTGAGATGGCAGTTTGAATCCTAAGATAGTCAAAAGAAGTCAAATCAACATTTAAGTGTTCATTTACGCACTTTAATATCTGTTCTGGAACCCCCTTGTCTTTAAACTGGAGCGGCACGGTGAGAACGGGCTTGACAGTAAAGCACTGGATGTCTGTGAGATTCAGCTAAGGAAAAGACCAGGAGCAGTGTGGAGAAGCAGATCAAGCAAAGTTGCTTCCATTGGGATCATATTGTTGAATGGGAAGTTGTAAAACAAGTTTCCGGCCATTCTAGCAGCTCTGTCACTCTTTACTTAGTACACAGTCGGGAATAATGTTGGCTTCAGCATGCAAACTCACAATGAAAATGTTAGCATGCTGATCTTTAGCCAGTTTTAGGTTTTTTTTTTTAATTATCAGACATAAAACATTGATCTGATGATCATGGCACCAGATGAAAAGTTAGGTATTTGGGAGGAGAATGAGTGTATCCAATTCTATTCATGACAACACATCCAATAGCTGTCGAGATATTGCACATTAAAAAATAACCCCGCTGCATTCCCTTGAGCTGTGCTGTTCCCATAGCTTGATAAACAAATAGTCTCAGTGTGGCTTTGTATATTTATATATGGATACATTGCCCGGAGGAGTTGCTGATGTCATCTCCAGGGGGCGCTGTGCTGGTCATCCTCACTGCGTTGGGGAACTGAGAGAGCAGCTTTAAGCTGAAGTCTTCGAGCCACTCGTACTCTTTGCCTCGGTAGATGAACATCTTGTTCTGTAGCAGAACATTTCAGTGAGCACAAAAGCTACAATTACAATCAAAGTTACTTTCCATATTATGTGAGAGGAGTGCTTACACAGCACCCCGACGGGACTGCAAGTTTTCTTGTGGCATCAAAAGGCCAATCAGCTTAATTGACATCATTGCACATGGCATGTTTTCAAAAAAGGCAGATCATTACATGTGCAGGTGTTTATTTATTGAAATAGGTAATCATTTCCTCACCCTGAGGAAAGAAGGGAATCCAAGGCCATAATATCCCACAGCAAAGTACTCTGGCTGTGGCCGCATTGTATGCATTATATTTTCATAGAACTGGGCTTGCTTTTTCTGTGAGAGAACAAAGAAGAGGGTAAGACTGAAGTTGATACACACCGTCCTCCTAATGATTGCCAAAAGCACATATATCAAATGGATTTCAATAACTTCTTTAAAAGTGAATGTGGTCACTGTCTTTTTTTCAGTAATTATGAGAAAAGATTATTACAGCCCCATCAGATTAGATTTTAAGATACCTTATAAGTAAATTCTTCATAATAAATATTTTTTCTATTTTTTTCTCTCCATCTCAACAAAGGGCATTCAGCCTTGTAAACAATCCATGTCCACTACAACTTATTCAGATCATTTCTACATTTTGGCTTTCAAAATAAAATCATTTTGGTTGTTTTCATATCAGTGTAAACAGCATCCTTTTTTCAGAGGCTTTAGGAGCATTTGTGAGACTCAATTCCAATTCACACGTCCACTTACCAGCAGCTGGCTTAGCTCCATGAAGTCAAACATGTGACACTCATGCATCTTGGCCAACTGCTTGCCCAGCTCAATGGCCTTCTCCCACATCTGAAAAGACATGTGCATTGCTCATTCGAAAGGAGACAGAAAAACAAAAACACGGGAGCACAAGCCTCACTTTGCCATCTGGCTCCCACGGCTGTCCTCAGTGAAACCCTCGCCTCTCTAACGCGGCCAGTGAGACATTTTAATACTGACACAACACAGAGCTTAAGCAACTTCCCCACCCGTTTCACAATGCTAACTACCATGGCAGACGGAGGCATTATCCAAAATAAAGAAAAGGCCATCCGACAGTTCATGCGCGATGCATTTCATACTGACCTTGCCCTTGTCCAGATAACATATGATCTCCTGGATGAGCCTCTCCTTCAGCTCCTGTTGGGTCCACACATGCTTCCCGTCTCCGGGTATCAGATGAGGTGCGCAGGGTTTGTCGGACCACTGGGGTAAACAGATTACCATGAAGTGACATTCAGGTGAACATAAAGGAGCAGGTGGTACAAGTACTTAAATAGCTCAAACATAGAAAAAGGATCTCTATGCGGCAAGAAAGACACGGATGTGTCAGAGACCTCCAGTAATTCAGCATGGAGTAGCAGAGTGTAGGACGCCTCCGTGTAGTTCTCACAGTCCAGGTGCAAATCTCGCAGCTTGTACAGGTACCTGGTTACAAGAGCACGTGAGTGAGACACAGTGAGCCCTTTGGTCCAGGGACAAGATGCTCCGTGTCTCTTCCTAACTCACCGGATGTAAATGTCTTCCCTCTTTTTTTCTTTGTAGAAATTCTACGAGAGAAAAATATCTGAAAATGCATGCTGCTGAAAACATTTTCTCTTTAGAAATCGCCTTTGTGCACGTGCACAAACAGCGTAAATAGAGGCACGGGGCATACCAGCACGTTGACGGTGCAGCTCATGCGGTACTCGGGGCTTTCGTCATGTGTGATGGTGCGGTACGCCAGCAGATTCTCCAGCAGGCTGCTGAGCAGCAGAGCCAGCTCCTCTCCGGACTGTGACAGGTACCTGTGCCGTCTGCAGTGTTCCAGCAGCCTGCACATACAAGAAAAAAGAGTTAGTCAAACTGAAGCTGTGAAGGACTAGTTTGAGTTAATTAATTGTTCAAAGCCCGCCATTCCTCCTGATTAGCACAATCAAATACATATTTTAGATAGAGTTGTCTATTGAATAGAGGTTGCTTGCTATTCTAACTGAATGTCTTGCCCTTTATGCCTCCTGGAGGACTTTTTGAAAAACACAATAACAATCTTTGCTGTATTAGGAAGCTCTGAGACCGATTTCTGATGTGTTGTACTAAATAAAGGGGATGGCTCATGGTGTTTGAAGTGAGTTAGGGTTAGTATGAATTACTCATTCTGTGTTTTTCCTAGAGTAGATAGAGTCTGGCACAAAAACAAAGCATTATATTATATATTAAACCATATACAATATGTTTCTAGGTGTTTAAAGTAGGATGCTGCCCCTCTACACGGTGGTGCATTGCATAGTTTCCTTGCCAGTACTCCTGTCAGCCTTTCCAAACAGGGAGCACAGAGGTCGTAATCTACTGTAGGTGATATACTGCCTACAGTACAGAAATATATAACACAACCCCACTATAAAAAAAAATCTTATATACTCTTTAAGAGAACTCTCTATTCCGCCTCACGTTTTCTCCAGCAAGACTTTGTACTGCTCATCCCCTCGGCCTCCTTCCACCTCCTGGTCCAATTTGGTTATCAGTTCGTTCTCAAACTGAAAAGATAATTGGGAAATTAAAAAAAGAAAAATCATAATACAGATTGCATATGGTGACACTCAACGGAGAGCAGCTCCAGTTGAACTTAAAATTGTAACGCAGCTTTTTACCGTTTCAAACGTGCGTCCGGGGCTGACGTGGTGCTCACACTGCATCATATCAAAGAAGATGGGGATGGTGGCTTTCCTCAGTTCTGGCTCCGGCACCAGAGTGACCTCCAGAATTGGCCCGACCATCGCTGGGATGAACTTCATTTTGTGAGGGCCTGAGGGACAACAGATGATTATCACACGAATATATCAAAGTGTGATTGGAGAATCACAATCACACTTTGATACGCTCCATCTTCATTTCTAAATAAACAAAGGACGAATCTAATAATGTGGCAGACAAAAATGCAACACACTGTGAAACCGGATAATACAAAATATTATCTTGTTATTCCCCTTATTGTCCCGCATTACTGGCAGCTACTGAATAAACAACCCTAAGATAATAGCAGCATTATCACAAAATACTCACCGAGATTGTACCACATATCTCTGATCTTAAACCCAATAGTCTTCCTCATGTCTCCATATCTGTGACAAATTCAAATTAGAGTTTAAGTTAGATCAACTTTTCTCTAATTAAATAACCTTTTTGATGAATTGTAGATGATCTCACTTGTTCAGTATCTTATTTCGTTTCTCTTGAGAGAAGGATCCCAGCTGCAGTGTCTTGTGGGTGAGGAACGCTACCGTCAAATGAAAGTAGTTATTCCAAAGCTGCGAGGGAGAGCAGGGTTTTCAAATATTAATACCATAATTACCTTCTCATAACAGCAGCTTTTGATTTTGTGGTAAATAGGAAATGTAACCTCTACCCAGGCGGGGGAGAACAAAGACACACCTCCAGTTCAAAATGTGCCTGGTCCAAAAAATACATGTTGAGGACGTCCGAGTATTGTTCGATGGCCCTCAGGAAGACCTTCATCTGCACAAGGTTCATGATCATCCAGTCAGCGGGGAAAACGTCTCCCATGAGGTCCTTAAACATGAGGAATGTCTCCATGAGGAAGTCCTGAGGGCAGCACAGGAAAAAAAGAAGACCTTTACTGCCTCAGTGCGTGCACGCTGCCGCCTTATCCAAACTACGCGGGTCCAAAGCACTGCTGCTCCGTGAAAGGCATGCAGGATTTTCCCACAGCATAACGGAGACCCACAGACATCCCCATCATGTCAGTCCTATCCATTAATGAAATGCCTATAATCAACATCCCCTTAAGGAGCAGTAAGTGGCCTGGGTGGTTTTATGTCCGTTATTGATGAGATGTTTCAGGACAAGATGTGGCCGCCAGGGGACGAACCAAGACACTTACAATGATATCCTGTCTCGTCTTGAAGGTGCTGATGTAGTGGGCGTAATGCATGTCATCCATCTGCTTCAGGATGGCCGTCATGCAGGCGAGATAGTGGCCCTGCAGGGAGAGAGGTCAACTATCACTCACAGGATATCACACGTTCCTTGTTGTTTTTCTGTTACTGATGCGAACTTCTGAGGACGCAGCCGTCAAGGACATATTCCAGCTGTAACACAGAGTTGTGTCTTACGATGAGAGGGGAGGATCTGTCCATGCTGATGACGGTGCGATTGACCCTGCGGAGCAGCCGCTCCATGATCAGCTGAACGTGCCCTCTGGTTGGACCCTGAACAGACGGAACGGCCTCAGGCACGATTTCAAGCACAGTTGAAACCCAGTGACACAGATATGCTACAAAGTGTTGTCAGTATCATCGGGTGAGTTCAATCACATTACTGCCCCCCCCAAAAAAGGAGTAGCTGGGGAATTCCTTGTGAAAGCACAACAAACTAAATTCCTTTCAAATCCATTGGTGGTAGCAAAAATCACTGAGACATATATTTATACAATCAAGCATATATAACCAAGCACGACTAAACAAGCCAACGATTCCTCCATTTTAAACTGTTTAGCAGCAAGCTTAAATAGCCCAAGCGGGGCAGCCCAGATGTTCCCCTGTAGCTTTGTCCTTCAGCTCCACCATGGGGACAACTTGGTGCCACCAGCCCAGATGGGATACGTAATTCCTCCAGCATGCTCCAGGTCTGCCCTGGGGCGTCCTTCCAGTTGGATTGGCCCAGGAAACCTCTAAAGAGAGGCCTAAATCACCACTATTGGTTGTTTTTCATGCACAACGGCAGCAATCTTACTCTGAGGGCTGAGCTTTCTACCTCAGTCACGGTGAGCTCAGCCACCCTGTGGAGGAAACTCATTTTTGCTACTTATACTCGCAATGTCAAGCTCGCTAGAGGTAAAGTGACATTTTGACTCCTCACCACGTCCTTGCGATCCAAGTTGTCCAACACTGTGCTGAGCAGCTGGGCACAGGCCTCGTGGTCTGGTTTACTGGAGCGGTCGTCCAGCTGCCCGCTCAACTGGTCAGTGACAAGTGGGAGAAGCCCATCTCGACAATCTGCAGCACCGGAGCAAAGACAGAACTGTTCTATTTGGATCACGCAGCAAATGTCAATTCTTTTGGAGCTGATCAGACAAACTTATATGCAGGTGTAATGCACAACTTTTTTTCCTCCTGCTTCGTCTTGTGTGAAATGTCATTATGTGGTTTTCAGGCCTCAAGGACTCCTACCTGGCTGCCTGAAAAGGTCACTCTCCACCATTTTACACATGCAGCCCAGCTTCTGACGCACAAGCTGCAAGTCAGGAATGCTCTCGATGAACTTTGCGAGTAGAACGCTGATGAGAGAACGAAAGAAAGCCAAAATAGCAGTTGTGACTGTTTGAATCCTATTTCACATCTAGGGATTATTATCGCGGTGAACTAATGAGCAGCACAAATGACAGGTTGATTTCACAACAGCAAGAATCGAGAATAATGCCTCCTTTACTCAGAAGTAAATATGATAATTTGCACTCAGTCAGGCAATTATCATTTCTTGCTGTGAAAGACGTCTGGAGAGTTACCTGAGCTCCACGGGATCAAACACAGTCTGGATGTCATTGATGATGCTGGGGAGGTATTTCAATATTGCTCCCTGAAAAGGTAAAGAATCAGGTCTCGTCAGACTGAAGCACAGGAATGTTTTTTTCATTTTAGTAAAACAAATTTTCCACCAGAGCTTTTCTTCAGCTGGAAACAGGGATCCCACGCTTAATTTAAAAGGTAGTTTGTAAAACCTTAAAAATAACTTTAAAAGTAACACATTTTCACAGCAGCACTACCAACGTAATTTACAATGTTCAGACTGACCTGCTTCACTTTACTTTTATATACAAGCTACACAATTTCCACATCCATTTCACTTGTAAAAAATAAAATAAACACAGATTCTGGGCACACGCTTTCAACTTGCCTTTATCTTCACTCCCTCGTCCAGCGGTCTGTCCATTAGAGTGTTGAAAGACAGGAAAAGTGTGCGAATGGAGTTGAAGAAAGCGTCCCCATCCTCGCTGTTCCCGTAGAATCTGAGAAGGAAGGCCGTGCATTGCATCAAAGGAAATCACTCTTGCAACATGAGAGGGAAAGGGGATTGTTTTGTATGGAGCGCCTCGGATACCTGAGGTAGAGGACCCGGGACTTCACAATAAACCTGAACAGGTACTTAAGAGCTTTGAGGGCTGCATAGAGCCTCTCGGCCAGAGCAGGCTCCTCGGCGTGGCCCACGTAGTGGTTAAGCACCTTCGTCAGCTTCCTGTGAAAGTGAGTGAGTCAGGCGTCAAAGTCTGCAGGTAATTTGGGTGTGGGTGTAGAAGAACAGCTAAAGGCCCACTAAAAATAAACAGTGTGAACGATGGAAGCAGGGAAATACAGAATGAAGCCTCACATGTAGGCCAAAGTGGCACTGAAGTGCTTGTTGATGTAAGTTTCCAGGACCGGATTGAAGTGCTGGAATTTTATATCTCCAATAAGTGTGATTATGAAAACCTGGTTATAGACAAGAGGAGAAAACCAAATCAGTCCAAGTTGATGAAAAAAACATTCTGAATATCAGTTAATCCCAACCACACTTTATCACATAAGTATAATTTATATGGGTAAACTATTATAATATCAAACCCTACTATATAAGGTCAGCTTTTGTTCAGCAATTGTCTGTTTAAACCAGAAAAGAAATTGTTGGCATGGCATGTTGTCTGACCTGTCCTTAACACATATACACTCAAAAAAATCCACAAAACCTTCGGCCTGACGAAGAAAATACTAACCAAGGCATCAAACACCAGAGAATCATAGGTGTCCTTTTCTGAGGTCTCCATCATGATGTTGAACAAGGCATCCAGAGTGTCTTGGAGAAACTGTGCATGAAAAAGAAAGATGTTATGAAAGTGCCATTAAAACTAAATATACAAAATACATCAGTGCATTACTTATTCAGTGCAGCAGAACTCACTTTGACAATCTCCGCTCCCTCGACTTCCATCAGCCTCTGCAGAATCTGGCCCAGGTCTTCAGGGTTAGACCGCCAGTTCAACAGCCCGAGTAAATCCACTGGGGTGGGGAGATACACATTCAGTAGGGGCTCTGTTCCAACATCAGTTACACTATTTCACTATAAACCTAATTAGATCTAAATCCATCATTGTCCAGGCCTCGGCAGTTTATTAACCACAATAATCAGCTTAATTTGTTTCAAGGAAATCTATGTGGAGGGAATGAAGGGGGCACTGAACCCCCGTACGTATGAATGGCTCCTCGTGGTACCGTTCTGGGTGAGTTTAGTGGAGCAGGTGAGTGTGGCAATCTGGAAGGTGTCTTTAGTCACAGGAATCACTCCTGAATGGTGGAACGGCTTCCCCGTCTGCTTCTCCTTTTCCTCCACCTCGGCCCAGGTTGCTGGCAAGGTGAGGTAAACCTTCGCATCCTCTGTCTTTTTCACATCAACCTAAGAAATTCATAAAATGGGGAATGACTCATGAAGCATATTGATCGGTGGAGATCTAATTTCATATTTATTGATTGGGGAGAGATTTGTGCATAATCCATCCACCCACTGTCACTATTCAAGACACCCGTTTTTATGTTATCAGATCAAAACCATCTCATGCCTATTTTGAAGATGGGCGCAGTGAATCAAATTTTATACAAACCCATAAAGCTGCAGCAGTACCTTATAGACGATAAGTTCATGCCTGCCATCTTTTAGCGTGGTCCCGTCTCTTCTCATGAGCCGGTCGAAGGCCATCCCGAAGGGCTTCTCTGATTTGTCCCGAGCTGGAGGACACAGCGGAGCATACGATGGGACAGCCGACAGTATCTGTGTTTAACATGATGGCAGGATCACACACACACACACAGGTGTTTTCACACCATTAGGAGAAAGTCACTCACAGTCCTGGGAGGATCTGTGTCGGAACAACACCCTCAGGTGACAGCGGCAGACGTCTTCGATGGGGATCGTCACCTTGCAGGACAGAGAGAGAAAGGTCATTCAATGTAAATACAGGATTATGTACAGGGAAGCAATCTGGTCTCATTTGTATGAGTAGCACATCCTGAGCCAATTTCTTTCCTGGATGAATTCATTGAAGAACTAATTAAAGAACATACAGCGTTTCCCCTGTGGTTGTAATCGGGGTCAGGCCCCCACCCTGAAATTACCCCCTCCCCCCCACACACACTTGTGAAAAAATATATAATAATATATATATAATAATATATATATATATATATATATGTATAAACTTCTACCCCCCCCCCCCCCCCTCCTCCTGAAGCTGTTAACAGAGGGGCAACAGTGACATGATATACCATGGTAAAGGCACTGGGCTGTACATGTGGATCCTTACGCTTACCTTCACCGTTTCATTCCAACACGGCTGCTTCACCTGGTAGTAAATCACAGACTTGTACTCTGTGATGCCATCATAACCGGCCCCAGGAAATATCACTTTCTATGGAAACACCACAAAGGGTATTGTTTGAATGAGAGGAACTAAAGCACTCAATAGAAGGAACAGCTTAAGCTTGTGTCATGAGTTTGGCGGGTATGTGGTTGTAATCAAAAGAAAAATAGATGTGTGGCAAAATGTCCACACAGTGACGGCGCAAAAAGGAAAAGGTGAGGTGATAACCAAAGTCAGGAGGATTTTTGATCTGGAGGCCATCAATGTCTTCACAAAACATCATGGGACAAAATTTGTGGAACCACAATGTTGTGCTAAAAGTAACAGCATTTAGAACAGAATTACAAGCTGAGTTGTTATAAGCTGATGGTTTCACGGATAGTCCCAAAGGGGATAATTAGAAATAAACGAAGATGAGATGATGCGTTTACGGCTCTATTTTACCTCCATGGGATTGCCTTCATCATCGTGCACACTCAGTATGACCTCCACATTTTTCGGGGTCTTCTTTTTACCGCGGTCAAACTCTCCCTGGAGCAATGTTACGTAAATATCATTCCTCACGATTCCTGGGGAAAGGACAACAACAGATGATCAGGAGGATGCGGCGAGAATTTATAAAAACTCGCCGTGGCGTAAGAAATTCAAATGAACACGACCACGTTGTCTGTCGAGCAATGCCAGATTTAAATCCACCTGGGAGGATGATTTCCGGAAAGCCCATTTTCCTGACGATAGCAGTGCTGCGGTCAACTAAGTGGGGGTAGTCCTTCCTGACTTGGGCAAGGTCCCCTGCGAGGAGCTTCAGGGTCACAAACAGCCCTGGCAGCAAACATGTAAATAAATTCAATGAGGCAAACACCAAAAGGACCCTCTGCAGACTTCTCACACATCATCTGTTCCGTCGAATCAGAGCGGTGGATTTAGAGCGCCCTCTGATGTGACAGTGGAACACGCTGTGTGTGTGAGCACTCCGTTTTACCCTGGCCTTTGTGATTGACCTCCCGCGTCGTGATGACTTTGTTGAAGACAGCCGTGAGTGGCTCGTTCTCCCCTATGACTCGAGACGGGATGAGCGGAGACATGATGAGCTGCCGCTGACGGATGTAGGTTTCCATGGCTATCCTGAGGAGAAGGCACCATGACAGGGATGGGGTGACAAAACAAATGGACAGAAGAGCAACAAAGGCAGCGTGAGGCTTTTGTGGATCTCCATCATTTTCCCTCTGCACATTCTACTTATTTCAAGAGGCAACATTTGTGCAAAGTAACACAGTGCAAATGTTTTTGACTTATGAGTTACATGTTATGACGGCTTTTTGCTAATTGCCAATTAAGTCAGTATTAAACTGTGAATTGATGTGGCTGGCAGCAGTTTTTCAGCTGTCAAAGGGAGAGTTCTGTCGAAATTTGACTTTCACAGTGTTCATTGGAACATTTATTTACGGTGTTTTTGATCATACAGTACGTTTTTCTCAGTGGCAAAATGAATATATATTAAGTTATTGAGGCTGGAGACATTATTGGGGAACACACTTGGACAATGAGACATTTCTTGAAGTGCAGAGAACTGCATGTCCTGGAAACGTTTTGTCACTGTTACTCAGGAAACACCAAATAAAAACCATGCTTCAGTCTGGAATCGTATATTAGCTCTCAAGGTACAAAATGCTTCTGTGTTCCAGGTTGGGAAAATGTCATAAAAAGGTATGAGTCCTGATAACTATTTTATCCCACAAAAAACATTTGTTCTTTACAACTTCAAGAAGACACAGTGCACTTTGACACACGGAGGAAAGACAAACGGAGGTAAAACAGTTGGAACGTTTGGTTTAGATGTACAGAATCAGCCAAGATATTTTTGGTGCTCTTCCATCTTAGGACCCCATCAGACCACACACCCTTTTTGCAGGTGATAGGAAAACGGCTTTGAGGAGAGCTAAGAGGTGTGTTTTCTCATATTTGTCCTTGAAAATTTCAACTGCATCTTTGAAAAATATGTAAAGCAGTATGAAAACACAACTCAGGTCGTGTTCCACGTTAAAGGTTGGGTCTGTTAACAGTAAAAGAAGCGTGACAACGTCAAAGAGACTCACTGCTGAAAGGGGATGAAATGCTGTTTGTCCTCATCGTCTGTTTTGCCATGGGCGATATCTGTAATGTCCATCACTGCAATGACAAGAGACCATCACAGTAAGGCGGCAGACCGATGCTGAAGATAAGCTAATTCACCAGATGCAATAGCGTGCAAGTCTTATTTCCAAAGCAACAGCAAAACCGGAACGTAAAACCAAGATGAGCAACAGGTTGGATCTCTTTCACCTGTTGCCTGGCAAAGCAACCAGCCTGGTAACACAGATTGAGGGTTCTTGATCTCTGAATTGTTTATTCCACTCAGCTCTTCTACAAAAGGGATTTTTTTTTTTTGGCTGAGAAAAATGCAACCTCTTAGAGAAAGCGTTCCTTCTCACTCTGGTTTCAGTCCATTTGCTGCAACACCGCAGGAAACCATTCCTCATCAAATCCAATAACGATCTGGCCAAAAACAAAAAGACCGGGAACTAAACCAATTTCCCCCCCGACTCCTTTGCCAAGGCAGAGAGGAGTCATTTTCTAATTCAGGAAAGCAGGTATGCCCATTTCACTCAGCACATGGATCCTTCATGTTTACACCTCCGCAGATGCACTCATGCAACTCATACAACCAGCAAGGAGCGGCATTCATTTTGTTGTGTTGACTTCTGTGACAAATACTTCTGTGACCATTTGAAAAGCAGCTCACCAGCCACACCGAAGGGTCTTCTCAGTCCTCCAGTGTGTTTCTTGCCCTCTTTGAGTTCCATGCTGCCGACTCTGATGATCTGACACACCAGGAAGACCCGCTGTCGCATCAAGTCACTGCTGCTCAGGTCCTGGATCCAAGGACAACCATAAAGATGATACATTATGGCATATCAAGTGATTCAGTGCATTACATGCAAAAGGCAGTGGACGGCCCCAGTTGCAGTGGCAAATATTAAGGGTTGAAAGCCTCAAATAAACCCTTAAACGTATCACTTTCCAGCATCTTTTGTTTTTCAGGTCAAATGAGTCTTGACTTGTGTGCTTTGAGGAGGCTAATAAAATGATTAAATTTCAGCTATTTGCATTGATGTGCCTTAATCATATTCTGATCCACGACTCCTGGTAGCACACATGCAGAATAACACAAAGAGATGTTTGGAAGGCACTACTGGCTGGGTCATCAACATAAACTGCAGCGACATAACGAAAGCAAATGCATTCAAATTTCTAAAGATGTGCAGTGAATGTGAGCTATTCAGTTAAACTTTCAGAAAATTATGAATTATCCAGAGGCAAATTGTCTTCTTTGTCACAGAATTCAGGCAGCGTCTGGGTTGCTCAAATCGGAAGCAGGGGGAATAGAGGGAATAGGGGGAATACAGTCGGTGGCCTGGGGTCAGTTACCGTGAATAGAGCTGGCAGGTTGTTTAGTTTTTCAATTTCTTTAGGCATCCCCGTACTGTCCCAGCGCACCAGGAAGTTCTCACTGCATGAATTTGAATAGGAATCACAGTTAGATATCATATTATCAAAAGGCATATCAGGAGAATTACATAACAAGAAAATGACTAATGTAAAAACTTTGCATTATTCAATCTGTTATGCCGGATTGAAATCTAAACGTGAAGATGATCCATTGATCCCGATACATTTTTCTCAAGGCAGAATGAATGAAACACAGCCATAATTAATGGTACTTGCAGTGTTCCTGCAATAAAAGTCTGCTGTGATGAAGGCCATCTGTATTTATACGTGCCCTTAGCGAGCATGGCAGGGTAAAGTCCAGGCAATTTGCTTTCAAGGTGTGGGATTTAGCAAAGGGTCAATTGTGGAATTAGGGGAAAAGTGAGCAACAAACCTGATGAATTCCGACTGGTCGGGGTCATACAGAGACATGAGGAGCTCAGCGTCTTCTCCGATGTTGCATACAAAGTTCTTCAGGTTCATGAGTAGACTGTACGTGTGCACCGTACTGAACAGGGTCTGACGCCGCATTTCCAGGTTTTGTAGGCGCGTCTGCAGAAAAGCAAGGCCCCAGGCATCGCGTGGACACAGGTATTATTTTAAATACATTGATAATTTGAATGAAATGAATAGTGTGACTGAATGGAAATCCTGCCTTCTCTTCTTGTATCCTGTCGTCGACACTGCGTGAAGCGGTCTCGTGCGCCCGGAACAGGCTGACCGTACTGGTCTTGTCGGGATCCAGCGTGTTTCCTGCTTCATCTCGCACCACCAGGTCCAATCCCAGAATCCTGAGGAGCACAGAGGGTCAAACCCGCTTCAATTGAATTTACAGACGCAATCTCACAGCAAATAAAACGTTCCGACGGTGTCGAAATCACAAAGCGATCCGCCGCAGTACAAGAGGGCAGCATGATTCATACCGGTTTCCGTAATCAATCTTTGCTGTGACTTTCTTTTTTAGTTCCACAAGGTCATCTTTGGGCAGCGTTCCCGACACTATCTGAGATCGATATTCGATGAGGCTGTAGGACATCTGCTGAACACCTCTGAACAGGATTGCCTTGTTCGCCTGTCAGATAAAGACATGCACACGTGTATATATATACACATATATCCTTCAGAGGTATAGAAATATACACCAACGGGTAAAAGCAATGTGAATTACTGTAGGATTGTGTGTAGTACCACATACCACATACAGCGTCTGCCATATCTGTGCCCATTCCCTCAGAGTAGCACCGAGCTCCTGCACCAGGGGCAAGTCCGCAGGAATAATTATTTCCTGTTGGCTACCGGGCGCAAGCAGAGAACAATAAGATCCTGGGAAAGTGGCTCATCTATCACAGATCTATGTCACATCGTTTCCACGGACTCAAGTGCATTTGTGATACGTGATAAATAGTTGGACGGTTTCCCTACGCAGCCACGGAAAGCATAACTTAATCTGCACTTATAGTAATTACAAGTGCACTGCTGTGTTATTGGCAAATGACAAGGCGGGGCCGCAAACCAAAAGCAAAGTGGATTATCATCACGATGATGTGTTTACTGATATGTGATCTCACCCCGTTCCCTCGACCGTAGCCTGCTTTAAGTGGATGTAGGAAGATGGAAAAATGCCCTGAAGAAACAATGAGGCAAAATCAGGAAGTATATTCATCACAGCATTGGTTACAGGGTAATGGAGGATAAATGATAAATGACGTTCTTACCTTCTGGGATTTCTTGCGCAGCCTGTAGCCACGGTACCAGCCTGAGAGAATAAACAGACAAACATGTTACAGTGAGGGAGAGGCCGGGGACGACCCAGGAGTGGGGACAGTCCGTCCTGTAAGGAGGACAGTGCTGTATACTAATTTACATTAAGCACGTGAAGCATTTGGTTTAAGTTCCTGTGTCGGCTTGCTTTGGAGAAGGAAGAGAGGGATGTGTTGGGGCCTGTTTGTTCAGGCTTGCTCACCTTCCAATTTCTCAAGTATGTGCACCGTGTCCCCCACTTGGAGACACAGCTCCTGCTCCCCACTTGGCTCGTAGTTGTAGATTGCTGAGGGATAAAGTAGTCAACGTGGTGTCATTATGACATACAGACAAAACATTCAGTAAATACTGTTGGTAAGGAGAAGACAGTTTGAATGATGAGATTTCTCCTATTCATGGTCTAGCGGATTAAGAAAAAAAAACCAAATTTATATTTGATCACTGGCTGCACAAAAGGAGCAAGTCTGTTTCTAAGTAAAAGTTCTGGATCAGAGGTTTCAGTTTTTCTACCAGGAAAAATAAACCAATTGAACCTCCTTGTTGCAGAACTTGGGACTTGAAAGCAAACAGGATCTTGGTCCTTGATTTATTCCTCCTCCTTGTGCCATTTGAAACGGCATACTGCATACGTGAGCAGCCGGCACCGTGTGACTCAAACCTTTATAGCGTTTCTGACGAATCTTAATTGAAAGACGCCCTGGGGCTGTGTGTAAAAAAAGTAAACCGACTGTGCTGGAGCAGGTAGCTTCAGGAGCGAAAAACAACAACAGAGAGGAGCAGAGCTAAAAGGGGCGATGGCATCACATCCTCGTACTGATATCATCGTGCCACCGTGGCCTTTGGTCAATAGTTACAATCTGCAGGTTGGGTTTCCTCCGCCTGGCTCACCTGCGGCCCCTGCCCCTCCCTTCAGTTTTATTAACCCAACAGCTACTTTTTAACTCTCTTACAGGACACACATGGGAGGGATCACAGGCTGTACGACTGACACACACACACACACAGGGACACACCTATGTGCACACAAAACCACAAGTTGCAAAAGAGAAACCTTGGCAAACAACACCGCTGCAAAGGTCTTTACCTTGACTTTAGAGAGCGGCAATTGCAAGCGGCCACTCAATAAAGTCAGATAGAGGAACTATGAGCGGAGCGCTGCCCCGACTTGCACGGTGAAAATGCTTGTTGCCGGAGGGGAGATTTCCCAGCACGCTTAGACTGGCTCGGCTTATCGCACCTCAGTCGGAATATGAATACAAAAACTTAACAAAACATTGGATGAAGCTCTATCTCTATCTATCGATCTATCTCTCTCACGGATATATCCGGAATGTTCGGGTCGAGGCTGGGTTTGAATAATTAGCTCATGGAGCTCTTAAAATATTAGGTCACAGCGGCTTTGTCAGGACATCACCTGCACGGGTTCAAGTGAATCACGCCTTTTAGCGAGAGCACGTCTTTGGGTCGGGAAGGAACCCAGGGAGAACACAGAGAGGCCTCCGGTGGAACCCCGGACCTTCTTGCTGTGAGGCGACAGCGCGTGAATGTGCATTGTGAAAGTGATGAGCGGGGAAGCTGCCTCAGAAACATGCTGTGCCGTAACATACTGTGCTCAGCTTACTGTGCGAGGCAAACAAAAAAAGAGGATGTTGGTTTTCACCAAGAAATGATTTGTGATCGCCGGATTGATGATCAAATGAAAACACGCACCCGAGAAAGCGGCGTGCCGCTCGTCATACCGGTCCGTCCCGGCCTGGCAAAAGCGTGGCGACATGCCAACGGCCGGCGCCCGGCGTGATGCCCCGCTGTGTTAACTAAAAGCGACAGCCTGGGCCTCGGCAGCGCCGCTCATCTGTACGTCTTCCTTCCGAATGCACCGCCGGAGGCCACTGTGGCAGAATCCAGAACAGCCCCAATCTGCGTAGGTGCAAAGTTAATGAGCACACTAATGCTGAATCAAAGTCAGCCCGCTTCCCTCTAAATGATTTATCACAGAAGTGGATTAGCCAACAATTAAAGAACACCACGGCTGAGCGGTTTGAGCAGCTGCTGGCAGCTCATCAGAGTTAAACGCTGTTTCAGTGAGAATCCATTGTTCTCAACACTGGGAAGGAAAGTAAAACATGAACAACGGGCCCAAAGTTGTGGACGTGATGACACACACACAATTGGATGCGAGATGGAGCAAAGCAACTAATCTTTTAACATAGAGACGTTCAGCAAGCTATTTAGGCGGCCCCTGATTTGGTATGAACTCGTAATTGTCTCTCATTCAGTGATTAGAATGTAGATCTTGTAAAGCTGGTCATGAAATGAAAGAAGGTCTATTACACTTGGGTTTTTTTTGAGCCAGTTCCCCTCAGGCAAGACGTTTCAAAACAGAACAGCTTCAGTAGAAAATCCTTTTTCCTCCCGTCTGCTGTCTAGACAGCCAGAGACAATCTGCAGCTCTTAAAAGTGCGCTCCAGCTAATAAGTCCTCATAGGTTATCCATAAATCAGAAAGCTAATTCTAAAAGTTACAAAAGGGACGGAAGTAGACCGTCATCTTTTAATTCTGCTTTAAACCCAGCTACAAAGAATTTACACATCCAAAGAAAAACCAACGTCTCTGAAATGATCGGATTTAAAAGTCATGGCTGCCCATAAAAACATCAGGTCGGTCTTTCCAAACCGTGATCGGCGACAACACTTATTTTGCCGCCAGCAATCAGACGCGCCAACGCCAGACAAACGAGCGCCGATGTTTTGATCGTTTTCTTAATAAGACGCCCACGCGGCGCGAAACACCTGCAGAGCAAACGCATTCAAACGGTTGATGGTTTTAAGAAATGCGGCTGTGTGGCTCCAGCAGCAGATAGCGTAGCCTGGAGCTGCCGGGTTCAAGCAGAGACCCCGCGCGACCCCCCCTCAAAGAGAGGAGATCCACTGAGGTCCACTAACCAACTCCCTCCATTCGTTTTCATTTTCACAACGTTTTGATGTCAGTGGCCACGACTCGCTGTAGACACCCAAAAGGAATCATACAGAACTTTTCCCCCCACATATGTGGTGAACCTCAACCGTGTCCTACACCCCCTCCTGGCAGACCCGATGTGTTGAATCACCCGACTGCCACTTAAACTTGATTACTGTTATTCGACAAGGGGATCAATTACAAATGTTTAACGTCGTGCATTGACACCGTCAATAAAAAGGTCCGCATCCATCTGGGCTTGTGAGTATTTCCATGAGCGCCCATTAAGGAGGCCCTGAAATCTGAAGGTCCATGTTCAAATAATGTAAAAACCGTAATGCTGTGAACTGGACTAAACAGGTTCTCCACCAACTCTTCGTTTCAGATGCTTCTCTCAAGGATGTAAATATTCGGAAGGTACCCGTGACGGTGTAACAAATTCACCATTCAAAATTGTGTTAATATCTTAAGCCCCATTCGATCCACATTTCCCTGTTAGCGAAGACACAACTGATATGATCAGAAAACACGTCTTTCATCTCGTAATGTAGTTGCCTGTATTCGGCGCAGCCTTCGGGTTGACTAATCAGATTAAGTATGTAAGAACTTGTGCAGGGTTCTGATGACATTTTAAGGATTACAGCGTTAAAGACTCCCGTCCCGCGTCTAGGGCGAGTGGCAGCGGAATGGCAAAGCGTTCACCAGCACACCGAGCAACAGGTCGGAACGCCGAACCGGCACCTAAAAAGATTAACATACCAACATGTGTGTGTGTGTGTGTGTGGCCCCTGAGGGCCCACAGTAACGTGAAGGGGGCACACCTTTTCTGCAAGCCATCTCGCGAAGCCTAAAGTAGCATTAAAACAGTATGCTGCCCTCTTATCGGGCAGCGCATGCATTAAAGTCACAGCGGCGGCCCCCACGTGGGGCCCTGGCAGGGGCCCTCAGTGAGTGTGTGCGTGTGTGTGTGGATTCACTTTAACTAAGCGGTTTAAGGTTAAACAAGGTGTGGTGTGCCGGTGAGGCTCACGGCTCTTCTCCCCCCTCGCCACCCGTCACGGACAGTTACATAAGTGTGTTCTTACTACACTGAGCGACCACCAGAGATCCCACCGGGACGACGAGGAATGTAAACAGCGAGTAGTCCGTCGGGACGACGGCAAGCAAAGTTTGTGAAAAGCCCGCCGGGGGCCTCGGTTCCGAAGCCCCGCCGGTGCGTCAACAAAACGAGAGAAAAAGTCTCCATTAACTTGTGTCAAAACTCCGGAGTCTTTAGGAGTTCGGGTTCATCTGAGGGATTCACTCGGCGAGCGTTTCCACCGCGGCAACAACTTGAACTTACCGACTCCATACTTCTCTTTCTTAGTCGGAATCCAGCGGGTCATGTCGGGGGGGGGGGAGACGTGAAGCTGGATAAATAAATAACTATTTACAGTCGCCAAACGAGGACGGGCGGTGCACTCCTGCTGGTCTCGAGCGCTACAGTTCCGCCATCATGACTGGTGAACGGGAGGAGGAGGAGGGGGAAGAGGAGGGGGAGGAGAGGGGGGCGAGGGGGGGCGTGAACCGAGAACTTACAAACCCCCCGCAACAACCCGCCGCAACCGCGGACACGGCTCCATTATTTCGGGGATCCTCCCCCGCGCGGCTGTTTGATTTGCCCGGGACGCGATCGGTCGATCGATCGATCCGCGCAGACGTCCCTCATACATCCTGAAAATTGACTTAAATTGAATTCGGGGGAATTATAATGAGGCTGGCCTGTCCCTCGCTTGGCTTCAAGGACTCCAGTCTTAGAACCTCCGGTGCACTATTTGCCAATCTAGAGGAGAATAATTAAATGACACCAGAGTTATAAATCACCGATGTGTCATAAATACGTTATGAGCAGGTTATTGTTTTAATTTGTAATGAGATTGAAATGACCTGAGTGAGCAGAGCTGGATTGAACCAAGAATATTGGAATACTGGAATATTATATATATATATATATATATATACATATATATATATATATGTATTACAACAAATAAGCATGACCAAAACAATGTAATTCAACGTATGCATCATCTATTGACTTTAAATGTAAATTCAAATAACGCCACCAGCCTGTGACGTCATTTACAGCTGCTGGCTGAAATCTGGTTGCCCACTTAGCCCTTTGTTTGCCCATCGCGTGCGTGCGTGTGCGCGAGCGCGCGTGAGTGTTTTCTGCTGTTGCTGTCAGCCAAATGGTGCTGTCAATAATGTTCAGCTGTCCAATGCTTTTGTTGTTGGTCAGGGAAATGTCCATTCCCCCCCCAAATCTATTGTGTGATGTGAGTGCATTAAACCACAGCGTGGTGTGGATTAATTCTAGTACAACACAGTCTGATGGACAGATACTGTTGACTTATCATTTGGCAAAGGGGAGACCTATTGAGCTAGTGGCATCTCCAAAACAGCATTGAGGCATTTAAATGGTCAAACTATAATCGCACGCAAATGCATTTGATGCTGTATGGCTTTAGATAAAAACATCTTGAATGGATGCAAAGTGAAACAGAAGCATAAATATATATTTTCTTTTTCAAACCCAGTGTATTTACCGTCTGCTGTTTGTTTGATAAACCTCATGAAGCTCAACAAGTCCTCCACACTGATGAGCTCGCCCTCAAAAGCAGGTACTAAAAATGTATTTTGCGGCTACAGTTTACGTTAAATATCCAAGTTCCACACAAGCATTGTGACCTACTTCTGGCTTGGCTCTATTAGAAGCCGTTGTGAGTGGGGTTCAAAACTGCTCATGCCCTTTTCCCCTATGATCCTCTTTATTCCCTCGCCACATTCTCTCACACTTCTCATCAAACGTTGGGCCATTACTGATGTACTTAAGAACAATCAAATCGCTAGAAAGGAATACAATATTGCCATCACCTGACTGCTTTGTGCTACTGCAGACAATAGAGCCTAACTAGTAAAACAAAAAGAATGGGTTACATTTAGTCATGGCACTTAAAATATTTGCATTCATGAATTTCAATTGACTCCTCCCGACTCCTCCCACACGGAATCTTTAAAGGGAGGTGAATATTAGCCTCCCTTGGAGGTGTAAATCCATACGGGTGTTGGTTTGAGTGTAAGTGTGTGCCTGCCTCCTATCGATGTGTGTGACAGCTTGAAATGTAGACTTGAACTTTAGAGTTTGTCCAAAGTTGAATGCCTCTTAAGCAATATAGACGGGCTAAGTCTTCACAGGAATCCCTTGGTTAAAACCTCCTGACAAGGTACCGTATTTTAGCAATTTTGGTTCAAAATGACGTCTTCTGACCATGTGCAGATGTGCGAGGTAAATGGAAACAGGTGCACGTGTAGAATAGATGTTGTGGTGAAAATGGGCTGCAGTTATTACAAATGAGAAAAAGAGTGAAGCTATACTGTTTTTGTCTGTTTATTACGCCTACGTGTCCCTCCGTGTGTTACCAGACAGATACATTATGAATGAACATCAAGCATCACAGACAGCTTAAATAATAACAAATATGCAGCATATTTACCACCCACCTTCCTACCCTCTGGCATTTCATTAGCTTGTGAGCGTATATGCTGGAGTGCATGTGCTTAATTTCTACGGGATGAAAAAAGACGAACCACACGAGCACCTTTATGTATGAAAGCAAACATTTGAACAAAGCTTTACCTGACTTGACTGCAATGTTACTCAGTGACTGACTTCAGGTGCAGACACTACTAAACTCCCTGATTTCTATGCTGCGCAACTACAATCCTTCAGAGACTGCAGAGTGGAAGGGCTCTAAACACTGATCGTAGCCCCACTGAGGTGTGCAATTCCTGAGACAAAAGGAGACAAAGGACGTAATGGATTTATGGGTCCACTGCCAGGACTGCATGATGCCAGAGGCAACGGGGGCTTCAGCCTCCACATGGCTGTCTGGCAGCAGATTCAGGTAAACGCCTGGTCCCACAATGTTGTGTAGATAGGTCAATGCGCCGTCTCGGCACAAGGGCTCAACATCTTCAGGCAGCAGTTGATTTGCCCTTGACTTTTGGCGCAGCGATACCAAAGCTTTTCTGCAGAAGGTTCCTCAAATGTATGTTTCTAAAGCACTCGCATGGATGACGTCAGATATGCAAGTCAACTGTGGTCACTGTGTGCAAGCTGTCCCTGTTTTTCTGCACTGATATTCACACCTGTATGAATTTCTGTTCATTTACTCAGCAGCCATACATCCTTTGACGCAAGAAAAGTGGAGGCTTGTCAGATAACGTGTTTTTTTTGCACTTTCAGCCTGAAGAAATACAGACGTGACAGCAGGGAACATATAAAGTTGATGCAGGTATGTCAGTAGATTAACACATTTAAATCAAAAACACATCTCATCGTGACACACATGAAGTGATACGCCCCAAAAGCTCCCACATTTGCCTCCATCTGACTCAGTGAAGCATCCTTGTACTCCTACAGTAAGCACATAAGGCCATCTGCAAACTATCGCTATGAGCACACCAGAAGAGGCGAGTATCTATTTTCAGGGTGAGAGAGTCACGTTTTTTAATGAAATAGTCTCAGTCTGCTGACTTCCAGGGCAATGACAAACCTCGACAGATCCTTTTAATTAGGCGATTCACCGAGATCAGCAGAGGGAGCCACAACTCTTATGTAAGACTCCCTTTTCTTCGCAGGCAGCATGACCACCCTCACTGACTGGACTGGGGCCTTCAGTGCGCTCACCCACAAATCATTTCCACAATAAAATAAATATTATGAATACAATATATTTTGTTCATCTTTTCCAAAGACGTGAAGCACAATCATTCTCTGTGATTTTATTCCCTTCAGATATCCAATAAAAGATTGAATGTAGACATGCTTTTCTCCTCCTCTTCAAAGACAATATATATTTGTTGTAATGGAAAGCTGATATTTTCTTCCTTGTTTCGTGACTCTTACACCTGCTGTTAAATTCTCAGAATCCATGTGTGAAGAGGTTTTTTTCTTTACATTTGTTTTATTAAGGTGATTTCATTTTGTGAAGTCACAAAGTATAATGAGACTATCTGGAATGTTTTATTGCTTTCGAAGTTCCCTGTAAAGTAGAATACAGAGAGGTCTAAGTTTGAAGATCTGGTCCTACACACGTATATCCTGATACTGTTTTTATAGGAGCTGCTTGGTCTCACATACGGCTCTGGGTTTTTCATCAAAGCGTCTTACATCTGGGAGGTCTCAGTGGGCTTCAGTGATGGGCCTCATTCTATCTGACATTGCATATGCCCACAAGAGGAAGAGGGAGTTATAAGATTTATATACCAGTCCGTTTACAGCCCAAATATGTCAGATGAAAGAGAGGGTGAAACTCAATATCAGAGAGATGAAATGTGATAAAAAAATAAGAAAAAATGTGGTTTGATGTGCAACATTTACCGTGGATTCTGTGTCCCACTGTGCCCACCCCACACACACACACACCTGCAAGACATAGCTGTATGTAATATGAGTGATACCGTACGAGCACCCGAGGGAGTGTCTCTACACTGCTGGTTGTTTACTGTATCTATTGTCAAAGAGCTCTATCGCTACTTCAGTTTTCTGTCTGCAGGTGGATTTATATTAAAAGCCTGCCAGTGGTGCATCCCTGTTGTACTCTTAAATCAATAAGAAAACCTTTACAGTACTGCTGTCTCTTTGTGTGGTGAATAGTGTGAGTAAGGGCAGCCAAATGTAATGCAGAGTGGAATTTCGAGGGATTAAATTGAGTGCTCCCTTAGGCTTGTGCTGGTCTCACTGTAGCAGCAGACGGGGGGAGGATAATTTAGCTCACAGTGGGATCAACTGAGGACGAGTGGATGGAGAGGAGATTGAATGCACTTTAGGGCCTCGCCTCGACACATGCGTGTAAAAAAAAGTTATGTGCACCTCGTTACAAGATGATGCAGTAGTTCAAATTGTGCTGCAGTCACAGCGCTCAGGAGCCGCTGTGTTTGTGTACGTGCGTGTGTGTGGTTGGGTTTCATTTGTGGGATGGGGATCGCCTCTCTGCTGAGGCCTAAACGAAGCCCCTGGTCCCTCCACCTCCGAGTAAAAAGCGGACTGTCCTCTGTCAAGGTTTAGTGCGGCAAGACATTTTCTGCCCCCCCCCAGCCTCTCTCTCCCTAATGAAATTGCTCACTCTCCTCCTCTCTCTCTTGCTGTCCTGCATGAGTTGACACTTGGCCAGATTCTTTGGTGCAGCAGGCTAGCTGAGTCATAAAGGTTTCAGTGTGCCCTGATTTGTGGACAGTGATGTGGATGTGGATGAGGCAGCAGGAAAAGCACCAGTGTCAGCTCACTGATCCCAAAGAGAATATAAGCAGAGCAGGCAGGAGACGACCTGCTGACCTGAGATAAAGAGAGAAAAAACCCTGCTGTGACTCATTTTGCACCTGTGCATACTGTGGTTTAGCAAAATCAAGAGAATTTTAATGAGGGTTTATTGGCAGGTCATGTCAGAGCTGTGAAGCTTTTTTGTGTGTGTTTCTGTGCATTTCAATTTCAAAGGTTGGCTTGGTGTATTTTTCCAAAGAACTTTAAACAAACCAGACATGCTGACTTTACTGGTTTGCTGCGGCCCTCCTTTCCAGTGAATTCAGAACCAATTTATCAATGCGGATAGAACCAAAGGCACTTTGGCTACCAACAATGAGCTTTTTCCATTAACCTCTATTAACATTCTGGTGAGAAGCGAACATTCTGACAGAAATTAGCAAGTAAAATGATTCGTCTTTGCTTGTGGAAGTGAATCAAAGAGCTTGGACACAAAGCATTCCGCTAAAATGTTCATTTGTGACACGTTATTGCAACTGTTTCTGTTTAGGATTACAAACGAAAAGCTGTTTCTGGGTTGACAAGGCTCACGGCTTTATTAGAATTCAACGCAGGTGCATGGTTTAAAGCACTTTAAAGCATGTTTGACTTTGAGTAAGGCATTTCAAATTGTGTATTGCACATTCAGAAGGTCTGCAGGCATATATTGGTGACTGTAAAGCACACAGGTACCGACAATTCTCACATAAGTCACATAGCAAATACTATCTGATTAGCATTCATAAAGTTACATTTCTTTGCTGGTGCAGTTTACGCTCATGCTCTGGGTCGCTTAAGTTGATCATACAGAGAATTTGTTTGCCAACATGTTGTCTTCCAAATTAAAGAGATTTTCTTAATTAGAGGGATATCTTTGTACACGTAGAGCACCAGGAGGGACTTCCTTCAGCTACAACGTTAGAGGGTATTTTCAAAGCATTCAAATTCTTTTTATTTTTTCAGTTTTCAGCTTGGCTTCCACATGTTCTTATTTTTTGTTTCCTCCTCCTTCTTTCCCCGCTCTTCATCCCCCTCTTCCTCTTCCTGCTCAGCATCCTCCTCCTCTTGAGGCAGGAGTTCTTCTCCTCTTGGATCTTCAACGTCATCTCCATCCGCTGTCTCGCCTTCTTCATTTAAAATACCATTTGAGAGGAGATCAAAAGTTTGAATTAATTTACTACTACACGTATGCACACAGAATTTAAACACACTAACCTCCATCTGCTTCTTCTTCTCCATCTTCTTGTTTTTCGTCCTCATCTACCTCTGCCTCCTCCTCTTTCTCTCCCTTTTCTCCCTGATCTTCCTCTGCTTCCTCCTCCTCCTCCTTCTCCTCCTCGTCCGGCTGCTCTACCTCCTCCTCCTCTTCCTCCTCCGCGTGAGGATCGCTGGCCTCAGCCCTCTGTGCTTTGCTTGCGAGTATTGTGGAGAGTGAGGAAGTATAACAGTGGGAGGTCATCAGGTGTGGAGCTGCAGAGCTCAGTTGAGACTGCAGGGAGAACTGGGTTCTTCCATAGGATGGAGCAGCGTACATAGCGTTGAAGGAACCTGGTCCGGCCACATTTAGACGGTTCTCCTCTCCCTCAAGGAGCTTCCTGAGAGAATGGGCAAGATATGACATCAAGTAAATGACAATATTGAATTGTCGGCGCTGACGACAATTATCAGAACAAAATGAGTAAATCTTGTAAAAGTGTATAAGACGTTTACCTATAGGCTGCAATCTCAATATCCAGGGCCATCTTCACATTCAGGAGGTCCTGATAATCTTTCAAGTAGCGAGCCATGTTGTCCTTGTTTGCTCTCAACTCTTCCTCCAATTGGCATAATGTATCCTATATAGAAAAAATACATGTGGAAAAATACATGTGGAACATTCATCTCTATTGTAAAAATGATTTCACTGAAACACATTTTGCTGTGGAAATTGTGTTTTCAGGGCTGTGTTCCCTGATTTTAGATTATGTCACTCACCTGCAGTGCAGAGATCTCTGCACTTTGTTTCTCCTCCATGTCCTGTAGTTGGTTTTCAAGAGCTTGATTCATCTCACGACATGAATCAATCTCCAGTGTCCTGGTTTTGAGAAGCTGACGGTATTCTGCAACCTCGTCTTTGGAGTTTCGTGCGCTCTCTGGGTTACGAGAAGTGCCTGAAGTCATCACATCTACCTTGTTACAGAACCATTCCTCAGCTGACTGAAGGTTGTGATGTGCCAGCTTCTCGTACTGAACACGGATGTCACGTAGAGCAGCGGATAGGTCAGGTTTGGCAACCTCCATCTCCACTGAGACCTGTGAGCTGTACTGTATTTGGGCCTGCAGCTCTGCAATCTCACCCTCGCAAAGGCTCTTTAAGAAGACCAGCTCATCCAGCAGGGTCCCAACTCTCTTCTCCAGCTCGGACCGGCACAGTGCAGACTCGTCTGCTCCCTTTCTGGCATCCAGTAGCCGGCCCTCTGATTCCTCTCTTCCAAGGACTTCGTCCTCATAGCGTTTTTGCAGGTTACTAAACACGCCCTCCATCTCATCCCTGTGGTCCTGGGCAGACTGCTTCTCATAGTGGGCCTCTTCAACAGCAGCACGGAGCTGCCGGATCTCCTGCTCATAGAGGGCCCGGAGGTTGGATGGCTCTGTGTGCCTCTGCCTGAGCAGCAGAAGTTCAGCGTCCAACAACTTGTTCTGCTGTTCCAGTTCATGGACCCTCTCAATGAAGCTTACAAAACGGTCATTCAGGTCCTGCAGCTCAGCCTTCTCCTGGGTCCTAAGTACTTTGAAATCAGAGCTTACCTGGGCCGCTTGGTCAAGGCGAAGCTCAGAGAAAGCTGCAGACACTGGAGCAGAGAGCACAGAGGAGTAGCTGGAAAAAGCTGGGTTTCGTGTCGGATAACTTCTGCGTGAGGATGCATAGGAAGTTATTGGCGCAGCATGGCCGGAGTAGGCAGACCTAGATCCTATTCCTCCTCCAGCTCCATATCCTGCACTGCGCACAACTACCCTCCGCCTGCAAGCAGAAGGGACGTAAGGACCGCTGCCGATGGAAGTCATGACTTCAGAACAGCCTGCTGTATGTCTAGGAGTGTAGCTGGGTGGACTGCACAATGAATCTGCATTACCCCGGCTTTTATAGAGCCAGTAATGACTGTGACGTAAGCTATTTTATTGCCGGCATGCTGACAGAAGGAATTGATGATGGTGCCAGCTATCCAGTCTGCGCCAAGGGAGAGATTGGGTGGGGTGGTTGAGGATGAGAGTGGGGGATGGCACAAGCGGGGAAAAGCGGTCAGACAGGGTCACTGACGACAAATTAGTGTACACTAATACTAGTACCAACCCTGGAAATAATGCTGCATTTGAAGAAATTCGGAAAGGGTTGCTTTGTTTTGCTTTAACTGTCTGCTGGGTTATAAAGAACATGAATTACAATACAATTACGATCGAAGTTTCACAATTAAATGTCAAAGCAAGCCAATTGGATAAGTACCCGATTAGTTAAATTCCTGTGATATAACACATACTAACTCAATCTGAGACAAACCTTTTTTACTGCATTACACATTAAAAGTTTGCCCTCTAGTGGTTATAATTTTTTTAACGACACAGTTGACACATTACACATGCAGACAATAAGTATATAAAGAGTACACTGTCTGAATATTTCTTGACTCAGTTCAGCATATTTCTTGGCTTCACGTTAAATAAACCCAATCACTCAGAGACTACAGGTTGTCCCCCGCTGTAGCAATATTGCAAACAATTCAATATGCATGATTTAAAAATATAAAGAGGCTTTAACAGCGGTAATATTAAGCGGCAAGGAATCTTTTTGGGGGGCCCCCATAGTCTGAGAATGTTCATATATTACTACAGGGTAATATTATATATCCTCAAGACATTCTTGTTATTCTTATACGCATATTTTACCAGGTTTAAAAACGTGTTTTCAATATTCCTAAATGTACAGCTCCTTATATTTCCTGCAGTTGCATTAGTGGTTTTATTTTTCATTATCGCAATTGAGAATTTCAAATAAATTACATAAGTGGTAAATGTCACTTTAGTGCCATCTGTATTGTTAGTGTGGTTTCAACCAATAACACGACAGATGATTGGCCACACGCATACACCCGCAGCGTATCGACCAATGAGGCATGACTTTACTAATTGGCGGGTAGCAAACGTAACTTTGTGACGCAAACGCTCGCAACGTTAACAACAAAGGATGAAGAATAAATGAAGTTACAAACTGTCTTTGTGCGCGTTCATAACACACGCGTACACGTGACGGCTGTCTTAGAGTTCGCTGCCTCGTCGTTGTGACGTTAAGTTAGTAGCAACAACACAAAGGCGGTTGAAATGTGAATGAACGGTAAGTCGCCCAGTTTTGCAAGTGATGGACACCCGGTAAGACGGCTAACGTTAGCATACATATCATGTGTCTGCTAATGCCAGCCATCCCTAGCGGTTAGCCGACACTAATATAAACTAACGCTAACGTTAGCCAGATAGGAAAATACGTTTATCAGCTAGTGTGTGCAGTCGTGTTGACCAATGACTCTTTACAACGTCAGCGTTACTTGCTCAGGACAAACTGCAGCAATTCCTCACAGCAGAGCTAAGCTAACTATGCTAAGTTATGAGCACTGTTTTGGGGAAGGTTTACGTTACGTTAGTCGGTCAAATTCCGTTCTCCGTTAGCAGTTGTGTCCAGCGATATCAGTCGCCTAAAGCAGGTTGCATCGATCTCGATGTCGAGTATTTAATAAGAGAGGCGGTCACATACAATGAACCTAACTCCAAATGAATGAATATTAAAGGTGCCTCTAACTGAAATTGGTAAATAAGAGAATAAGTGGAGCTGTGTGGGTCTGATTATGCCATGCAACTACATGTTTGTTTTTCATGTAACTTGATTTTCATTTTTTCCCTGCTTTTTCCCCTTCTTTTCCTTCGTTTTTGTGGTACCATACATTTCTATAGATCCAATCAAAAGCAATAGACGGTGGCGGTGAATCGTCTGCTTGCCACGTAACAAAATGGTAAGGCTTGATATGATTGAGTGCTGCGTTTAGTAGCTGTTTTGAAACTATAGTTTCAAAAGCCTCCTCATACAACAAATGTGTTCCTCCTATTTTTGGTTTCTTTACAGATTCGCATAGCAGCACTGAATGCTGCTTCGACAGCTGCAGATGAGTCACAAGACCCCTTGAGAAATAGCAAGAGTCAGACAAAAGAGGCTCAGGTACAGAGGAATCTGCAAGATTAAGCTTAACCGCTGGCGAAGATGTGTTTTTTTTATTCTCCGTAGATGATTAAGTTCTCCAACTTGTCTTCTATTTTTGTCTTCAGGAAGCCGAGGCATTTGCTTTGTATCACAAAGCTTTAGATCTACAAAAACATGACAAGTTTGTGGAATCTGCCAGCGCCTACCATGAGCTTCTCAAAACCCCACTGCTCAAAGAGGTAAAATATCATACAGCCTAAAAGTCCTCAGGAGGCTGTAATAGTCTTGCACAATCACATCAACGCACACCGTTCAGTCTTTGAGGACTGTCTCTTGTTTCGTTTCGGATGCTATGTAGACTGGATTCTACATAGCATCCAGAAATGGCGTTTCATGTCAAACACAAACACTAATTCCCTGGTGATAACAATTTACATTTGGCAGACAGTCAAAACGATTAAATACTGATCAGTATTAATAAGTAAAACAATTAACTCACATTTCAGCAGCCTTTTGTTTTTTTAGGTTCTTTGTACAAATGTGTTGATGTGAACTGAAATAGTCTCAGCTTGTTAAACGACTTGATTTGTTATTGGTTTACTATCATATCAGTTAATGTCTTATATTACACTCTTTGGTGCCACATTTAATGTACCCTTAATATTTTAGGCCATGGCCTCCGATGACCAGAAAGTGGGTCTCAAGCATCCCGGGCTGATGTTGAAATATTCTACTTTTAAAAACTTGGCTACTATGGCTGCATTGCGGGATGATCTGGAGACCGCAATGGAGTTTTATTTGGAGGTAAAACAAGTGTAATCATTGTTAGCATTTTCCCACGTTGTGCTACTAAATGCTTTATTTTGACGCTCCGGAATGATTCTGGGGACTTCTAACATCTTAAATCTGCTCTGTTCTTCTCTCAGGCAGTTATGTTGGATTCTACTGATGTGAACATGTGGTACAAAATTGGTCAGGTGGCTGTGCGACTGGTGCGCATTCCTCTGGCTCGACATGCGTTTGAGGAGGGATTGCACTGCAACCCAGACCACTGGCCCTGTCTGGACAACCTCATAACGATCCTCTACACACTCAGTGACTACACCTGTATGTCAGCTATCATCATCCCTCATTACCAGGGACAAAAAAAACAACAACTAACATCTACATGTATTTTCCAGGCTGTTTGTACTTCATCGCTAAAGCATTAGAGCTGGATCACTGTTACACTAAAGGCCTGGTGTTGAAGGAGAAAATCTTTGAGGAGCAGCCCTGTCTCAAGAGGGACACAATGCAGATGTTCATTAAATGGTAAAGCCAGCTCGCTTTTTTTTTTTTAAATTCCATCATTTCCTCAGAATATGCCCCAGCTGCATCTCTCTGCTTTCCCATCACTGACGAACGTCTTTGCTGCGGTGTGGGTCGTTTTCAGTGATATGTCTATTCATTATGTGGAAGTGGAGATGGAGGAAAGGAAATCCATTGTGGACGAGGCACAGGATTTACGGAAGCGCAGACAGGCTCTCTCTCACTCTGAACCAAAACCTGACCTTGTCCTGGTTCAACCCATCCGCTGCCTCTCGTGAGTTAAATTCTTGTTTGAGCTCCACCGACATCGAAGTAATCGTTTTCTGGACTCCAGTTTGTGAAGCTTTTTGTAAACCTTTTCACCTGAAGGTCCTCATAGTATTTTCCTATGAAGACAAGATGATGACCTAACATTAATCCACTGTTGTTGTATCCCAGATGGAAGCACTTGGGGGAGAAACTTCTTGCGATGTACAGACACCAGACCACGTGTGAGCCGCCGCGCCCAAGTCTCGGCCGCAGAATTGATTTGTCCGAGTACCGTGACCGCAACTTTCTCCAGAACCTCCCCCAACCCAGCAGCCCTGTCAGTATGGGCCAAACCAACGTGCTAAGCAGCAGCCCCAGCTCGTCCCTGCCGCCAATGGCCCTGCCTGAGCCCGCAGTGCTGCCCCAACCCAGCACGCAACCTCAGCTTACCCCAGCTCAGAACACCGTGGAGGTCACCACTTCTGCTCCCCCAGTCGGTACGTTCTCTATGAAGAGGAATTTCTCTTTCGTTAAATGCTCATCAAGCCGCTGTATTGGTGCTAATCTGTTGTTTCATCCCACTGCATGCTCACAGTGACCGCAGAAGAAGCTTCCCTGGCAGATAAAGCGAAGAAACCCCCGAAGAGGAAGCGAGTGGTAGAAGATAGCGGGGAGACGGCCAAGCGGCGCTCGGCACGTGTTCGCAACACAAAGTGCAAGAAGGAAGAGAAGATAGATTTTCAGGAGCTGCTATTTAAATACCTACCTTCCAGGTATTTTAACACACAACCACGTGTATAATGTATAAATATATTACTTATTAGAATTGTGGTGGTTACAAACGGTTCTGCTTATTTTTCTTTAGGCTAAAGAAGTTTGATCCTGATAATGATGACGAGAGTCTGAGTAATCTTGACACTCAGTGCGACAGGAAGGTGGACATGCAGCCTCTGCTTGGGGGTTGCCTGCCTGCTGACTCAGTTGAATACATGGAATCTGGTATGTGTTGCACGGGCTATGCATTTAAAATACACTGATGAGCTATTTAACTCTCGCTCGGTGACATGGCCTAAATATTCTGTCGTGCTATAGGTAACTTCATGTCTAAATGACAATATCGATTTTTCTTTTTTCAATAATTCAATGTAAGTGAAAAAATAAATATTTACATATTTACACTTTAATAGCATTTAACTAATTGGGATTTTAAAGTGTTATATCCAACAACTAAAAAGCCCAGCAGATTTTCTGAGGAATTTAGGTTGGCATGTGCATTTTACACTCAATTAAGAAAATAATTGTGTTTTATGACATCTGGATGTAGGATCTCATTGCTGTGTTTGTATAGACAAAAAACATCAGATAAATCATCATTGAATTATTACTGTGCCTTATTGACAAAGTTTGTTTTCCCTCCCATAGAACAAGAGGATGTCCACAACTTCCTGCTCAATAATATGACCAATGGGGGTTTACTGGACGTGATGATGCGCTATCTGAAAGCAGTGGGCCAGAAGTTCACAGTGGAGTGGCCTCGGGGGCTCGCTGCTGTGGTACTGGAGGTCCATCAGACCTGGAGGAAGCACAGCGGTGGTCTGCCTAACCCTCTGCTTCGGGACTGCAGCAACCAGCACATCCAGGTAAATGACAAGAAAACAGGTTAAATATTTAAACTCGAGTTGTATCATTTTAAATGAAGACTGTTTTAAATGTGGGAGATTCACTTTGGGTACAATTTGGAATGTCCGCTTATTCCAGTGTCTATAGAGGTGGAAAATATTTTTGAATTGGAACCAGGGACTTAATATTTTATGTTGTATGTAAATTGGCTTCATATTTAAATCTGCTACTTTTACAGCAAATGTTGACAATGAGCTTAGCGTGTATGGAGTTGCAGTTGGAGCAATGGATACACAACAAAGGGAAGACCGGTAAGTACCAGTTAGCCAACCCTCATTATTTTGCAAACATGGTGTGATGAATTTCGGTACAGTGGATTTTAACAAAATTAAATTTTCTGAATTACTTTTTCCCTTCAAAAACGTTGGCTGAATGTTGACTGAGGCCTGAAGGTGGCACTACAATGTAGATTTTAAACATGAAGTTATGGGGGTTAGGGTTTAGCAAAGTATTGGAAATAGATATAAAGGAACAACCTGTTTACACTTTGCTTGCCATGTATCTTTTCACTGGTCTAGTTTCTCCAAGAAGAAGCAGCAGCAGCAGCAGTATTTGTCCCAGCAGTGATGCAGCAGACTCTGAATTCCCAGGGCAGCACTTCCAGAGTGATTTGTTACTTCTGGCCATGGGTTCGTCCCAAAGAGACCTGTTTGATGATGACTGGCTGGATGTTATGGTGCGGGTCTACTGGCTCAAGGCCCGATTCTTGGCGCTGCAGGTAAAGTTTATATGGTTGGCTGTTTTGCTTAACCTTTGATTGTGTGATTCCTTTCCCCCCTCAGCTCAGCCAGATGTGACTTGTTAAATGTTTTTTTCTTGTGTTTTGTTAGGGAGACATGGAGTTGGCCCTGGAGAGCTATGATGTCTGTGTTGGCCTGTTGCAGAGCAAACCAAAGACCCCCGAAGGCAAACATTACACAATCAGCCTGCCTAACCTTTGTGTGGATGCAGCGATCTCTGTAGAGGAGGTCAGTTTGCTAGCTCATAAAAAGTCTTCCCCCATTTCCAACATATTACAGTTTTATACAAAATGTCTTAAATGTTTTTTTACACTTTATTTTACTGTCCCCATGGACAGATTGACAAAAGGCTAAAGTCTCTGGAGCGCTGTCAGTCGTTGGAGGAGATCCAGCGTCTCTTTGAGGCTGCAGACTTTGATTCCGTTGTGCGTCTGCTGCAGCCCACTCTTAATTATGGCAACCGGACTAAAACTCTGGAGTTTGTGAGCTCCGCACCAGAGCGGCCTGCTCAGCTGATGCTACTGCAGGTTTGATGTGCTCCGACAATACTGACTGAACCTGTATATCCTTTTGAAATGTGTGCATGTTGACATTTGATATTGGTCCCTCTCCCTGGCCTAGAACGCGCTTCTGAAGCTACAGGACTACCGGCAATGTTTTGAATGCAGCGAGTTGGCTCTGAATGAAGCCCTGCAGCAGCTCAACTCTGCATCAAACAACTCTCCGCCTAGCAAGGAGGAGTGGGTCAGTACCATTGGAAAGCTACTGGATGGCACCGAGATCTGCTTCATCAAAGACTCCGGGCTCCTGAGCAGTGTCCCCCACTTCCCTAGTATGGCTCGACTGGCAAACAATCTTATCCAGGTAAGAAGGGAGCCGAAGAAAACATTTAGTTTACTAGAACGTCCGTGAAATTACATTGTAAAAAATCTGCCTCTGTGGAATTTTTATTTATTGTGTTGCATGTTTTTGTATTTTCAGCTGATTGATCTGAGCATGAACATCTCGGACGATCCCAAGGAGCCTTACTTCTTCTCGGTTTTGCCTTGGATCATCCTGTATCGCATTATCAAACAAGAGGAGGCTGTGTTTAACTGTATGCTTCGACAGCATATGTCCGCAGGGGATGATGAAGGTTTGTTGACCTCTTGTTTTCATGCCTCTGGGTTTTCCTCTGTGTTTATGCTGTGGTAGCTTTCGCACCAAATGACCCTTGCAAGTTTTTTTTTCCAGATGACTCTGACGCTCCCATGCTGCCCTCCTCACTGATGCTTCTGAACACAGCCCACGAGTATCTCGGCCGTCGCTCCCTGTGCTGCTACTCGGAGGGCGCACTCCTCAAGTTCTACGTAAGTCTGTTTGTAGACTCGTCTCTGCCTGTACTGTACTCTGGCCAAGGTGACGAGTGAATGCACTGCTCTCATACCTGCTTTGAATCCTTCCTAGTTGCAGGTGTAGACCTGATATGTATTTATTTGTGTTTGTTTCTCTAAAGTCAACAACTTGACAGCGCTGCATTCTTTCGCTTGGTACAGGTTCAGGTTTTGAAAAAGGAGGTTGCAGCCTCATCCAACAATGACTCTCATCCCTACAAAGAGGAGTTGGAGATGGCCTTGGAACAGTGCTTTTTCTGCCTCTATGCCTACCCCAGTAAGAAGAGCAAGGCCCGCTACCTCGAGGACCACTCATCTCCACAGGTTACTCATTCAGATGCTTCCAAGTCTCGGTTCCCGTCTTTCAAATTAACATTGTAATTAGGATGGCTGCACATTTAATCAAATATTAATTTCTAGTAGGATTTGGGCTTTGTACAGTTAAATGAACACGAGCAACTGGAAATTTGAGATCAAAAACGCGTGGAAAGCTCTTTGATATATCATGTGAAGCGCTTCCTTAACTAATAGCCCACTGAGAAGGTACCGTGTACCTTAAAACCTAATGTGAATGTGAGCCTGTAGTCAAGAGTCAAGTATTTCTTACTGGAAAGAGTGTAGCACAACATGTAAGTGAAAGCAGTCCGGTCTTGATTTAACTGACTGTGCCATAATAATATTTGTATAAAATATCAAAAGTAATCCTGATTATCATTTTGGCCATGATTGTGCAGCCCTAGTAGTTAGTTCCATAAATGTAAAATGACTAATGCTCGGACGTTGAATCCATTTACGTTGCATACAAAAAAATGTCATATGGGAAAGAGGTGTGGAAAGTTTTCATCACCTGCCATCTTTCTCGTGTGCTGGCAAACCAACATACATGGAGTTTGGCTGCCAGTGACGCAGACACGTGTCCTCATTGGCGCAGACATGTGTCCTCATTGACCCGTACACAACTCAGAGGTCCGCTTCATCCATTAATGCTGTTGTGTCCGCTGGTGAGGTGTGCATGTCTCATATCCCTGAATTCAAATTGAGGGGTTGAGATGGAATAACTGCGTAAAAGCATGAAATTGTTGCAGTGCAAAATTTAAACACATTAAATCATCCATCTTCACAATAAAAGCCTAATTGGATCAGCACCACTTAAGATACAAAATCGTTAGCTAATCCGGAGGTATGTAATTCAGAGTCAATATCCTCAGGGAGATTGTAACCGCTAGAGTGACTTAAGAGACGGTAAAGCTTTTATTTTTGTAGTGCATGTGACCAGCCACCAGGTGGAGGTCATTTCCATTATTGTGTACCAGTGCATTCTGATTAAGTATGCCAACGCAGTGCCAGAAGACCGTTCCCAGGAGATGTTAATACCACTAATTTGCTCTTGCGACATGTGTACTACGGTGGAATAGGACACCAAGGTTTCCTGTGTAACCCTTCTGTGTTTTGCAGGTTGAGCTACTGTGGTCCGAGGCCCTCTTCATGTTTGAGTATTTCAAGCCAAAGTCACTGCCTGAGTTTGACAGCTATAAGACGAGCACGGTGTCTGCAGAATTAGCCAATTTGCTGAGGAGGTTTGCTGGCATCGCCCCCACAAGTGAAACCCCCACTCTCACCATGGATGAATTGGCAGCCTACATTGAGGGCATGACAGAGAAGGTCAGTTGGTGGGCCCACACTGAATTTGAGGAAGACGAGTGACTCAGACATCCTAAATAGATTCAAGACCTGCTCTCTCTATTCGTCAGTCTTCTAACCTATATTGCAGGTTTGTCACAGAGAATCATGATTTATTAAAGAAGTATTTAATTTTGATCTCTTTAAGGCCCCGTGCCTTCCTGAAGGAAGTGCTCCTGCGCCTCCAATCATTAATGAGATCTTCTACCTGCTGGCTGATTACCATTTCAAGAACAAGGAGCAGTCCAAAGCCATCAAGTTCTATATGCATGACATATGCGTGTGTCCCAACAGGTAGCTCATTTCTCTACACTAGCGTCATGAATATAAGCAAATAAATGAGATTGTGTAGGTTTTATCATAATACAACGATTTACACAATACATCAAGTGCAATGATTTTACTGGAAACGTGTATTTTTCCTCAGGTTCGACTCGTGGGCCGGGATGGCTCTAGCTAGGGCCAGTCGTATTCAGGAAAAGCTCAACTCCAATGAGCTGAAAAGTGACGTTCCTATATGGAAGCACTCCCAGGCAGTGCTAAACTGCTTTAAGAGGGCCCTGGTTATCGACGGCTCCAATCTGTCTCTGTGGATCGAGTATGGTACCGTTTCCTATTCGCTGCACACATTTGCGTCAAGGCAGCTCAAGCAGTGGCGCAACGAGCTCCCCCCAGAGGTGGTTAAACAGGTATGATTCACGTTAACAAAGATATCCTGTAGCCGAACCTTATTCACTGTCAGTTCTTGTTAAGGTCACTTTATGTCAGAGTGAGAGCATGAGCATCCATCCTGTCACTTTAGTTTGTTCCACACGTTCATTTTGTTGTGGAGTAGATTGATCCATCACCTTGAGCTATGACGGTCGTGTGTGTTGTTTCAGATGGAGGAAAGGAGAGACTCCATGTTGGAGACCGCGTTCCAGTGTTTCCAGGGAGCTTCCCGTTGTGAGGGTGACAGTGATGAAGAGGAGTGGCTCATTCACTACATGCTTGGCAAGATAGCAGAGAAACGTAAACAACCTCCGGCAGAATATCTGGAACTCTACAAAAAGGTAAACAATTTTCAGGTTACTTCCTATTTTTTTTATTTCCTGTAATTTAGGTTTAATTGGTAATTCATTAGATCAAATGTGTCATACAAATGAAAGTGTTTCAATACCCCGCCGCTCTCCCATAGAAAACGCCGAGCCGTCAGCTCGCAACTAGTGTTGCCAACAACGCTACCACTGCAAACAACTGCAGCAGTGCTCAGCTGAGGGGAACCAGAGGGTGTTGCACTTCTACAACAACCCCTCAGCTGTAACAGCAATGTGAGCGCAGTATCGAGACGTGCACTGAAAGGCTCTTTGAATTTTAACGGTTTAATGTTTGTCAGATACAGCGACGCTCCGATAACGACACACTCGTAGGGAAAGGGACTTTCTATGCTCAGGTAGACATCTGATAGAGATGGTCTACAATAGTGGTGAGAGTTGTGGTTTAACAACCCGTGACTTTCCGTCCCTAAGGAGAAACGTATTTCTAAGTACTGCAGTTTAATGGACAATCGTTTATAGAGGTCAGTGAGGTAAGTCATCTATTTGTTTTATTGAATTGTAAAAACCAGGGAAATAATAACCGTAGTATAAAAAAGCTGGAATAATCCTTCGGTTGATTACAGGCATTTGTCTTGCTCTCTCCCAAGAGTCGTTTCATAACCCGCCTACAGAAACGGAGATTGCTGCCCTTCCGCCCTCGCATGATGGTTTTTTTTTTCCTGCAGAGAACAATGTATTGAGTTAGTCATCGCTCTGCTGTTTGGATTAGATCATTAGAAGCAGATAACCCTGATGACCGCATGCATTTGACCTGTTAATTTGGACTCCCAGTTGACTTTTTGGGGGGTTGGTGATTCTTTTATATTTATAGGCAGCCCACTATCTGTATGAAGAAGCTGCTAGATACCCCCGAAAAATCCATTACCATAATCCTCCCGACCTGGCCATGGAGGCCCTCGAGGTAAACTACAAGTTCCCTGTAAATCAAACTTTTTCCGTAGCTCTGTCTTATTGATCCAGTTGCGTAACGGAGCTGTTTGAACACATTCACATTTAAAGACATTGTGCACTAGACGTTTTTTCTCCCACTTCTTTCATCTAGTTGCATTTCCGTCTCAGCGCCACCACTCTAAAACTATTAGAGGGGGGCGTGTCTGCGCTGGAACACGAGCTCTTGTTCAGTTTGCTGGTCGAAGCCGCTACCGGCCCCTTTGCCAGGGGGGAAGAGAAGAGCATGCCAAGCATGCCTCGGTCCCTTGAAAAGTAAGATACACGCTCTTGCCGGATTTACCAATAGAGCATTCAATCGCCCGGCTGGACACCCATTCTCACCACTGTTGTCGATGTGATTGCAGGGAGAAACCCCCGTCCATGACGGATGACGACTTTAATTGCTCGTCCGTTTGCATCGGAAACGTCCTCATCTCCTCCCACCCGTCGGCTGCCACCCCAGGTCTGACTTCCCCGCCTTACGTGGCCACGCCGTTTGACCACGATTACGCCAAACGCAAAACACTCCGACGGCAGCAGTGGCAGCAGCAGCGGAATGAGGAGCAGCAGGCCGATGGTACAGTCCCAGTCCTAGACTCTGTCTCTGGGGTTGGGCTCTTTGCCCTTTCTGCACTGGGACAGGACGCCCACTGGGGAGCGCTCAGATTGCTAATCACCATGCTTAATGGCTTTGGTTTCAGTCACAATGGTCCCCTTGCACTGGGTGATTGGGATGTGGTGAAATGGGCAATATGGCTTCTGTTTATTTGACTAATTTGCTATACTTGCTATACAAAGCAGCACTGTTGAAAGAGATGTGTGTGTGTGTGTGTATGATGTGTATATATCTTTTCTCGTCAGCTGTTCTTAATTTCTTTCCTCATCAATCATCTTGACACCTAATTTCTTTAATTGCTGCTTAAGCTTATAACGTTGTGGATAAATTGCAGATTCTTAATGATCCTTATTTTTGCTTTACTGTGTGATTGTGTTTTGTTTTTGATAATCTATAGCACTTTACTAATAGCAACCGATTCCTGATTACGCAGATTCTGTATTTTTTAGCAACTGCCTTATTTTGTGAACCTTCATTTAATCAGCTTATTTATTGAGCTTAAGATCTGATTCGTAAGAAGCTCGAGTGAAGCCAAATAAGTTGGATGAGACACACAACAAACCAGCAAGCCAAACACATAAACACACCCAAGCACATATGTTGGACAAACCGGGAAAATCTACAGACTTCTCTAAAAAGGTTCCCAACTAAGAGTTCATCCAATTGGATGTTGTTTTTAGTCAAGGAACTCTACACCTACACATAAAGTTGCTGATCAAGTCTTCAGTGTTTTACTGAAAATAGACTTGATAGTGGCCTGAATTGCGTGTGTCTGTGTGTGTAATGAACACAATAAGTCCTGCACATGGACCGTCTTTCATGTATGCTCTTGTACTTGCAGTGTTGACATGGTAATTGTCTTTGTTTGAATTTCACAGGAGACACTCCGTCTGTCTGATAGTTTCATATCTGAGAAGAAAACCATCATACACAGAGTTAAAATATTATATACATCTTTCAACTGTGTGCAGTGTTGGGAAACATGAACCTAAATGCCTTTTGGAGAAAACGGCCCTTACCGTTTTTTATGTATGACTAAAAAAACGTGACATCGGTTCACCGTTCCCATGTGTCATGTTTAGCTTGAATGTGCAAATAACGCAGCCATATTGCCCATGTTGCCAGTTTTGTCACCCCTTCCAGATTCCTTCCTACCTACCTGCCTGCTACCTCTTTGCCTGCTTGCTTTTACCACCTGCTTTGCCATTTGATATGCATGTAGTTCTAATGGGGTGAATGTCTCCACGGCTGGACAAAGTCCGTCCTTTATCACACTTCACTTTATTGTCTGGTTTATTGTGTGGTTACATCTTATTTAAATTTGCTGCGGGCTAGATGTGACATAAAGTCAAACCGTCTTTGGATATGTCAAAATCTCTACCTCTGAATCATGTGTGCCACTAATTGACCCTGAATGGAAATCATATCCCAATACTGTGAAAATGTCAAGATAAGAAAAATGAAAATACCCCCCCAACCCTCCATGCACATGTTTGCTTGTAGGTGTCCATGTTTTCTGGCTTGAATCCTGCTCAAAGTGGGGGCGGGGCCTGATTCAGTCATTCTTTTATCGAGGAATGATCTGGATGAATGCTGCTTTTATGATCTGCCCTTGCTCATCTATCAGAAATATTCTTTCTGCATATGTTTTACCCCTTGCTGCTCTATTAAAGGGGCACCCAGTAGTTTATTGGGCATAACGGTAGCCAGCCAGTGTGTCTTCCAAGGTTATGGGTGACTACTGCACCCACTGATCATAGCACAGGATTATTTATGTCATTTTAGGTGAGAAATATTGATGTTTAGAAACGGTAGCAATGCACTGATAGAAATTTGTGTCTGAATCAGGTTCAACATTTTCAACGAGAGTGGCATCGAATCTGTATTCATTTGTCAAGAAAGGTAATATATTTTTGAGGGAAATTGCAGATTTTTAAATATAAATTCAGATTTTATTTGGATTATATTTTAAAACCAGCTCCCCATATCTTCAACAGCCTCACCAGAGTTTGACCATGATTACTGCCTGCCCAGGTCTTCAATGTGGCTGGCTTCCCTGAATGGTACTGCTCTTCAAACCAACAAACTCTTTAAGAGGCTCTGCCGTTAATCCAAAATGAAGTGCACACGGTTGTCGATTTACACAAACCTTACAGTATCATCGTAAATGTGCTGTTAACTAATGACTGTCAAATCTTTTTTTGAAAAGTCTCCTGTATTATTCACTGGAAATAGCGAAAGTGTATTGCCCCTCTGCTTCTGTTAGTTACAACGCCCTGCCAAGGAATGTAGTCATGCTGAGGATGCACAACAAGGCAATTAAGAGAAATGCTGGTATTTTTGTTTTGGACCAGTAGGGGAAAAACCAACAATCGCTCCTTTTGATAAAAAAAACTGTCTTGTAGAATGCTTATGGGACGATTTGTGGCTCGTGATCTATTCTTGTTGCATAATTGTATATGTACAGTCAAAAGTTCAGACACACTTTCTCATTCAATTGAGTTTGATTCACCTTAAATTACAGTAAAATTGCTTTTTTTAAATGATTACTTAAACCCTATGTTATGTGTATTTACCTATGATATTCCCATAGGCTGTTATTGGCCTTGATCTGGGTCCACTCTACCGTTGGCCTGACCATGATGTTTTTGTTTTGTTTTGGCAGAGCGCAGTCAGGACAGCGAGGTGGTGATTCTCTCTGACTCCAACTCCACCCAGGACGCCTTCACAGATCCCACGAGCTCACAGGACAGCAGCCACAAACCGGCTTCTGGGAAAGCCAGCTCGTCCTCATCGGAAAGTACAACCCCGGTGAAGGACGGACAGTTCGCATCGGAGGACATAGGTACTCTCGGACTGAAATAACTGTGTTTACCGTGTCATTGCATTGTTTTAGGCAAATGGAATCAATATATATGACAGTTTACACTAAAGTACCTTATTTACATGTGCACCAAAAATTCCAGTCAGATGTGCTGTCTTGATGTTAAACCAGCAGAACGCTGTTCTCACAAGCAACACTAAAGACTTTTTTTAAATGTTTTTTTTTATTTTTTATGTACATCAGTGTTACATGGAGGAGATTCCGGCATCCAGACGGAAGACAAAATAATCCAGGAAGTAGTCGAAGCCGTGGTGGTGACCCTCCCTGAGGTCTCCGACCCCAAGGCGTCCGTGGAAGCGTGTTCTCATCCTCCGCCTGTCCCTGCCACCCCACCAAAGCCCCCCCACTCTCAACAGCCGGCGCCCCAAACTCCGGCCAGCGAGAGCAAAAGGAAGCCGGAGCCCCCGGCGGAGCCGATCGAGGTGCCCACAGCCCTGCCCGCAGATATTGGCGACCAGAGACGAATGCTGGTGGAAATGTGCGTGCGGGCTCTCTTCCTTTGCCTCGGCCGCTTCCCTCAGCACTACAAGAGCCTCTACCGCCTGGCCTACTTCTACTCCAGCAGCAAGACCTATCGGGTAAGTCCCCCCCGTTAAATGACGCCACTGGCCCTTTCCGTTGCATTTCAATGGCCGCTCCCTACGTTGAGCCAAAGCGCTACGGCTGTAATCAGTATCCCTTCTCATTAACGCTGACATTTACAGGAGATGGGGCTCGATGAGAATTCCTTCAATTTCCTCGAAAGGCCAATGAACTTTATTTACATTGTCCCAAATACAGATACATCAGTGCTGCAACGGCTCTGGTCTTTTTGACGGGTCTGTGAGCTCTGCAGTAATCCATGAGTTGCTGAAGCAGCCTGCGTTGGCTGCGAGGCTCTGTGGGCAGAGGTGTGCGTGGGTGGCAGCGCACGGCTCGCTCGGCCAACTTGGCACAGTGAGGTTGCGTTGAGCTTTCCTCTGGTGGCGTCCTCCCGCCAGCACTCTGTCAAACTGTTAATACAGCCTTTGTCCCTACTAGAGGGGTTGGGACTGGAAAAGCCCAAGCTTTTCCAAAATGTTTGCTCGTCTGAGAGTACTATGTGTGCAGCGCAGTGTGTTTTATGGCTCCCTGTGGTAATGTCTACCTAATTGCTTTAATACTGAAGAAACCGTTTTATATTATTATCAGCTAGAATTAATGTATTGCGGAGGATTTCCTTGAGTCTCAGTTAAATGAAGACTATATTTAGAACTTTCCCAGATGGTCAGGTTGTCCCTGTTGTTTCCAGTGTGGTTATCAGCAGAACTGGATGAATACAAATGCACGCTGGCAGCGGCTCGATGTCAGTCAGTTTATGTGAGGCTGTTGACACATGTTGCTCAGCTCCACTCACAACCAGACACCTCGCACGTTAAAAGCGTCTGTTCCCCTTTTGTACGCGGGACAACTGCTCCTCTAACGTTGACCTGCCAGCTTTCTCCTCACTCCAAAGATGGAAGGAGAGGGAGTTGTAATTCCATGCCACAGCTTACTGGGTTTGTGAGCCACAGCGTGAAGTGCCATTAGCTTGCCGTCATTTAAAACTGGTTTAAACACGGATTTATGAGTCATCCCCATGCTTTTTCCTGATCACAAATGAGCATAATATTTTATTATTATTACAGGTCATTTAGCAGACGCTTTTATCCAAAGCGACTTACATTACACTTTAAACCCATGGCTTTTCACATTTTTGCCTGGGGAGCAATTAGGGGTTAGGTGTCTTCGACATGGAACATGGAATCGAACCACCAACCTTGTGCTTCCCAGCACACCCCCTCTAACCCCTGCGCCACGACGACGACGATTTTAATGATATATGAATCAGTAGATGCATTGATATCTTATTGTTTATACTGCTGTGCGTATATAAATGTGTGCATTCACATTCATGTTTTATTTTCTTAATTAATTCATTTATTTGTATGCCACAGAACCTACAGTGGGCCAGAGATGTGTTGCTAGGAAGCAGTGTCCCATGGCAACAGCTGAAGCACATGCCAGCACAAGGACTTTTCTGTGAAAGAAACAAGACAAACCTATTCAATGTAAGTCACTTCACCATGTTCGACATGGTTCTTCTTCCTCTCCACATCGCTATTCAAACTGTTTGATAAGGTGGCAGATCTCCCAACATTTTATTTGCAAGAGATACCATTGCATATCACGATTAACCTTGGTGTACATTGGTGATGAACGTTTTCCTTGAATGACTTGGGACATAAACAAAGTTTCTTAAAGCAAGTTTCAGGCGAGGTTTCGCTCAAAAGATTTGACTCAAATCTCTACTTAAAATCTAATAAACGAGTGCATTATTTTGACTCCAAAATAGGTGTAACAAAACTTTTCAGGGTATTTGCGCTGAAAGTAATATTCCAGAATGAAAATGGTCTCCTTGGCTAAGCCCAGGCTGCTGGGTGAAATATGTCACTTCTTGGTCTACCGGTTTGTTTTGAATCGTGTATGTCACATCTGGCTGAAGCTATGTACCCATGTAGAATTATTTCACACACAGTTTAGGAATATTCCCAAATAAAATCCTACGTATTTTGCTAAGATACAAATTGCGTGTCTCACATGCACAGAATCACTCGTCTTACTCTAAAATGAAGCTTCATCCTAATACAAACTTGCACAGCAGCAGCAACTAAAATCGACACCCAGAGGAAGAACCACTGAAGTGTGAGCTGCTGTTTGTGAATAATGATCTGTACGCGTGTTTTCTGTGAGCAGATGATTGGCCTACCATTACTACATCTACCCGTGTCACACATGTTATTCACGTAATTCAATTGGATGCACAAGATCATCCCCTAAATATGAATCACTAGATGCGTGCGCTGCCATGAATAAAGCCGCGCAGTGGGGGATTGTTGAATTATCTCCCTTTCAGAATTACAAGGCCTCTGCTGCGTTCCAGTGAAGGAGATTACATCCGTTTTGAATGTCAGTTCATTTAACTGTTCTCACTTGAAGCAGATATTATTTCCGTGCGGAAGTTGGCTTTGTATTTTTAATTTTTTTATTTGCTCCTTGTGATATTTGTCAACGGCTAAATGCGCTCACTTGCGCCACAGAGCTGCTGGTACAAGCAGAACGCCACATCCCGTCAGCATCGCATGCAGGTCTGTTTTCTGGGAGTGTTTCGGTGGTGCAGTATTTTGGCCATTTGATTGTGTAGACTCCAGAGTCAAATGCTGACTCCAGAAGGCTTCTGGTGACAGCCTGTAGAAGCGATGTGGGCTCGGTCTGAGCTGGACGAGAGCTCTGCAGCGCTGCGTCCCCCACTGGGTTCTCGCAGAGCCCCTTCTGGAGGCAAACCTGCCACTATGGCAGACCAACTGGTGAAGCTTAACTGTTCCCATCTCCCTTCACTAGGACAGGACAATGCAAACCTTTCTAAATATTCATCAAACATGCCCGTTTTCATTCAGTCTCTGGGTTCCGGGTAGTTTGAAACGCATAATATATTCTGTATTTTCATGCTTTTAAATTGTTAGAAAGTTCTTGCCCGGTAGCAGCCAAAACTCTTCAAGTCAGCTTTTCTGAGCTGTATTAAGTTGTGAGCTGCGTATGTTAATTTCAGCTCACAGACATCTGCGTTTAGCCTGATTCATCGGTGCGTTTGTTTTGAGTAATTCCTCTTGTCACTCCATGGTCAGCGTGAGAGCTGCTAACAGAAGGACAAATTGCGTTGATCACATATCAAACACGTGGCGCCTTGGTGTCATGAAAAGTTGACTCTGGCGTGTTGCAGTGAGCCTGTTAGAGGTCCCTTAATGTAGGTCACGATGCCCTACTTTCCCCTCCTGCTTTGGCTGGACGACACATGCTGGGGCCGGCAAAATAACCCACATATTGCTGTTTAGAAATGATCCACACGACGTTGTGTAATTTATTTTTATTGGTGATTGGTGAGTCCTCGCTTTGAGGGCCAGTTCACTTTTAAACCAATGACAAACTGATTGAGTTCTTGATAAATATCATAATATTTAGTTTTTTGGGAGTAATTTGAGACATATGTAGTATATATAAAACAACCACATGGTTGGTTATTGGTTTGAGTGGTTCCATACTAACAGGCCCCGTGTCTGCTCAGCACGGCCAAGATCTCGTGTGTGTGTGTGTGTGTGTGTGTGTGTGTGTGTGGGTGTGAGTTCACTCTGGCACGGTGATTCCTTCCCCTCGACCAGGCGCACACGCTTATATACACATGCTCTTGCTTACATATTCCTCCACCCACTCATTCTCTCTCTACGGAGCGCGTGAAAAAAATGGACTACCTTGTTGCTACGTTTTGGAAAGACATAAATCTATCCTGGTCCCAAATCTTTGCGGAGGATTCTGTCTTTTTAGAAGCAGCAATTGTTTGATTTCACTCCCTGAATGTCACTTTGCTAATAGGTAGGGCCACGTGTTTTAAGGTAGTCTTCAGTTATTTCTTGCTTCGGTTTCCTGGAGGACTCAAATATGTGTTTCCTCAGCTGTCCAATGTGCTCCAGGTGGAGCTTCTTAGAGAACCTTGTTATTTATTTATTTTTCTTAGGGGAGGAGTATTGGCCCAATAAATCCATTCGGTTGAAGTCTGTGTTATAATTTTGACTTTGATTGAACTGCTCTAAATCTGGCTACAGATATGTTTTCCATTGCCTCCTTTGTTCACTTGAACGTGACATTTTTCAGCAGCTCCCCCCCCTTCCCTCACTCACAACACAGGAAGCAGGAAAAACCAGGTGTGTTTTAAGTGTGTTCACGGTGGCCGGCTGCAGAGGCACGGCCAGAGTTGGGAAGGAGGAAAGGAAGCAGGTGAGGGCTGTTGTACTGGAGGAAGGACTTTGTGAACACAGTTGTATCTGTACAGGCGGCGCGGTTCTTCAGTCGGCGTTTCTGTGGTTGCTTTCACTCCCTCAAACCGGTTGTCTTTCGCTCTTAATTTCTGCCGGTTCTTTTTCCACTATTGGCGTGACTGCCCGCTTTGATTGACGCCACCCACCATGTTGCGGCGTCATCGAGTTCATTCTCCGGCCAGTTTGTGTTCTCTTGTTCTTTTCCTTCTGCTCAGTCTTCGGGTTGATCACGCTCTCCCCCTCCCCCTGGCCCTCATTCTCTCTGCTCATCGCGGCTCTCTGCTGCACTCGTTGTGCTTCCTCATTACTCCCTCTCGCCCCTCTGTTTGTGTGTGTGTGTGTGTGTGTGTGTGTGTGTCTCGTGTGTACCAACGGGGCGGAAGTTTCTCAACCTGCATCCGATTGGCTGGCAAAGGCCTACGAGGATTGGCTGACAGTTGTGTACACTGCGAGAGAAAGGAGAGGGGGGGGAGGAGGGGGAGGACTCCAGCAGGCTGGGGTCAGGGGAGAGCGGAGATGGAGTGCGTGGGTGTTTTTGTTTTGAGATGGCAGTGTTTGAAGGCAGGAGCGGAACGAGTCAGTGGCATTCTGAACCAGTAGGCCCCCGACCACAGCGCCGTTTCTCCTGCTGCCGCCGTCCGCCTCTTCTCCTGCCGTGTGCGGCTCTGCTTCCCGATTCTTCTCGCTGCCTGAGCAACCAAATGTAGCCCACCGATTGCTCTCGCGGCGCGAGCCTCTTTCAGGGTGGAGGCGCTGTTGGTGCTGCTTCCCCCGGCAAGAAACTCCCCAAAGGAATACTGACACGAGCGCAGAAGAGTAGCTTTTCTTTGGGGATGGTAAGTCTTTCTTTTCTGACTTTTACAAAATCCAGAGGAAGTTTAGGTGCATTTCTGTTTGAGCAGAGCTCCTGTGTCGTTTTTGTAGGTTTGTGTTACAGTTGGAGGGGTCTTTTTTTATTCTGTGATCTTGTTGAATGTTACAGATTAAGAAAAGCGAATGTACTGAATGAAGTCCTCCTGAAGGTCTGAATCTGTCCTGCTATGCAAATATTCATAATGGTTAACTGTGAACCTCCCACCTGCCGGATGCAGGTAGCTTTAGCAGGTAACTGTCCATCGTGGATTTGTTTGTGTGGGGGGTCGTAATCCTACAATCTACAGCTGTAGTAGTTTATGAAATAGTGATGTTGTTACAAGTAAGTTGCATTATTGGCTGAAAATCCCCTGCAGTCATTAAGTTTTCCTGTGGTCATATGTTGGACCGCTGCCTTTCCTGCCACTGACGGCACGTTAAGAGATGAGTCGTTAAGACGACTCAAATCCTGTTCAGCAGACAGCCAGTTGGTTCAGGCGGTCACACAAGGAAGAAGAGGGACCCAAGTACTTGGTCCATGCTCGACACTATGTTGCTGTTTGTAACCCATGAATAAGTGAGTAATTGTGATTTCTTAAGGGTGTGACTTGTGTCTGTTTTGCTCCGGATAACCCATTTGTACCAAAGGCTTTTCTTGTCATTTATTTATCCCTTGCCCAGTTGTGGTTTGTTTCTATGTATCTTAATCTCTGTCTGATTTTTGCATTATGTATTGGTCACATCTGCTAAAGCTGCTCTACATATCAAGCAACGGTCATATTTTATCTCTCAAAAAAAAAAAGATGCTTAAAATCATTGCAGTTGGTCTTACAAATCTGCTTTGGCTGTTGTGCTATGGAGTAATCTGTGCAAAGCCATGGCTCTGCTTTGCCTAAACAGATTTTCTGCAGTTGGATGGGTGTCTGATGAAGAACAACTCTCCTCCATTAGAGATGTTTTTCTAAGTGTTCGCCGCCCACCCCCTCATCATACTTGTCCTATTGCTGTTGGAGGCATTTGCTAATCCTTGCATTGGAAGGTTAAAACCTTCCCAAGCCCCTGATTGCATCATATGATGATAAATATTCTCATTTTCACGCAGTCATTTGAGCCATCCGCTGATTCTTTGGTTTAGTTTCATCAGAATGAATCATCTCCTGTGTCATCGGAGAAGAGATTTATGCCAAACGGAGTCGGTGGCCCTTGTGTACTAAAAGTGATGAATGCATCCTTGATTCATGAACCTGTTTAATTCTTCATGATACCTTTTAAGACATTTTTCATGAAAGGGGATAGTATAAAGGCCTGAAGTATGACATCAGAGTTTATTGCAAAACCTCCTCGGCACTCTGGAGGTTGGATTTTTTTTTTCTTCACTTTCTGGCAAGATCCATTGTTTGTTTTTGTTTTTTTTGCTTCTTCTCCGTACATTTTGTACATTCTCCAGTGTTTTGGGGATTTATGCATCGAATAGTTTGCTGAGGCTCGTACGGAGGACTCCACGCTCAAGTACAAACAAGGTCTACATCCGTCCTTTGGGACTGTGATTTGTTTTGAGGGTTTTTTATTCACCGCTCTTCTCGCTTTTGTTCCACACCGTTGGCTTTGGAAATGCCATCTGACAATGTGGAGCCGTCTACGAGGAGGAGCTCCCCAGGGCCTCCGGCAGCTGACGGAGCCGCCTCGTTTGCTTTGTTCCGTCCCGACGCAGTCATCTTTGTTTTCGTCTCGCACACGTTTTCGGTATTCAACGCCATGTGCTATATGACTGTACGCAGCTTAGGCCACCATCTGCCCCTCTCATCAGTGGCTTCAGAGGGCAGAACCTCGCCTCGCTTCACCTGCTGAGAGGACATGTGCTCACCGAACAAGGTGGACTTGTCCGTCACCAAAGAGAGCCGGGGTTTGTTGGCAGCCGGGCCGCTGGTCTGTTGCTTGGACAGAGCAGAGCACTAATGAGGCTGCGTGTCATGAGTGAGATACCTCCCCACTTCCCCACCTCCAACATGGCCAACCAGTCCACAAGATCTTTCCTGCAGCCTTTTCCCTCATTAGGCTTTTCTTGTTTGACGGTCCTGTTTCGAAGTCCTTTTGTGTTTTACACTACTTTCAGTTTTTCCACATCGCCCCGTTGATCGTTGGTCAGCTTGTACCTTCTTTTAAGCCTATTAAAACCCATGAGTAGCAGCAGAGCTCAGTCATAAAAACATAACTTCGATCATCAATCAAATATCTTTGTTAACGTTGATTGTACTACAAACTGCTAACTCCACATTCCACTTCTTTCTCTCTCTGTCACCCTTCAGGGCATCTGGCGTATTCCTGTGGATGAGATTGATCGCCCGGGAAGTTTCGCTTCTCATATGAACCGATCCATTGTCCTCTTACTGGAGGTGTTGTCTCAGCTTAAAGATCACGATACTCTGGTGAAGGTCTCTTTCATGCTGCAGAGAACCCCTGACCAGGGAAAGTAAGGCTCCACTTCGTTCGTCACTTTGTTTCTGTTGTGTTTTATGTGACGCTTCCATGACGGTCTCTCTCTGCTGCGCAGGAAGTATTTACGGGATGTTGATCGGCAGGTTTTGGCCAAGAGAGCTTTCTTCCTAACTGTAAAAGTCCTGGAGGACAATCTGAACAGTCTCAAAGGGGTAAGCGAGAGCAAGTCACCGCACGCGAGACTCGAGAGCTGGCGCCCGCTTCGTATTTTCACCGCTTCTGTTTTCTCTCAGGTGTCTGAGCAGCTCCACAAAGCACCCGTGCCCTCAATGGGGGAGATGACCACAACGGACGCATCCAACAGGCCCAGCTCGGAGGACGGAAAACATGCTGCGCTTAAGAAGCCCGAGATCCCAGAGGGGGCTTGTGCCCGTGAAACGGCGCCCAAGGAAGCCTGCCAGGCCCAACTCGTCCCGCTGGCCGTAGACGCAGGGGGTGAAGTTCAGGAAATCTACCCCGGGAAGACGGAGACCGCTGTGGGCGAGGGACACAAGGCGGGGCCGGAGGAGCCCATGGAGCTCGACCCCGGCCACTGGAGGAGGCCCGCCGCGACCGCCGACCCTCAGCACACCCAGACGGCGGCCTCGGCGAGTGTCGCGCAGCCCCAGCCGAAAGTGACCGACAGCAACCGGACGCCAGAGCTGTCTCTGGAGGAGCTCAGCATCAGTTCGAGGCAGCAGCAGCTCCAGGCGTCGGCGGCCAGGCTCACGGTGGCGGCCGGCGGGGCGGCTCAGGGGTTACTCCGGCGGCCCAGCAGGAAAAGGAAGCTTCTCGACGACGTGGAGTCCGGAAAGACGTTGCTGCTCGACGCCTACAGGGTGTGGCAGCAAGGCCAGAAAGTCATGACGTACGACCTGGCTCGCATTGAAAAGATCATGTCGGAGACCTACATGCTCATGAAACAGGTAAAACCTCTCTGCGCATTGGGCTGAGCTCAGGAAACCCCTCTAAATAACCTCTAACTGAATCAGCAGCACAACAGCCACTGTAGACGGGACTTTCCCTCTTTCAGCTGCTGACTCTAAAAGTAACCACAGGCTATTTTTAAAGATGTAGTGGGTTTTTTTATTTTACCTGCTGAGCTGCTGTATCGTTGTAGATTCAGTTACAACTACATTTAGAATTTCTGCTCCAAATGATTGTTGAACGGTCAAAGACGTGTAAATGCGGAACAGAAGCGGGCTTCTGTATTGTTAACTATCCTTTATTATATGAAATCACTACAATAACTTTCTCCTGCGTATGTGTCAAAGAAGCGGGAAGTTTCTTTGTAATTCAGTTTTTGAAAGTTAGTCAAACTTTTACTCATCAATCAATGCTGTAGATACAAAACCCCACACATCAGCCTGTAGCCACATGCTCGCCCTACAGGAGTTGCTGTGTGATGTCATAGAGCTGTATGTAGGTGAGGGACAGAGTAGATGGGCCAGTTTCAGCAGCTCTTGTTGTTGTCTACCTTGTGTCACTGCTACGACTTTTCTTCCTGTGCTCTTTAAGAGGCGCCGAAGCAAATATTTTCCGTGAGACGCGCCCATAAGGGAGAGTAGTCAGAACCAGCCACGACATGTTTCCTGTCACAGAGTGAATTGAGCAATTAATATGCCTGGACATTTTCCAGACTCATCTGCTGTTTCTGTGCGTACTGGAAGGAGCCGCACTGCTTTGTGGTTTGCTGCACTGCACAGCTGCATGTTGTGCTTGTTGATCTGTAACTTGCATCCTTTTTTCATCCATGTTTGTGTGGTTTTACTGCTGCACTTCTTCAAAGGTGGTACATTTCAGTGAGTTTTGTGTTCCTAACACGACCAGAATACAGCATGTCACGTCGCAGTAAGTTGATGTGCTAGAGTAGCTGTTACTACACGATATTGACAAGTCATTACTGCAAAGCGTAAGCGGTCTGACAGGAGGGTGGCGTGAATCGGAAGCACAGGGCTGTCCTTTGCGACGCACAAGAAGCTCGCCTAAGTCCATCTAACAATTGTCATAATTTGAAAACCGTGAGGTTGCTGTAAAAGAAAATCCCTCCCTTTGGGGGTCCCTGAACCTCTGCGCACAACAGGCTGCTAGAAGCAACAGCTGTGTGAAGAAGATTACTGCTCTGTGTACAATGTTGAGCTGTGGCTAAGCTCGCTAACTCCCACGCATCCACTCGCCGTACTGGGCCTTCGTTTGAGCTTTACTCTATCGCTGTGATCAGAGGCACTGGCTCTGATACAAAATCCAAATTATTTATTGTTTTGTCAATACTGCGGAGGCATACTGGGTAATTTAACCGGGTTTGTACATGGGACCGATCATCATAGAAACGTATGGGCAATGTTGCAGAATACGCTCTCAGCTCGTGTTCTACGACGAGGTCGCACTGATAACAATGTCAAAGAAGAATATAACCACGAGCTTACGTCGCTTCGACATGCCGCTGTGCCCTAATGACCCTCTTCTGCCTGTTCTCCCGTCTCAGGTTGATGAGGATGTAGCTCTGGATCAAGCTATGAAGTTCTGCCAGATCCAGTTGGCCACTTCTGCCCAAAGACAGGTAAAATACAACTACGCCACTTTTTTCCCTGGTTCACCATCGCTCATGTTGAAGTTTACATACATATTAAGAGCTAAATGTACATTATATATATTCCTGTTTCCTTTTGTTTTTGTCCGACACGTTAAGAGAAAAGTCTCAGGAGGTTGCGATGATTGAAGGCTTCACTCGAGACGAGTTCAAGCAGTGGTGTTTTAATGCGCAACCATCTATCCTCATCCGCTCCATCCCGTTGGGGGTGACCCCCCTCACGTCCCTCCTCCTGCCCACATCCTGTTGTCACGGTGACGTTCCCCTGAACCTCAGGCCTACAGGAAGTAGCTTTGAGCAAAATTAATGGATTTTCCCAGTTCACTGATCGCGTCATCTTATTATCTGCCTGAATCTTTTTGTTGTTCATATTAGTTTTGTCTCTGCATTCGTTTGGTCTAATTTTCCCGCCTAAATACACGACAGAGATAATTGTGCAGACGTGGAAAAACATTTGCAGTGCGAGAAAAGCTTGCGGTGCTCTGTGTGGTTTGCTCCCTCACTGTGATGCCATACCGTAATGACACGCCGACATGCACTTAGTTACTGTCACTCAGCGAATGGCTGATCCACTTTCATGATCTTTCTGCTTTTTACGGTGACTTTTAGTTACTCGATGGAGGTACTTCATTAGAATACTCCTCTCCCCCTGCTCTCTATCCGCAGGCTTCGAAAAAAAACCGGGTTTTTGCTTCTCAAAGGTTCCAGTATCAGTCCATCCCCTTCAGTGCAGGCAATTTAATTAAAATGTTCTGTTGGTCGCTCATGCAGTCGTGTTGAGGGAACTCCTACACTAGCCGACCGTAATGATTGCCCAGAACCATCTTTCCATTCGCATTGTGAAACGCCAGGTTGTCAGCCAGCCGCCCACTCTCACGACACTGCAAACCTACACGCACGCCGCATGACGTGTGAAATAGTGCTGCTATTTTCCCAGGTGCGCCGTGTTTCTATCCAGCTGACTTGTTGGTGTCCTTGTTGTGGTGTTTAATTCATGAGATGTGAATCATCAAAGGCCGGCGGCGGAGCTGCTGCTGCGTGTCGACTCTGCGTTGGGCCGACGGATGTGTCGAAGCTTTTGGAAGGCCACTCTGTTTGTTGGAGTCGCCTGTGTGAATCCCGTGGGGAGCTGCGTCGCACACAGCTGTGATTCAGAGCACACTTTGGCTTAAACTCCCAGCCGAGTGCTTGAGGGGAAAAAAATTGCTACGCTACGTTTTTGCCAAATGATCTTGTGCAGGCATATTGTATCTGTCAAAGCACGCTTGTCATGGAAGTAGTGTGGGCCTGTGACTTAAGAAATGTACCTCTCACATGAAGACGCTCTCATTCTCTGGTGCAGGAAATCCAAACAACATATTTGCTTTTTACAGGTCTGCATAATTAATGCAATACAATTCTCTAGATACATCACATGATCACGTCAGCTTTTTTCATATAGCAGAGTGCAGAGCTAGAGAGGTTTATAAGGGCTATTTGTCCTCCTAACTTCTCGTCTTTGTTTGAATCGAAACCTAGAGACGGTATATTCATTTCTTTTAACCGCGCTCCTCGGTGTTGCCATGGCAGCGGCTTTGGGAGCACGGCGCATGTTGTCACAGGTTGTTTGTGCAGCTCTTGTGCTTGTAAGTGGTCCTCGAAAGGACACGCAGGAAAGTGGCTCAGAGGGATGTGGTGTGGCGTAGAGCCGAGCTCCTCGCCAGAACCCAACACCGGGTCCAACACACAAGTCAGCCTCTGAACCCCACGGCGGAGGGACTACAGGAACTACTGACGCGTTGTTTGAGAAGGTGCAGCGGCATCGACTGTGACTGTGAGCAGACTCCGTCTCCAGGGAAGAGGATGAGCAGTTCTCAGTCAGCGGCCTGAGCCGAGGAGGGTCCACGCGGCCGGTGGACCTCCACCATCGCTCGCAGCCTTCTCACCAGCGCTGCTTTCCCTTTTTGTGTCCGACAGTCTGCAGGCGATGCCCCGACCACGCCCAAGTACACCAAGGACCACCGAGACATCTTCTTCCCCGCCTCGCTTTCGTCCCCCGTCCTGCTCAGCCACGCCGCGTGCCACCCGCTGTCCACCCCGGAGGGTCAAGCCAAAGTGGTGTACGAGCCCCTGAGCAAGTTGTCCAGACCTCAAGCGTCAGCATTCCACGATCAGCCGCAGCAGAGGAGGGCGTCAAGCCATCCCGCCGCCGCCATGGCCTTCCTACCACACACAGGTACGGTGCCCGCCTCTCCAAAAACAGCACTCTATAATTAAAAGTCACATGCGTGGGAGATTTGAATGAGAAACTGCTCTTTTGCAATTTGCGAGATGAGTTTGTGAAGATCCTGGTGTGCTTTAGTCAATGTGACCAGCAGGGGGCACCTGTGGACTTGATAATGACATCTTACATAACAGCAGACTCTGGTATGCTTATGTTTTGCCTGTTGGGTCCTGCAGTCTGCTGCTCCTTCTCTGAGCCTCTGGAGAGGTTTGACAAAGCTATTGCATGCACCTTTTTTCATCATGAATCATTTTACTCAAAGTGTGTGTAACCTCTTGCTGCATATTAGCAATTTCTGTGGATCCGTGTAGAAGTTATTAAAGTAGGTGATGTTGCACATACAGACACACACAGGTTCCCATTCAGAGGCACTGTTCACATTGGTGGAGACGCCTGAACGATTATTGGATCATTTCTGCTTTTCGGCTGCGGGAAATGCTCACCCATCTCCGGCATCTCCCTTTGTCATATTTGATTGATTTCACGGACCGTTGGTTGCTTTGTTGGCAGAAGATGGTAAATGGACTTGATTGATCACTGAAGAATAACAAATATAGTAAAACTGTGATGAAGTCTCTTTAAAGGGCGTTTTGTCGCTGCTTTGTTTGTGCCCCCAGATGAGCGGGAGGAGCCCTCAGAAGGACTTCCCTACCGACAGCAGGAGTCCCACCTTTGCCAGCAGATGAAACTCGCCACTGTATCCCAAGGCCAGCAGTCAGCAGTAGCAGCAGCAGCAGCTGCCGCCTGGTTCCAGGGGGAAACGGCCACATGTAGTACCGCACAACCATGCCCAGGTCAGAACCTTTTACCAGGAGGTATGACAAACTGTCTATTTAGGACTCTGTTGCTTCATAATCCTTGAAAATGTTAAGAAAACGTCCTCTTGTTTCTCTCCTCAGACCAGCAGCAGTATGCCAGCGACGATCCGTCCAAACTTCCAGACGCCGGCCGAATCCGCTCCCGTGTCCCGCACAACATGCCAAAGCTTTACATCCCTTCCTCCGTCACCAAGTTCCCACCAGAAATCACAGTCACGCCGCCGACGCCCACGCTGCTGTCCCCTAAAGGCAGCATCTCAGAGGAGACCAAGCAAAGACTGAAGGTAGGCGCTTAGCGCTCACTGCAGAGTGCGCAGCTGTTTTTTGTTTCCTGCTTTTTAATGCGGACTGCCACAGCAGATCATCGCTTACATTGTTCCTACATGGATATAAAAGTAAAGCCATAATAGCTTCAGCGTTCTTCATCGTTCTCCGGCGCCATTGGGTCGTTCGCTCGTGCACGTCAAAGCGAACGTAATTTGAGAACTATTTCTGCACAAAAAATATAAGAATATCTCTACAAAATTTACGTCGTTCAAACATGGAATGTTTAAATACAATAAATCAACTTTTTTTCCCTTTTTTATTATTTAGTCAAATTGTCTTTAAAAGAAAATTGTGATTTCTTTGATTCGTTTTTAGTTATTATCAATGACACTTTCAATACTTGTATTAATTGCTCTGGTTTATTAATGCACGTACCATTTACCTTCGGTTAAACAGACTTCATTGGTATCAAGCATTTAAAAAACTAAACTTAAAGATGAGTACAGCAGAGTCCTGAGGTCAAACTGCTATCTGCTCCTCCACAGAACGTCATTTTGTCGTCTCAGTCTGCAGCCACAGTCAAAAAGGACACTCTGAGCCAGCCGGCGCTGGAGGTGCAGGAGACGTCCAGCCAGGAGTCGTCTCTTGAAAGCGAGTCGGAGGAGGAGGAGGAGGAGGATGATGAGGAGGAGGAGGAGGAGGATGACGACGACATGGATATCTGAGGCGCTGGAGGCCTCGTGTGCACGCTGAAACTGAATGAGGCTTTTTTGTCGCTTCTGTGCCCTCTTGCCTTAAAGGGGAATGGTACATGTCACTGCGGCTCTCTGTCGATGCTACTTCTCCCTCACGTGCATCACAAGAAAGCACCCCAGCCCCCCCACCTCCTCCCCCTCCTCCCCAGAACTGAAATACAAATGCAGTACTCTTTTTGCCTGTCATGTCCCGCCCTGCTCCTCAGCCGTGATGGTGTGTGAGAGGGATGAGGATGGCTTTAGTCCCGCAGCACGTCTGTAATGTTCCATTCATACACATCGCACAGCGGCGTGTCCGGCTCTCCTGCACTCGGCCTTTAAAGCCGGCCTGTTCCGTGTTTGTTTTTCTACGCCGTGTGCTGACTGCACCTCCAAGCTGCGGCCAAACAAAAGTCTGAGGGGCCTCGGTCTGGACGGACGCCCGGGCAGCACGGGTCCGCTGTCCACCACCTTTTCATCGGCAACACCCATTGCATTGGGACACGACATGTTTCAATGGACACCAGGGTGAAATAAGGACAATGGGCTGCATTCGAGGTTCACCTGTGGAGCCTCACAACCTGTAGCACATTAGAAATGTTTACATTGAACAATATGGAGGTTTTTCAGTTGTCACTAAAGTTTGTGCTATTTTTGTATACATGTAATATTTTGTCCTATATATTCCATTTTTTTTTGTGTGTGCAATTGTAGCTAAAAGGAGCAGTTCATACCAGGAAGACTTTCCGTCACCAGCACTGATCTGAAAGAGGTTTCAGTTATTGTGACTTTTGTACATATCACAATCCAAAACCTTCTCTAATGTGTTCTAATGCGCTGAGTATCGGGCTTTACTTTACTTACTTTACTGTCAACTCAGGAAGCGATTTGCCTTGAACAGACGCTTCACATGATCCTTCCTGATTTGAGTGGATTTGAAATACCTGCCGAGGATGATTTCTAATATAGATGCCTTTCCATAGGAACCATTTTGGTAAATTTGTCACAATTCCAGCTGAACTCAGAGGAAGACAACCGAATGTTTTTTACAGATTGTTTTCTATACAAATAAGAGATATTTAATGATTGTGTTTCTGGAAACTATCTACTAATAATTAGAAAAACGACACAAATGAATAACGGTAAACTATCACCCATAGAGAAAAAAATTATGAATTTATGTGTCTGTTTTGTTTTTTTGTTGTAAAATAGTTTTCTATTCTTATGGGAGTGTACCATTGTAACAGCCCCCCCCCCTTCCCCCGAGCTCAGGCTGCTGGAGAGGAACTGAGTCTGGAATGAATGAATTACATCTGTCAAACCAAAAATATATTTGAGAAACACATTTGTTTTGTGTGTTACTTCAAATAACCATGGAGAGTGTTGGTTTTTTCTTGTCCTGTATGGACTCGGCCCTCTCGGAAGGACAGTTGGGAGTCGATGGTTTTCCTTTTAAGAAACCTAAGGGCTGCATGAATTACGTCCAGGAGGGACGACAACTGTCATTCAAATGCACACACGCACTATGAGCAGGTATTAGAAATCTAGAGCAGTTTGAATGTTACAATTTCCCTCATCCCTTAGTGATGAGGCTAAAACCTCACTCTGCTCAATCTTACTGTCCTTTGGCCGATAATGTAACACAAATATAAACTATCAATTTCCCCTTAAAACTCTACGTACTACACTATACATCCCCCATCACATTAGAACATTAGAAAACCACCTGACCAAAGAGTCACTGCAGGATAGTGAACTCCGATTTATTCCGCCCTCTGAAGGACTCTCCGATCTGTAACGCATTCAACCCCCTCACCCGTTAACTTAAACCCTCCAACAGGAAAACAAAATAAAGGAAAGGCCTTTTTAAAACATCTCAAATGAATATAAAAAGCCGTCCTCCTGCAGTGGAGCGGTGGGCTCGCTGCCTCGTAGCTGGCGGACCACCCGGCTGGCCTCTCTGAATTTGTGGTCAAAGGGCTCGTACACTCGGGTGTGAAGTCTCCGACACGAGGGAAGTCATTAGTCTTCATTAGCAACTTCCAGGAGTTTCTTATGAAGTGCTGTGAAGTTGTCATTTGCCCCCTTTGCCAGGCAAGCTAGATCTGAGGTTTGTTTTCTTATGTGGTGGACCAAATGTGAGCTCGCCCGGCCCCCAGCCGCTGCATGAGAGACCGCCGTCTCTCTGCCGTTAGATCAGGGAGGCTACAGGTGGGATTGTAACCGATTACAATCACAGTAAGTGAGGGGTTGGGATTTTTTTTGTGTGTGTCATGTTTTCAAACTATGAGGCAACTGGATAAACTGACATTCAGCAGACGAATCCGCTTGCTCCTGTTGCGTCTTAGAGATAATTCTCTGCGGTGCCCTAAACTGATCATGATATTCTAATTCCTCTCTAATCACTACGCAGCATCTCTCCACTGATAAAGATGAATCACGCTCGACCTGTGGTCAGGTAAAGGCAGACCCCCCCCACCCCCGCCCTCCCTTGAAGATTGCTCGGTCTCCTGTGACATCGTGTTGTCTCCAACCACGGGGCTGCTATCTCTACAAACCCCTCAAAGTGGCCAATTAAGCATCAAAAGGGCATGCTGCATGGCTAATGTGAGCGAAAGGTGTGAGATTTCTCGTCAGTGCACTCCAGGGGCTCTTTATTGGGCTGCCGGAGTGCCGTCTGATCCCCGGGCCCTGGCTGTATATTGGCAGCTGTTAACTTGTCGAGCACAAGGGGATCTGTGCAGTTAAAGCAAATGGCCAAAGACTGACACCTGGGAGGTGGAGCATCGCCGGCAAAGGTGATCCAGGGTGAGACGCGGGAAGATATCTACGGTCGATCCTAAATGTTTCCCACTGTCGTCCCTCACTATTCACTCTAAAATGAAACAGAGTTGCTGCCTTCGTGCAGCAGGGCCCCTCAAACAAATGCCACAGCGTTCTTGGTTTGCTGTCCTTATCGTTCTTCTGCAGGTGACCTCCCAGCTTGTGTCATCTGGTCCAGGCTCGCTGTTATAACTCCCCTGTCATGCCTCTCTGTCCCTCGACTCTTCCTCCCCAGTCCCACGCGGCGGGGGGGTCACACCTGTCCCCTCCAGACAACGGTGCGTGATGGGATTAACACTGCGGCTGCTGAAATGTACACCTCGGCTCAGGCCGCGACACGCGCCGCTGCTGGAGCTGCAGTGCAGAGAAGCTCTCCTCGAAACGTCTTTAATTCTCATCGCGTCTTCCTCCTAAACGCTCGCAGATTTGTGAGACCTTTTCTCTGCCCAGTGAAACGGCCGGGGGGGGGGGGTTCCGGTGAGGGTTGGGGGTCCCTGTGCAGGGACCTGGGGATGAGCTGGCCAAGTGAGGAGAGCAACACCGAACCTGTGATTAATAACTCCTCGAACCACAGCTGGTTTCACATAAAGAGGATAAAAACACATCGCACTTCCTCAAGGCCAAGGGAGAGGCCCCCGCCTCTCCCCCGCAGGGGTCCTGCATCAAAACATCCAACAGCAACCAGTAAAGAGGTCTCTGCATGTTTAAGTGCATCATTACAAGCTGTTATTACCCGTTTTATTCTGCATCGACCGTGCACAGGAGCACAGAAGGCTTTAAAGAGGCTGGTCAATAGTTTCACAGGGAAGACGTTTTAGCAGAGCAGATCTCTTTAGAGTTTAAAGCGTGGGACCCATGCATGTTGCACACATTGCTTTTAGAACTCTAGATCTAGATGTTACATGTGGTTTTATTATTTAAAGTGTCATGCATACAGTTACAGAAACCCCTGTGTTGAATGGGTGTCACAGAGCTGGGCCTACAGAAGCCATTGTATGCACCATGAACACGTGGGAATACAATAAGACATTCAAGTGGAAGTGGTGTGCCTATGCTAGAAAAAGAGCTTGAATGAGATGTGAAAGTCACCTCAATTCAAATTTTCAAAGTCAGTGGAAACGAGGCTGGGGGGGGGGGGATCGAGGGGGATGGGGGGGTCTGTGGTCTAATTTTGTTCCTCTATGCTAATGGCCGCCGTTTAGCATTTGCTTTGCCTGCAGTAACCCGGCCCGAGACGGCCCAATGAACGACGCATGTGGATTTTTGCCTGGATGTGGATGGCGGCAGGATGGCCCGCTTGTTGTGGCAAGTCTTTATTCTCAGACCCCTCCTGTCCCATTCACGGCCGACTTGGGCTCGTGGTGCTAACTGGCTGTTAATTGCCTACACACAAGGCTTTCTCCACATGCAGAAACCAGCCAGGGAAACTTGCCTAATGAGATTATCTATCAGAGCAGGGGCCTGTCTAGACACCCCAATACACAAGCCAGCAGCAGCACAGAGGACGCCCCCAGGTAAAAGTTACCTGCAGTAAGAGTGCATGTTATCACTACACCATTATGGGTTTACACCCACTGCGTAATTTTCTATTATGGAGAAAGCTGAGGATCAAGTTGTGTGAAGGCATAATTCATGTCAGAAGATTTTGGTTCTTTTTATGGCAAATTTGAGATCAATACTAAAAGATCTGTTTAATAACTGTTGTTAGAATAAGAATTATGCTTTGAGAAAAAAAAAATTACGACAGCGTAAACAAAAAAGCAAGTTAAATGCACAATCTATCAGGTTTGGTGAATAAAATGAATTGGGTATTTTGTAAACGTTGAACAAATGTCATCTCGGTGCACACTTATGTCCGAGTGAGTGATATTTCCACAGATTGTGGTGCCGCTGCGAGCCCCGATCTGCAGCAGGCCGGTCTGTCCATATTGGTTTTAAAGTCTCCTAGCAGTTAATAAAGATGCAATTCCTTCGTCCCCTTCCTGTGGGGACGGTATCAAGGCTCTGTTAAGTCTCTTTGATTTCCGGCACCCTCCAATCACAGCGGGGCTCTGACTCATCATTGTGGCACTTCAAAGCCTGGGAATGGCTCCGTTGACCCAACCCACTCCAAGGCGCTCCTTAAAAGTCATGGTCACCCCTCCGAGCAGGACTCATGATCTCTGAAATTATCTGCTGCAACGAGGCAGACTGACCTGCTGACTCCCCGAGCTGCTGGATTTCTCTTTTTATTTTCTTCACTGGAAGGATATCACGTTTACTTGGATTGCTTATTAGCCCTCGGTGCATGAAGCTCTTCTAAGCTCCCTGCTGAACAACAAGCGATGCAGTCCAGAGGTGAGTGTGGACTAAAAACTGGGGATTCTCAATTAATAAACTCCTCTTTTTTTTCCCCAAAACAATTTGGTCTTCAGTTGTTTTGTCTGACCTGTGCGTTCTTTCTTCTCAAACCTGACTTTTATAACATCCAGTGGAACATGTGGCCGTAATGACTCTTATTCTCCTTTAGATTTGAAGGCAAACTTTAGCGTCCCTCCTCCCTCTGCCATGGCTGCTGTCCCCGATGCCTATGTCCAGGGCAACATTAGGCTGACTCTGGAGGACCCTGAACTCTGGAAGACCTTTTGTGAAATAGGAACAGAGATGATTATCACTAAACCGGGCAGGTAAGACGACAGAAGGACAACATGCAAATGCAAAATGTTTGGTCTTCTGTTGAGCTGAGTTTGCTTTTTTTTCTTTTTCTCACGCGTCTCTTTCCATGTTTCTCCAGGAGGATGTTTCCACACTGTAAGATTAATCTATCGGGCCTCATTCCCTGTGCCAAGTACATCTTATTGGTTGACATGGTCCCTGAGGATGGTTTCAGATACAAGGTGAGACAGTGATTACTTGTCCTCCACTGATAAATGAGTCTGTTTTGGTTTTTGGTTATTCTCCCCGTTAGCCGTGGCTTTGGATGTAGATGTCCCTCAGTGGTTACCAGTATCTCCAGACAAGACACCTCCTGTTTATCAACCCTCCTCCCCTCCCTTCCTCGCCCTCCCCCTCCTGACATCGTACATCAAAGGGTGCTATCTCTTCCTGTTATTCTATCCCCTGCTGGGAGGCCACTGTACTACCCCCCCCCCCCCCCCCCCTCTCTCTCTCTCTCTGTGGGTGGTACTGCCCAGTGGTCCCTGTGCACTCTCACTGGTCCTCTCCCACTGTGGGAAGGGAAGAAGATGATTCCCTTCCCACAAAATCACCTTCCCCAGACGGTCTGACTGACTGTCTGTCTGCGTGTCTCCGCCCTGCAGTGGAATAAAGAGAAATGGGAGGTGGCAGGGAAAGCGGAGCCACAGCCTCCCTGCAGGACCTACCTCCACCCGGAGTCTCCGGCCCCGGGGAGCCACTGGATGAAGCAGTCCATCTCCTTCCTCAAGCTCAAGCTGACCAACAATACACTGGACCAGCATGGCCATGTGAGTAAGAGCCCTTGAAAAATAAGGGCCGTGATAAGAACTGTATTATATAAAAATGATATCCATACTGCTTTCTTAAAGGATTTTGGATAATTGAAGTACTTGGTGGATCAGTAACAGAGTCTGGATGTTTTGTCCTCAAAGCACAGAGAACGTGTCTGAACCAATCGCCCTCTTCCTGTCTGCAGATCATTTTGCACTCCATGCACCGCTACCACCCGCGCTTCCACATCGTGCAGGCGGACGACCTGTTCAGCGTCCGCTGGAGCGTTTTCCAGACCTTCACCTTCCCCGAGACGTCCTTCACGGCGGTCACAGCCTACCAGAACACCAAGGTGGGTTTCTCTGCCTTCAAACCGCTGGCAAGACCTCACACATTGTTGGGATTTTTACTGATTTGATTTCCTCACTTACAGATTACAAAGCTGAAGATCGATCACAACCCGTTTGCAAAAGGCTTCCGGGATGAAGGCACTACAAAGAAAAGGTGGGTCGCTTCGCATCATTATTCTTTTTGTTGTGGACGCTCGTCTACAGATTTCCTTTTCAGTAGCTCATAATGAACGTATTGCATTTTTTTAATGAACTCAATGTCCCTCTGCAGGCGCTCAAACAAGAACCCGATCTGCCCGGAGAAACGATCCAGGACGTCAAACATTTCGAACAGAGACTCTGAGGAGGACAGTCCACCAGGTACACTTTCAGACTCCCTTCCTGCTGTTGACGCTTCGCTCTTCCTCATCCTGTACTCCAAAACTGACCTACCGAAACGTCCTCTTCAGATTTCTGCCGGTCATCTTATGAAGGCTACGATGGCGACGGAGGAGATCTGCCCAAGAGGAAAGGCGCCGATGGCGCCAAAGAGCAACGTTACTCCCCGTGGACCTCTGACAGGGAGCCCACCGTGAGGACTGAATCCCCTGCTGGGACGGACCCCCGGGACATGTACAACGCAGAGCAGCTTGTTCCCGCTCCAGCTTCCTACCAGCCGTACAGGTGAATACCAGTTACGCAACAAATCACAGCATGATGTTGATGCTGAACAAACTGTGACCGCCCTCTTTTTTTTTTGCTCCTCAGGTTCCACGAGTATGGAAAGTCTCCCTCTCCCTCCTCCAGCGTCAGCAGCAGCGGAACGGGACGGGGCAGCTTTGAGTCCAGAGTCCCCGATGTCGCCACTGTCCCCGACCATGACCCTTCGAAGCCTCGCGCACATGAGGTCGGCCCTTCGCCCGGCGGCCCGCAGCCCCACCCCGCCCCCCAGGACTACAGCGGGGTCCTCAACATGTCCGTGGCCCAGGCCGGCAAGCCGGGGGTGATCAGCCACCACATCTACGGCCCCTACGCCGCCGAACAGCCCCTCGGCCAGTGGAGCGGGCCCGGCCCGGCCCAGTACCCCCCCCCTCCTCATCACCTGACCGCTGACTACGCCACGCAAGCTGTGCACCATGGCTATCACCATGGCAACGTGGCCGAGTGGAGCCAGTACCCGCTGTTCTCTTACTCGTGCTGGTGAAGGGATCTTCAATAGTAAACTGACTTGAGAGAGTGACTTTGTCTGGTGCCGCGTCCCCGCGAGGACGCCGACTCAGTTCTCACAGCTACGCGGTTGCATGCGGAGACGCGGCTGAGGGCCGGAGGCCTGCGGCAGCACTGGAGGGGACGGAAGGACAAGGAGGAGAAGGAGACGCCTGTAGCTGCCTTCTGTTCAGGCTGAGGCTGTGGTGTGCTATGCCATACTGCATTGTCGTTTTTTATTGTTAAATTGTCTATTTATTTTTTTCATCTCATCTCCCAAGTTTAAATATTATTTTTGTAAAAGAAAAATAAGTGTGCAATGTCTTGTCTGTAATCAAAATGTGATGTGATCTGAAAATAAAACCTTCGAAGTGAGCTGATTTAATGTGTTTGTGTGAAAATATATTTATATCTATTATCCAAAAGAAGACACTTCTGATGGCGTGAATATTACTTCCCAACTGTTAATGCTCACGTTATTCAACTTGTGACCACAAGGCATCATTACAAACCCTCTGGTTACCAACAAAGCCCAGGCCTTCACGATTTCCACCAGTTGAACTAAGCCATTAAATCTCCTGTTTGTAATTTTTCCTCTCATCTCACAACAATTGTTGTGTTGTAAAGCTGTCTTTGTTTGCGGATGCAAATCTGCGTACCCGGCGAGCTCTGATAAGCCTCACATGTTCTGGTGGCATTTGTTTGTATTTCCTCTTTGTTGATCTAACGAGGGCCCCTCTGTAGTTTCAACAGGCCCAGCAGGCCTTAAAGACCTTGCGTTACTGTGACTCCGGGTCACCTGCTGAGGTTTACCCACCGGCATCATAAAGCATTGCACGACTCCCGTTCTCCATCTCAATGAGCCTTAAAAAGCATGAAAATTGGGGGGCTGTTTGCTTCCTTTTCACAGCTGAAAAACACAAGCTGGCCCATCGCATCCACCCAGGGTGGATATGAGCTGCTAATGACTGTTGTAAAGTCCAGGAAAGAGGAAGGGGGGCGGGGCGTGCTGATTTTATTACTGCAATTCATTATCTTGGAGGCTTCTTAAATCAGTTTGTGCAACATCGGACTTCCTCGACTATGTGTGTGAGTACAAGTTTAATTTACTAATTTAAATGAGGATAAGAAAGAGAGATGTATGGCAGGATCTCACTGTGGGATCATATCTCCCTGAGAAAAGCGATGATTTGATTAAAACCCCCAAGAAATAAAGAATTCAAGGAATTTGAACTTTCCTGCCTAAAGTTATTGTTTTGAATCATACATTATAATATATACGAGGTTTTTGGGCCCCACATTGTGTATGAATATAACCTGTTTATGGAGAAAAAAAGCCAAAATATCAGGAATATTTAGATGCTTAACTTGAACGATGAATGTGACATCTGTTGTCACTTTACCACATAATTTCCTGAGAGTTTGGATCTTTCCCGTTAAACAAATAAAGTAATACGATTCCATTTAGATCCCTAAATATAAGCCAGACATTCTGCATGCAAAATGGGATATCACTACTGATACTTTATACTTCCCTTTAAATACGTCTTCTTTGATATTCTTTACTCTAACGTGTAGCAAATCTTCATGAATTGAAATGTAGTATTAGTAGATCAAAAACGTATTATAAGTATTAATACTATGTAACACAATCTGGACTGTGCTTTTATCCACAACCTTCGTAATAATCTGCATGTGTTTGAAATATATTACAATTGTAATGTGTCGTGTGTCAATGTAATCTGAGCTTGATCTGAGCTCTGATCTTGTTCTTTTTCAGTGTATTTGTCACCAGCAGGCTCAAGACCTCTGACTTGATGTATTTATATTTGAATAAAAGTGAATGAAACTAGAAACAAGAAACAAACTGCAAATGTATGTTTGATTATTAGGCCAGCGAACAGTCAGCAGCTGAAAGACGAAAATTATTAGTATATTTTAAATAGCCATAAATGTTGCATAGCAGGGTTTTGAGAGAGGAACCCTTTCTGGAGGTCAGCAAGTTAGAATGAAAAACCTTCTTCAGATGATCTTATGCTGATGCTATTTGATCATTCACATAAACTGTTGTATTCTGTATATAAGGTGTTCTATTGATGCCAAACTTGTTGCATGCACATGTGATGTTGGACAAGGCCTTTGGTAAACGCCTAAAGCGTGTAGTAAATAAAGACAAAGACAAAGTTTGACAAAAGTGGCCTTTTTTTGGTCCAGATTTCTGCCTGCAAGTGACGTTCTTTGTTCCCAATTGAGTTGTTTGTCTGGCTGAGGACCTCCTTCCAGACACAGCATGAGAATCAAGAATCAAAGCGAGCACATCGTACCATTCCCTCGACACACACACCAACAACCCCACTGGGTTTAATCCGCATAGCTCTGCATTGCTGGGTAATTTGGACCTTTTTAATTGCTCTGATAATGGTCCTGCAAAGAGCACCGGATCGACCCGCACTCGGTCGCCCGTAAAGCCCGCTGTAGGGCTAAGTGCATGAGACATATGTCTTAAGTAGCCCCCAGGTGGTACTGCCGCTTCAGAATGAAAAGACGCATAAACGCAGCAGATTGTTGATCCTGGATGTCCAGTGCTGGTGTCAGCACATGGCACAACAGTGTGAAGTGGAGGGGGGCACTCACTTAGGGCTGGCGGGTAGGGGGGGGGTAACAGATGTAGAGGAAACAACCTTGGAGAGGAAAGTCCGCCTTCATAAAGCTGATGGAGGGCCAAATGGAGAGGAACTAGTAGAGACTGGGAGGAATGAAGTGCATGAGGCAGCAACCACCACTGCCAGTTCAAACCAGAAAGACGCTCAATTGATTTCCTGGAGGACATAACCGTGTTACTTATGTAACAAAGTATTCTAATACATTGCATTCATTTTCTTAAGACATACTTCTCATTAAGGGAAATGAAAAACTCTTTTTTTAAAGACAGTCACACACAAAACACGTGAACTGAGGCATCCAGCATGGAGCAAACTTCTGCTTGATGGATAGAAATATTTAAAACCACTTCTCGTTGCCATTTTTGAATTCCCTAATTAAACTATAAATGCAGGATGGAAAACTCAATGAAAGGACACAACAAATTTGACAATGATTTGGGTTCCTTCCCAAAGAAAATCCAGACTTGAAATTTATAAGTCAAATACAGACATGGCAACTTATTTTGAGCTGGTGAGGGCAGCAACACACTTCTTCATTCAGGTAAAATCTCATTTCCCTCTGCAGAATACACAAAAACATAACATTAAATATACTTATCAGGACAGGTTTATGATGTAATCACAAAAACAAGGCACAATGGTAAAACATTATTGGAAATTTTAATAAGATCCTGTCAACCGTAGGTCACAGAGTGGCAGTCAGCAGTCTTCACTGCTTTATGCCACTTAAAGACATAGAGGTTCTCTCTATGATAGGCAATGCCACACTGACATTTAGTAACGAGGGATCCGTAACAAACAAGCATTTCAGCAAGGTTTCCTGTGCAGTGTTTAAATATCTTCCTAGATAATCTTATCAGTAACAACAACAAAAAAAGTGTGCAACGTTGGAAGATGACGCTTTGGTTTTTGGAGGCACTCAAAGTGATCAACGTGCAAAGAGGACACGGTGCTTCCCAAATAATACCCTCCAGCTGCTCCGACAGGCCCCGTGGAAAAAGTGCACGACAGCTCCGATCTCAACTTCAACACGGCCGCTTCAATCCTCACTCGAGTCTTCCGAGTTGTCCATGTCCACTTCTCCACATGAGGCCTTGGTGGGCTCCTCGCAGCTGGCCTGGGCGATCACAGCATGGGGCATGAGCACCACGCAGGCCGCCAGGCCGGAGACGCGCTCCTTGAACTCCGCCTCCGTCTCCCACTCGTCTGCGTCGGTGTTGTACACGTGGACGTATTTCATCCTGTTGCCTCTGTCGTGAGAGCGTCCTCCCAGGACGTAGATGCTGCCGTCCAGCACGGCCATGCCAGGCTCGCCGTGTCCAGCAGGAAGTGGGGTCAGTAAAGACCAAGAGTCGGCTTCAGGGCTAAAGCATGCCACCTGAGAGAAAGAACAGCAGGTTGGAATAGATTATTCTGTCATTTTCAGTGAGCGGAGTTGGGGCGCTTTGAGACCAAAACCCTTTTGCATATAAAAAAACCCAAAAGGTGATAATGCAGAAAAGGCGATAAAAATATAACTAAATAACAGACTGTGTGAAAATAGCTTGATAGTGGAAGAGTTGACACTCATAACTTTTTGGATTGTACCTTGAGGACGTCACGGCGATATCCACGCTCATCATTGCTTCCACCAATAACGTAGAGGCATCCATTAACAGCAGCCATGCCGTGCCACGCTCGCTCCACCGGTCCCTCGGAACAAGCGGTCCAGTGATTGTCCACAGGGTCGAAACAGTAGGTCTCCTTGAGGTACGCCATTCCTCTGCGGCCGCATGTTATGTACATCTTCTCATCCAACACTGCTCCAGCGTGGGCGAAAACCTGGAAGGAAAGTTGCAACTTTCTTTAAGACTAATCTAAGTAAAGATGAATAGCTGGTATATAACAGAAAAGCATCAGTAACAATACTCAGGGAAGTATGCAGCACCACCGTGTGGATGGTAGCGGTACTACACTAACTATTCTCGTACCTCTCTCTTCAGAGGGGATACAAACTCCCACATGTTGGTGTGTGGGTCGTAGCGCTCCACTGACTCCAGTTCATTGCTGTAGTCCCGTCCTCCAATGGCATAAATGTGTCCGCCCATGACACAAACACAGTGGTCCGCATGCTGCTGCTGGAGGGGCTGGATGGAGCACCAGCTGTTGTGACGAGGGTCGTATCTGGAAAATGAAAAAGAAAGCATCAAAACAGGGAGGCGAAGAAGCTCTGACTTTGGATTCTGAAAAGCTGTTTGATGTAAACAATCTGACATTTTAAACTGTTGTGTGGCATTCCTCAGACTAGAGTCCAATCAACGAACCAGGCGAACCTGCAAATATGTCAGACCATATGGAACACGTGGCAGCAGTTCAGAAAGGCCAAAGATGTATTTGCTGTACTTAGACACACTGACGCCATTATAGGTCGTCCACAAGAAACCACTCGCTTACTGTCTAACTTCCTGCTCAGTTTTTATTTTGGTCCCACATTTGGTCAAGAAACACAATGTAAAATGTAAAAAAAGGCATATTTGCCAGACTATCTTGTTATGGAAATAGTTGTGTAATATTTAATCAACCTGTAACCAATTTGACTTACATTTACAGTAAAAACAAAACAAACAGATTAAATAATAATAAAATAATAATAAAACCCATCATCAGTTCAGGTCTCTTGCAAACTGGATGAATAGGGTGGGATCTCACCTCCAGCAGCACGACTCTGCACGAAACCCACTGTTGTTCTTGTCTCCTCCAATTAGATAAACAAAATTGTTGAGCACGGCTATACCCTGGTTGGACATCCGGGGGGTGTTGGCTGCGGCGAGCGTCCTCCACTGCCCCCAGCTCGGGTGGAACACCTGGAGCAAATGCTTGGTGTCTGTGAGGGAACGGGAGGTGAACATTCCCCCGAAGCCCAAAACGTATCGGAGGTTGGACCTTGGCTGGGTGAGAGGACTTTGCAGGACGGGCTGCCAGATCTCCTGCTCATGGTACCGCAGGGCGGCTGAGACCGAGTCCTTGAGTGGACACTGGCTCAGTCTGCCATTCAGCCTCTGCAACACTTGTTTGTCCATCAGGCAGAATCGCACCGCATTGAGCATCTTGAGATTGTCCTTTTGAGGCAACAAGATTTGAAAACTTTAGTTGATAACGCTAAAAACAAACCCAGCTATGTAGTGTGTATCTGATGAAGATATGAAGTACAAAATGCTGACAAACCTTGGCACTGACCTGCAAGTACACCTGGTCAGTTTCCACCTGCTCAGGAGTGTAGTGGTAGTGCAGAGCCGCCTCGTACACCTCATTCTCGCTCTCCACCTGAAGCCGCTCGCTGCTCAGCGCGCTGAACACGATGTCCGGGGGGAGTTGTCGGTACACATCGGTGCAAGACAAAGTCTGTATTTTGTCGAGGATGTAGGAGTGGACCATGGCATTGAGGTTTTGCAGTCCGTAGAGATCAGCTAGGTTATGGACCTCTAGAATGTTGCTCTCGTCCAGCCAGTCGGACAGGAAATCACAGCAAAAGCTGATAACAATCTCAAGCTTTATAACACAAAAGGGCACAGATTAGCTGAGGAAACCCCCCCAAAATGAATACCGCCATCTCCCAAATGATTCGAAGGGTGTACCTGTACTAGCGTGGCGGCGTTTAGGACGTCCTGCACACACTCCAAGTCCAACTCAATCTCTGAAGTGTAGATGTAGTCAATTATTTTTGTCATGGCCATGTAAGACACTCCGTGAATCTGGATCTCTTTTTGCTGTGTTTCGCGAAGGCCTCCAGCAAACATGCCCCTGGTGGAGGGAAGGGACACGTTGTTAAATGGCTTATGGTTGGGTGACCTGGTGGAACGCAGATCACATGGCCTCAAGGAATCAGGTTTCTGCTCCGACGGGTACTTTTGCTTTTTGACAACCACAGATCTTTCCTCTGCTCTTCCCAAAAGACACACTGAGGAAAAAGGTGCACGTCAAACCAAAGACAATCCCCCCCCCACACACACACACACACACACACACACACACACACACTCATGTGAAGGGGAATGCGGGTACCTAAAGTAATCGCAAGAGGCTGCCAGGAGTATCCGGTGGGCGGGGATGGGTCGACCCTCCACCAGCAGCACCACGTCGAACAGGATGCCGCTGTGCCGCAGGTCCTGCAGGCCGTCCCGCAGGCTGCGGAAGTAGCTCGAACTCGTGTAGGTCTCTCGACGGGGACGCTGTGACGGTTTAGCGAGTCCTCCCGCCGGACTCGGCTTTCTTTCCTCAGACATGGTGGAGCCGTGCGGGCTTCATGAAACGCCTTCTCGCAACTGTTTAGCTGTTGTGAATTCAAGGCACCGCTAACGGTCACTTCGTGCGGAGACGCGGCCAGCGGCTTAAAGTCGGGGGAGAACCTCACAAGTTATACACGCCAATTACGCGGGTTTAACTGTGGGGCAGTAGGAAATATCGAACGGTAACATGGTTACACACACACGCCCTTCCGTCGACCTACCGTGAGCTGCCAGTACGCTGTCAGCTGATGTTAACTTAGTTTACTAGGTGACTAATGGGCTAGTTAGCGATCAGCTGGTTAGCCTGCTAGCTAATGTAAAGCACTATCCGACAACAAGATAGACACCGTAACAAACCGAGTGCACGATGAAACCGTTGTGTTCGTCGGTAACAAACCAATTTACACCGACAACTTGGTCACAACGTCGCTGTCATTTGCTCGGAGGAACGAGCACCGTTGCCTGATTTTTTTGACAGATCAAAACAAGTCAGCTTCTTTACTGTTTGACGGTGATCTCACACAGGATTGGTTGTTGCCGTTGTTTTTGTCCCGCCCATTTAAAAGAAAGAGCCAATCACAGACCTTGTGCCACACTGAAGGCAATGAAAGGACATTTTCAACTAGCCTTTTAACATGATACGATAAACGTAGTGTGTGGAGTTTGCTTTTATATTTGTTACATCTCTGTTTTAGTTTTACATTACTCGTAATAATAGAATAAATGTTTAATTAAAGAAAAACTTTGATACTGTGACACTTTGTGTAAACACAAGAGGATGCTGTTCCCTGCTCCTATGCAACTGGTACTCAGACTGCATGTCATACAAATACATCAGCACCAGGCGTCTAAAATAATACCAATTATATGTCTTCTTTAATGTATAAATACAGGTTTTACACCGTATACCTTCAGGGAGTAAATAATTTCTTTAATACATTTTAATCATAGCAATTTGTATTGACTTCAGTTACATGTCATTGCACAGACTGATCAACAACAAAACAGTTGAACCCGTCACATAACACATAGGTAGTGTTGTATTAATAATATCTATATAATAGAAACTACTTCCATTGGTTGGCACAGTTTACCATATAACATGTCAGTGTGAATTCTTTCAAAGGTTCATTCAAAGAAAAATATGCAATATATCTTTGTCTTTAAAAAATAGATTTGCGTGACATAAAAAATGAGATGGCAAGAAAAACTTTAAAACTGTGCCAAGATTAAAGTAGATATTTATTGTTCTTGCCAACTTTTTGTTGATTTTATCATTGGCACTTTTCAAATATTTGGTCTCAATCCGCTTTCAAGATTGATTTCCACCGCATAACTGCATGAGCTGTCAGATAGATTTAGTTAAGCAGCCAGTCATGATGCTCTTTTATAAAAATTGGGGCTTCCATATGAGGTTTTACAATCTCATTCATCTTCTGCTGAGGTTCCAATTTGCATAAATCATTTCCTGACACGGACAGTGGAGATTTTTCTACTCGCTGTAACACTGTTGGAATAATCCATCACTTGATTTATTTTCCAGTCAAGTATACATTGCAGTGGAGTGCAGAAGGGAGACGCGCCTTGTTTTTTAGCCTAGTGTGCAGAAATTCCTTTTTTAATAGCAATTCATAACTTTTTTACCTGACGTGTGGCTGAAGAAATGTCCCATCAAAGTTCCAGTAATGGAGTCGTCTGCAGCTCCTTGAAGTTGAAACACCTCCAACACTGATGCACTGCATGTACACGTACTCCACCAAGCTAGTTTACCGCAGTTCCAATTCCATTGATCAATATGATGAAGTATTTTGAAGTATTTATTTCAAATCGAATGCTTTAGTGTGCTTTATGTTTTGCATGCTGTGGTAAGAAGAATATATTTTAGGTTTTAAGTTGGTTGGACAAAACAAAGAATTTGTTGTTTGAAAAAAAGAGAAATAATATTTTGCTATTTTGTAAGCCAAATGATTCATTTTGTATTAGAGAAAATAATTAATTGTTTAGTAAAGTAATGGTTTGTTGTAGCCCTAATCACAATCTATTATTTGCAGTAAATGCCACCCGTAGCAAAATATATTAATAATCAGTCATAGAAAATACAGCTAATGTTGAGAGTGACATCATCTTTTAATTTATCCATTGTTTGATTTAACTTATCCCATTACAACTTCATACTGGTTTACTAATCTTGGTTAATGACTTTTCTAATCGTTCTATTATTTATTTCTAGCATAAGCATCACAAACTGATGCACACATCACTATTTACGTAATTGCCGAACCTGACGTAGGATATGTAGGATTTTATTTTCACTTGCTGATGACATAATCACTGACAAAGACTGAAAGCATGATTTTTGTTTTTTTTGGATCTTACTAGAGGTCAAAGACCGCCTGCTATTTTCCTACATTCAGCAGAGCATTCTAGTCCATTATCAGTGGGCCGTCTCCTCTCATCAGAGAGAAAGGCTGCGCGGCATGCGCTCCGCAGGCTGCAGGAAGAAATGACAAAGAGATGAAAACAAACGGGGCGACATTTAAAGAATTAACTGTCAATCCACAAACCGAATTTTAAAAGGGGATGTTGGTTAATGGAGTTACCAAGACATGAAATAGCCCACGACCTTGAGCTGCCACGAGCATCACTGTTGCACTGTTCAAATGTTTAACCTCATTCAAACTATTAACTGAAGGAGAACATCTATATGACGACAAGGAGAGTTAGTGAGCAGCATAATTGGCTCTAGCAAGGACAAAAGCTCTGCAGTGTTTCCCTCATGCTGCATATGACAAAAGAAAGACCAGAGGACAATGTAACGAATGACTTTGGGACTGTACAGCTCCAGTGGGGCTGTTCGTTCTGCCTGCCCCTTCTCCCAGACGGTTTGCAGCTACTTACCACATTTAGTGGGGCACAGGAAATCAGGAACGCAATTCCTGCCCCAAAATATTTTTTAAAAAACTGTATCCTCATTGTTTTTGTGCTCTACTTGAATCCAGAATGCTTCGCATGCAAGAGCACCTTTCCTCCTCACAATAGTTCCTTCAAGTAGTTTTTAAGTTCTACTGCAGAGTCAACCAAGTCAAAATAAGAAATGTGACAGGACTCCCCGCTCTGTGATTCATACGTCGAATGGAGGGCAGTGAAGTGAGTTGCAGCCCTGACAGGTGCAATTTATTTCGGGCAGCTCTGTGATTGTGAGGAGGGAAATCCATTTTCTTCTACACCACAATCCTATAACGCAAAAAACTTTCAGCCTATCGGTGTTTGATGAAGCCTGCCAACCGTCTGAGGAGGCGAGCCACAGGGCCAGCCATATATTCCCCTGGAATTATTAACAGTGGGGGGCCATTTGCACCGCCGCAGGACTGGGGCGGTGCTAAATCAGGATATTTGGTGACAACAATGAGGGAGAAGCTGCAGAGGCCAGCCACATTGGAATTGTTAGGAAAAAAGGAATCTTTGGTCTGTATTGAGTAAGGAAGCTAGATGGTTTAACTTATAATACGGACACTTATTGTTGGATCATGATGGCAAGTCTTTTCTTTTAGGGCTTGTCTCTCTCTGAGGTCGGAGATGCATCGTTCTTTTTAAAGGCTGGCAGATTTCCCCCGTGTCACCGCCGGCTTGGAGAAGACAAACCCATGCTACTGAAATTTGGAAGCGTCCCAACACTCTGTGCTGCAAAGGATGTCAGTTCGTATTAATATAAAGGAGAGAAAAAACCTGGAGTCAAATAAAAAGCAGCTTTCCGCAGGTGTCTTGTGTTTCAGACAACAACTGACACGGAGACTGGATCCTCCCTTCTCCGCCGGCCCCACACGTGGCAGAAAGCATTCCCACTGAGAGTATTACGCAAGACTGCCAGCAGACACTTGATAGCAGCAAATAGCTCGGCCGGACTGCTTTGACAGCTGGCCTCAAAGGAGACGTTCAGCCTCCGCTGGGGACCGAATATTAGAATCAATTCAAAATGTCCCTGGTTTTACCCTGACATGAAACCAATACTAGGCTGAAACTATCGCTACGGTCATCGAAGCGTGATCAGTGTGCACTTTCTGTGAGATTTCAGAAACATACCCACAGTAACCATGGTAACTGCCATTTTCCCCAAAAAATTGCAACGAGGCCAAAAAAAAAAAAAGAAAAGAAGTGACTTCTTTACTTAGGATGGCGCCGTCGGCCGTATCTGCCATGTGTCAGTGGAATGGATCTGGACTAACACTGAACAAGGCTTTTGTGGATCAATAGCAAGCTGCTGTCATAACTGCATCGCATTATACTGCCTCTGAATACAGTTTCCCCCCCTTGCTGTAGGGATGGGTTCGGCTATTTTGGGATTTCCCTTCCACTGTCTCATTCATTGTGACGTAGTGTGACTCCTGAATCATATGGCGACGCAGAGGAGCGGTGGGAAAGCGGGTCGGAAAAAGGAGTTGTGTGAGCTGAATTATGTGGCTCGAGAAAACAACATTAAAGGAGGCGAATCAGCGGGTCTAATCCATCACATGATTGATTCTACCTTTCCGTTCGCTAATGCAGTTGTGTTTTAATAAACCCCAATCTCAGGGACATCCATTGCTCTATATCTCCTTCTATTGCACTTTTCTCCTTTATTAAATCACTTTATTCCACCATGCTAAATGTATTTTTTGTAGTAGCACATACCATCATTTGAATCAGTTATATTCAGCTCTGCTTCATTTTATACTTGGTTCTCATTTGGTATAAAACCAAAACCAAGGAAAGTTTCCATTTTTCTAGTGACGTGGGAACAAACTTTTGTGGTTGGCGAACACTGTCTTTATGTTTAGATAAGAATCTCATGTGGAATGGTTTTACTCCTCTCATTAAACACTCCAACAGAATGTTAATTAATAGTGAAAGTCAATTAAGTCTATTTCTGAAAAGGGGGAATTATTCGTTAAACTATATTTTTTTTATACTGTGATGGAGTCTTGATGTTTAACCACATGGGAGGGTGGGGGAGGGCTCACGTTTTTAAGTTAATACAGCAAACTTGATAACAAATCGGTGTCTATAACATTCTCGTCAATTTAGAAATATGTTTTCCACCTGTAAAATGTAGGCTTCGACATTTCAATTAACTCTCAGGGGGAATATGTGTCTTTAGCTGTTAAATGCTCCGCTATGTAGTCCCAGCAGTCGGCCCAGGACATTTGTTTCCAGCTCCAAACTTGCATCTAGATAGAGGAGCATGAAGGTGAGTTCCTGTGTCAGATATGATCCGCGGAACGATGGGGATTTTTTGTCCCCCTCCAGCACCTATGGCATTGTGGCATTTGTTCTTGGCTGGGGTTATTTAAAGCCTCGGGGGATCTGCAAGACAGTGTTGCAGTGATGGTGTCAAGGATCACTTCAAGTTGGTTCTGCTAAAGGGTTGTAATACTGCAGAGGAGCTGCATGCACACAATGTGTGTGGATTTAGGTTTGCAATAAGACAGGGCTTAAGCAGCATGAGCAGTACAGTGTCTGTGTAATATTGTTGGATTTTGGATGATGAATTAAACCACATTAGTGGTTCAGATTGTGTCTGGTTAGGCTTTCTTTGGTCAGTAAATCTAGTTCTTAAAAGGAACAAATAGTATTCTGTACAAACTCATTTGTATCATGTCTTACACGTGTTTGCATTAGGACCCAAATCACTATACCTGACATACTGTAGTCAGTGTGCGTGACTGTACATCTTTTATAGCTCATCTATTTATACTTACATCCTAACATATAAAAAGGACCGTAGTGTAATCTGTAATCTCAATTCAATTAAATGTATTTGTTTAGCCCAAAATCAACAAAATGACATCAGAGGGCTTAACAGTTTGCACATAACTAAACATAAAAAGCATTTTTTGTCAGTGTAATTTTGACGTGATATTAATGTATTTTGTTGCGATCCAGCTTTATCATGGGTTCAGACACTCAGACAATATGATCCCATTAATGAACAAAAAACGCATTATACTGCTTCTGCCATTACTGAATTTAATCCGTAATCACTGTTACATTTGAGATCACTTCTCTCTCTCTCTTTTCCCTCAAGTCATTAACAATAACTCCCTCAGCTCAAACAAGAACCTGTGACTTTATTTTCCAGCCTCGATCCACAACATGACCAGAATCAGAATTGGCTTTACCAACGTTGTTCTCTGCAGAAAGTCTCTATTGTTATTATACAGTATTATGAAGTAATACTTGAACCTGATTTGGTAATATACATTAGTTTTATATTACGAGGTTACAGAGAGCCACCTCTTGATTTGGTATTTTGAAGCTTCCCTGCACACAGCAGAGGAATTTAAAGGTCTTTTACGGTCAATGCTTTTCTTTACTCATAAAACAGCAAAGGGCTGAAACTACAGGAGAACCACTGCTCCACACATACGTGCGGGGGGGGCAACACTTCAGAAAAGAGAATGATGCACTTGCAGTGACACAAAACTATCCTAAATGTTCTCACAAGAACCACTCACAGATGTCTTATGTAAGATTGGTCTCTCTATAAATCCAAATATGGACACGTACTTGAACCGAGTTACGTTTTCAATTGTGCAAATGGACACGGGATTGGAGTCTAAACAGCTGATAGAGGCTACCGAATGAAAGAAGTCATCAAAGCGCAATCACATTTTCATGTGACAGCAAGATAATGTTTCATAAATGTTTGGGGGACGTTATCTTTTCCTTTTCTACCTTATCAGCAAAGACGGAACCAAATTAATCAGCTTTTGGATTGTTTACCTGTGCGCTGTGAAAGAAATGTCCCTTTCCCTGTTCCCCTTTCTTTATCAGAGTTGATTTTTCCTCTCCAGATGGCACACGGGTCACACTTGGTTGTGCTGAACACCCTCCAGCCCATCAACTTGTCACTTATCAATCACAGACGAACCGGTGGAGACGCTTTCAACCACCACCAATTTCATGTCACAATAGTGCTCAATTGTCTACAGACATTTAAGACTCATTCTAAGAGAATGCTTTCCTCTTGCCTCCCATCAAAACATCCCCGGCTGACAGACCAATCTAAATGTGAACGACGGAAGAAAGGATTGCCCGAGGAAAGGAGGCACAACAGCCAAACCTTGCCCAATATATCGAAAAGTTGCTCCTTTGAAGCAAAAACATTCTGTCCTGCACTGTAATGTTCTTCGAGTTCTTTTTCAGCGTTCCTCATTTTCTTTGAGAAATTATGTGCATATAGATTAATCGTCTTGAGTGACATGACAACCACGTCTCTGTGTCAAGTAAACACCCACATAGCTGTTGTTGCTGGTGGCAAGTCATTAAACCGTTCCGCCTCCCAGACAAACAGCTATTACTGTTCTCCCATGCAGCCTCCACTTGAAACAGGAGTGAGTGGGGACAGTGTGAAGATGCCGTTAACAATCTGTTGCACAAGCGAGAGAGGTGCAAAGAATGGGTTCAAAATAGCTCTTGGTGTTATCTGCGGAGGGATCAGGACAGAGACGCTAATCGTGATGGTGTTTGAGTTTGTGTGGACGTCAAGAAAGCACAAGAATGTGCGCACAGCAGATGCACAGGACCTGTGTGGTTAGTTTTGGGAATGCACGCAGTAGATTACACATCCTCCACGTTAACGACCCGTTTATCAAAGACGGAGAAGTCAGTTGGTGGCTTTTGCTCTACATGTAAATATCCATTGCTGTCCGTCAGCATCCGTAACATTTATCTTTTAAGTTACTGGAGTCTTTTTTAATGGTTGTGAAACAGCCGGAATTCTTCACCGTTGCTTAAATTGGACATTCATAGGTTAGCAAAACCTGTCGTCTCCTCCAGCCAGAATGAGAGCTTTTACTCGCCTCTCCGTGAGCCCACCTGGGAGAAGACAACGACACCCCTGCTGGAGAGGGCCCACTAATGGGCAGGAAAGAACCAGGACTGAAGCGGGAACACTGTCAGAACCTGCTTCGATGCATTGAGAGGTTTTTTAATGGGACTTTATCCACAGGCACTGCCAAAACCCACACAAAAAATGTTTTGTAGTCCCTTTAAAATCTGGCTTGGGGTTGTTTGTAGGTGCAGCGTATATGCATCATGTTTTGGGAAAAGGAATACACTCAATTGAAATGTGAACACAATGTGATGTATGTGGTTTCTATAATTGTCATTGGTTTTCTTCAACAAACACGTCATACGATATTTTTACCCACTGACCTTTTCAGGGTTTAAAAACACCACAAAATATGTGTTTGGATTTCTTTGAACAGTATTGTTTCTGTTTACCTGAAGCCAACAACCATCACAAATTATTAGTCTGCATTTGATAGTGTTGCGAATGTGCAAAGAGGAACCCAATATAAATATGTCACAAGCATGATAGTATATATTGACATAGGAATCACAGTAAGCCCTGTGTGAATTTTAAACATTGCACATATTGCACTTATTTCTCATTTGGGATGAAACTCGCCTTAATAAGAAAAGGGCTCCGCGTGACGCGGAATAAATCACCTTATGTCGCTCACTAAAACATTTGGGTGAACCGTGTTTCAAACAACTCAATTCCCCCATTGGCCCCTGTGAGGGCGCGTGCCTGATTGCGCACGTACGTGCGTGCGCACACGTGCGTGCGAGTCACGGATATTTTTATTTTTTTTATCATTATGTAACATGTTCCCAATCACGTCGCTGTGTCTGCCTGAGAGTCGGAGGCATAAGGTCGCATCGGAGGATACCTCCTGACGCCTCCTTCCTTCTCCTCCAACCCAAAACTCTCACTTGCGTCTCACCTGATCCGCGAAGCCCCCGCCGCGCGTCCAGGGAGAAGAGAAGGACACGTCTCGGTAAGAAACAACGGATCATTTCACTGCCAATTGAGATTACGTGCTAGCCTACAACTCTTTTAGGGTGTGCGATCGTGCGTCAAAGTGAAAAGGACCTTTTTCCCGCACTCTCGGGGTTTTTTTTCTGCCATATGGCGCGACGAGGCTCCTGTAGTTTCTCTACAGGTTCCTAAAGGTGTGGTGCGGTGAGTTCTCGTTTCCTCGCACGCCCCGCTGTTTTGGATTCTGGATTTCCCGGATTGCAGATGTCAGGAGTATCAGTTCCTAGTTTGCGTCTCCCTGGCAGGACTGTTCTCCTGCAGGTGGCGATGCGTAAAAGCGACGCTGATTAGCGGCCGTTCGGGTGGGTAATGAGGGACACGTCTCCCCCCCGAGACAGGACAGCGGTGAGCTCGCGAGGGGTTACGCGGGAGGGAAGAGGGGACACCTGTCCGGAGCTGGACGGATCCGGCGCACAGCTGCAGACGGAGGGACGCGCACGCTAAACCACACGCACACTTTCTGTCCCTCGTTTTCCCTCCGCCGGTGCGTGATGCCTGTGAACATTTTAGCAATTAAGACGCGCGTCAAAGGGGTTTAGTGAGGGGACCGAAGGATGTGACAGACTGATCAAATATCGTATTTGCAATTTACAAACATCTCCATTTTGAGAACAATCACTTGAGGTGCATTTATTCTCATTTTTTTCAAGCAGTACATTATGTTTTCCATCTAACTTCCAAATAATCAGTGTAATTCATAATAAATGTAAGTGTCCTTACTTTGGACTATCCTTCAGCAGACACATCACTGTAAGTTATCTAAACAAACAAAGGCTACAGAGTGGATATGACATGTGCAAATTAATTAAAGTGCTATTTCCTCAATTTGTTGCTCTGGCTGTTTGTAATCGCCGTGGATGCAGCATGACATTATAATAGGACATTTCTACTCATCATAGAGTAATCAAACAATTAATGTCCCGCCTGTCAACATTTGTCAGCATTAGGGAGAGCTGAATTAGAAAGGATAGATCATTTCAATCCTGCATAGCTCTGTTGCAAAACTCATGAGGAATTGAGCCACGGGCAAAACATCTTGTTTTTTCGGCAGCGTTTTTCAGTGTGCTTCGTGTACCCACACCCATAAATATGTATCTGTGTACACGTCCACATACATACGCTAGTCAGATGTTCTTGTTCTTGGGGTAACACATTTTTATTTGTTTATTTGTTTGAAGAAGGGTTTTTTTATGGCCCCACTTTAAAATCAGAGAATCCATTATGTGAACGCTCAGGGACAATGAGGTGTCTTTTGATTTAGAGACTGTTTTGTAGAAACAGAATGAATTCCCGCCGTCAAAGGGGGAGAAAACAGTGAGAGGGAGTGATTGTGTCATCATCACGTTATTGTGATGGAAATGTAAATCAGTGTGCATTTATAACGATGTCACGTCGTCTGGATCTGTGCTGTTTTCTTGTGTTCTGCAGTCAGAGTGGATTTCTTCTTACAGTCCTGGAGGAGAGAGTCAATCAGCATCATGGTACCTCCATTTCGATGTTAATTGTTTACTTCAAATATTTATTTATGTTGTATGGAATCCACCTTAAGCATCACTTACTGCCACATATCCTAATTTAAAAGAACCAAGTGAGGATTGATTTATTTTAATGCTGCAGTTCTTATGGGCGCTAAATTATATTAATACTTCCTCTTAGTATATCGAGCGTTCATAACTTTACAAATAAAATTCCTCCTTTTTTTTCCAGGGCAGCAAATGAAGACTGAAGTAAAGGCCGCCAAAGATTGAGGATAAGTCAAAGCTCTGAGGAAATGCAAATGTTATTCATGAAGTAATTACACCGAGTGGAACACGTCAAATTAGTATAACTGGCCTTTCGAAGCGAGCACAGGAAAAGCACCATGGAGCTGCAGCACAACGCCAATAACAACCATGCCTTGTGGAAAGAGATACCGTGGGACTTCACCGAGGACTGCTCGCTCTCCGTGAGCGGCTCCACTTTTCTCATCATTGCTTACAGCACAGTTATGGCGGTGGGTCTCATCGGGAACTCTTGCCTGGTGTTTGTCATCACGAGGCACAAGGAGATGCGCAACGTCACCAACGTCTTCATCGCCAACTTGTCCTGCTCCGACATCTTGGTGTGCATGATTTGCCTGCCGGTCACTATCATCTACACCCTGATGGACCACTGGATCCTGGGAGAAGTTCTCTGCAAGCTCACGCCCTTCGTCCAGTGTATATCAGTCACCGTCTCCATCTTCTCCCTCGTCCTCATCGCCCTGGAGCGCTACCAGCTCATTGTCCACCCGACCGGGTGGAAGCCCATGGTGGGCCAGTCTTACCTGGCCGTGGTTGTCATCTGGATCGTGGCCTGCCTTATCTCTGTGCCTTTCCTCTCGTACAGCGTGCTCACCTTGCCTTTCCAGAACCTCAGCACGCCCTTGCCAATCAATGACCACCTCATTTGTATGGAGGGATGGCCATCTGTTCAAGAACGACAAGCCTACACCACCTTCCTGCTTGTCTTTCAGTACTTCCTTCCACTGGCCCTCATCATGATCTGCTACCTGCACATTTACCTGCGCCTCCGGAGGAGGAAGGACATGGTGGAGCGTGGCAGGTCCACTAACAAGAAAAACAAAGGCGCCGCCAGGATCAACATCATGTTGTTCTCCATCGTGGTGGCGTTCGCCATCTCTTGGCTCCCCCTCAATATCTTTAACACGGTGTTTGACTGGAACCACGAGGCAATCCCGTCGTGTGGCCACGACGCCATCTTCTCATTCTGCCACCTCACGGCCATGGCCTCCACCTGCATCAACCCCATCATCTACGGTTTCCTCAACAGCAACTTCCAGAAACAGTTCAGATCCACCCTGTCGCGCTGTCGCTGCTGGGCGGTGACGGAGCGCTACGAGAGCGTCCCACTCTCCACCGTCAGTACGGAGGTGACCAAGGGCTCAATCTTGAGCAACGGATCTATCAGCAACAATACCTAGATCCAAGCTTTTTCAGTAAAAGACAAAGGGACCGCCGGGGCATCCTTTGGAGTTCTTTCTTGCTTCGCAGCGTCGAAAAGCAAGGTCAACATTTACAAGTTGTAAACCTTATAACAGCAGTCCATAAAGAGACAACTGAAGAAACTTACTCAGCATGACTCGAACGAGTGTGAGCTGTCTTGAGGAAGTAGATAACAAAGGAACGGTGCAAAGGTTGGACAAGTGTAAGTATTGTAGGGAGACTGAGGGCACTTTAGAGGAGCACCTTTGCAACTGTAATAGTTCAAGCTCCGTGTGCTGCGGACCAAAACCAATGGAGAGAAAGCATTTCATTTGGTGTCGTGTTTTTATTTCTTAAGCACTGATTTCTACTCAGATTGTGACGTTACCTGCTTTAAATGTGATCAAGTGCAGGATAATTAAAAGGACAATGGAGTTGGGACACTGCTACGGTTGTTTTCAATTTCACTGTTTTATATTATCAGTATTGATGAAACTATTGAGTAAACTGTAATGTGTTAATGATTATTGCCTGAGTAGCTCATGACATAACTAAAGGAGAGAACATTAGTGCATTAACTATGTCTGAACACGTTCACTGAGACAAATAACTAGCATCATCTTAATGCATTTATTATTACCTAACATCACCACAAACCATGAAATGGTCTTTTAAAGACAACCTTGGGCTCTAGCCATATTCATTACACGCTGTCCGCAAAGGTCTTTGCCGCAGTGTATTGTGAGCCTTTTTACTCATAAAATGTGCCATTCAACAACCATATATCAAGTGCCATAAAACAAAATAAAAGTGGGCGTAAAATACGTTGTCAGAGCAGGGTTACCACGCTGTATATAACATTGCTAAATACGTGTATGGCCTGTAAACAATGTGACAGTTCTAGTTTATGGTGTGGTGGCAAATAAAGAGCACCGTGTAGCATAGCGCATATCTCCTAGGAAACCTGTTGTAAGTTTGTGGTATTGAACTGAATTAAACATTTACAATCATCTTTAACAATAACGTCTATCTCGTTATATTTTGTTTTGATGAGTCTCCGTTTTGATTGGTCAATTCTTTTTTTCCTTTTTTTTTTCCTTCTCTAAAAAACAATGGATTTGTCATTGTTAAAGGTCACCAGATAGTTGATCAATCCATCAAAGATGAAAATGTTCACTGAGAACAGTGGGATCATAATTCCATGAGACCTTGTGCATACATATGAGTCAATGCTGTGCTACGTAGTGTACATGGGGGGGGGGATATATTCTATGCAGTTAATTCTTAATCTTTCTTTGTTTAACTCCAAGGTCAAATTCAGTGTGCTGCTTCGTAGTGCATTATTCAACGGGACGTCTGAGATCACAACACATTTTAGATGTGCTTTTAATGTTAAATAAATCAGCGTTGTGTTTGGTGCCCCCAGATTCTAAACAGCATGTTGAGGGTAAGAGACTGCAGGAGAGATCAGTGGGAATTGTGCTGAATATTCATGATGTGGAAAACGCATGTTGGCAGTTGTACTTTGTCCTTTCCCCGAGAAGAAGAACATCCACTGAGGAAAGGAAGGGCGTATGTCTCTTGCGGCCTTCTAGCTTTGGTAATAACATCCAGAGGTCAAGTGTGGCGTGTTTTTCATCTTACGAAAAGCCAAACCTCCTAAACTGTTATGCAAGGACAATGTAGCCCTTACAGGGGCTCTCCGAGGTCCTTGTCAGCATCATTGACAACGTGCTTCCTCCACTGCCTTTACTCGAGCTGACCTTTACAGGCTGTCAATCTCCTCTCCCTTCCCACATTTCTTTGCTCTCCTTCCTCTGAAAGCGCCAGCAAATTAAGTGGCAGCGTTCGCTTGGTTTTTGGAAGGAAGGAGCCTAAGCGCGGAGGTGCGGATGTGGTCCAGCACCACTCGACAATGAGTGGAACTCGAAGGAAGCCGCTTGGCGTTGTTACCTCAGTGACTGCAGAAGGGCTGTTGTCAGTGGCACGTTGCGGCGCTATCAAATGAAGACGGGCCCTTAATGAGTCCACAGGGCCAGATTCTCCTGGTCTATGGAGCAGTTCCAGGAAGATTAGCATCTTGGCTCTTTTTCATTTAGAGATTCTCATAAGAAAACCTCTCCAGATCACAGGAACAACATGAGCTACATAGCTGGCGAGAGATTTGCTCAAGCTGTTGCCTTGCGAATTCTAATTTCTTCCATCAAACTTTTGGTGCCTGCCTTGATACTAAGAAGGCGTAATTCCGATATTAAAAATGATACTGATACGCTTATAATGTAGACATTCAAATTAGAATCTCTTTGTTGAAAGAAAGTATAGAAAGTCCTCTTCAGCCAACACCGTTGATCCAAATGTTACTCATGTATAAGGTAAAATATGGTTTTAACAATCTGGTGAAATATAAGTACAAAAGGAAAAAAAAGACATGTAATGTAAAAAAGGAAAATGGTACTAGCAATATCAGACAAAATGCCTGTCTTTATGCACCTTCACCCCCTTGTGGGAAGGAACTGATATTTTTGTTCAGGCAGATGAAAAGGTCAAAGGGAGCGGGGTTGCTGCCTCGGGAATCCTAATCACGGTATTATCATGCTAACATGTGTAGTGCGCAGTGAAACTGACAGGTAGCTTATCTAAGGCTCAATCGCTGAGATTATATTGCCCTCGTGGCTCGGATCCAGGATCTGCTCCTTTCATCAGATATGTGAGGGTTTATAGCGTGGAGCCTTTCCCGCTGTTACCTTTTTATTACTGTATTTTTTGTTGTCATAACAGCAATACCTTCATGTGAGCCAGCGACGAGGTGTACACATGCAATCCTCATGAATAAATTCAAGGTAAAACCTTCCTGCAGGATTTTTCTGGGCCTCAATTTCTACCCGTTTCTTATGCGGTATTACTAACAGACGCAACCTACACCCACACAACTGTGCCTTGCATAACAGGAGCAGGCTCGACAGCCAGGAATATTAGCCCGCTAATTGGTGTCAGTCAGTTTTTCCTGAGTGTCGGTTTTCAGGTTTCATGCATGTGCAGACTTCACAAAACAAAAACACAAGCATAGAGAACGGTAGTTAGGTTGAACCTCACAACAGACAAACAAAGACGTTCTTTCTTCTGTAATCTTGCCCCGACAATTTAGGATCTGACCTTCCATTTTCTTTGATCAGAAGGAGGCAACAGCCGGCTTTAGTTGCCTGGTTACAGCCTCCTGAGGGGTTTTAATGCTGACACACAGCACCAGGCTATTAAGGGCACTTTATTGAACACCGGCAGGGGGCCACACCGGCATGAGGCAGTTCTAGCGGAACAAGGCTCACTTTGATATTTCCCTCGCTTGCAAAGTTGGATGACAAGGTGAGAGCTTACATTCTTTAGCAGGCCACGGCACATTTAGTACCTTTTTTACATTTTTTTACTCGAGCTGGCTCATCAAGGTGGCAGCGTCACTCTAAAGTAACAGTGTTTTATTAAACAGCAGGCATAATGTGTCGCCAGCAAAGCCAACTTTCCAAACCATTTAAATGTTAGAAACGCTCATGAGGTGACAATTAGTGCATAATGTAAGAAAACCCTGAGCGCACAACATAATAACACTTTTCTGCCAGTCATCAGTGTAGCGAATAGTGAAATAACTTCATTTCTAGGAGTAATGATTTAAAAAAAGAGTGCCTGTCTTCTTAAAGCATGACATGGAGTCAGTGTTTTAAGAGGCCGTGCTCTGTATAAACATCTTGAATGTATTACAGAACGTAGGAGCGGCATTTCTGCTATGCACGCAGGACCCATGAACACAAGTGTGCATTTATTCACATAAAGCTGCTCGGTGGTGCATGAAGTCAAGACGGCTGGACTGCCGTTCATTAAACGGAGCTTAGAACTAGGCGATAGAGCGAGCATGATAGCAATTAATTTGACCCTGTCTACGGGAAGCGTGGTCTCCAGCTCATTCACGCAGAGTTAGAACAGTCCTTCTTAATTGGGCTGTGAGTGCATTTCAAAAAGGGTTTCTCTCTGTCAAGTTGATTCAACGTCACATAAAAAAATGCAGTCTTTCCAAATGTTAGTCAATGACAGAAAAGTATCTTCACCCAACGGCCCTGCATGATTGAAATGCCACTGTGCACCATGCAGTCATTCTGAATGTGTTTCACTCATCCTGAATCACCGGCAATCACACTGGAAACAATCGTCTGCAGGTTACAAAGATCCCCCACTAGCGCCTGGAATTTCCCAAAATGATGAGCTATTCCTTTATTGTAGTTAACGTTTCTTGTTTTGACAAATCACAACAGCTGCTGTTAAAAGTCATCATTGATTCATCCCCAAGTTTAGGGACCAGCAGCTCTGCATTAGTCTTATCTGTTTTCGACTGGTCTCATTAAAGAGACGTTAGACAATACTGTATATCGCGGTATGAGGTTCACTGCTCCCGTGTGAATACAGTATTACCTTAGTTAGGGTTCCCTGCACGTAATGCTTCTGATGTGATGTGTTTGATCTAAACAGGGAGGGTATGTAGATCAGCATTGAGATTATTGTCCACTACACATCACCAAGACCTTCAAGATCAGTTGATCTTAAGCACATATTTAGCGTCCAGCTGTGCTATTGACTTTGGTTTATTAATCCCTTATCAAATCACTCTCGACAAAGGACGATACTTTACCCACATAGTGTCAGGATTGTGTGTAACAAAGAGGTTTTCTGTCCTGTGTGTGTCTGCCGGATAATAGCAGAGCGACAGACAGATTGGACAACTTTGAAAAAAAAAAACCTTTCCATTGGAGATAAGAGCGTGACCTCGCTGTACGATCATTAGCAGGATATTACAGGGTGTTGTATCACCGTCAAATCTCCATGATGAATGAACTTCGATTTCTTTTATAGTTTGTTTAAATTCCAGACACCACTGCACACATACGTGTGTCGCCAGGCCAAATCATTTTCATGCTTCTCATCCAACCGTGAATAAGAAGTTTTATAATCCACAGTAGATTGTGGAGTGTGCGTGAAACAAGCCAAGCAAATAATTAGCGGTAACAGTACGATATATTAGCTTCAGACACATGAACTTAAGGTGAACAAACACCATAAAGTGCAGTAAATACGATACGTTTTGGCAGGATCTCCTCCAGCCAGATGGAAAATATAATAGATCAAACTTTCAGCTGTTTTCAGAAGGGTTTTTTTGAGCATTTAGATTTTATGGTACATTATCTTCACACAGGTATTAATCACTATTGTTACAAATGAGTAGAAACTTCTAGTCTCATGTTGTTTTCTGGTGCCATCTGGTGGCTCCGCACTGAGTCCTTGACCTCATCAGTTGACCTGCACGTGCTGTTTGGTGTCTTTAGTGTCTTTGTCTTGTGTTGACCATAACATTTTGACCAAATATTTCAAAAGACTTTTTAGACATTTAGACATGACAGAATGAATAACTAGTGAAATCTATTTAGGCCGCCTCACGGACAACAATGGTGTCTGCTGGGAAGCAATGAGCCATGTAAATATGCACAATGTAGTATGTTTTCAAGTTTACAGTTTTGGTTGAAAATCTTATTCTAAAGGTAAATATTGATTATAGCCTTGAGTTAAATGTAGTTCGGTTCAATATTTTCCTACTTTAATTGTTGTGAAATAAAGATATAAAGTAGCATCAAATTATAATACAACACCAACTACCTCAAAATGGTACAAACGTACTGTGGCTACACGGTAGATTTTCTTTGTTTTTTGCAGCCTGCAACAAGAACTCCTCAAGTGACAGTTGACATGGGACATCAGCCGCTCAGCAAACAAGAGATTATGCCGGATCATTGTGGCAGAATTAATGGGAGACAATTAAAACACACACAGGGCGAGAGCGAGATGAGGTATCCAAAGGTTGAGGGGATAAAAGGAGGCAGGTGAAGGAAAGCGAGAGATGAGGTTGCGAGGATGACGTGGAAGGCGGGATAAGAGGTGAAGGCAGACTAGACTATCATCTTCCTCTTCCTCTCTCTCCCATCATGAAGGAGAGAGAAGTCAATAGGGAGGAGGAGAAGGAAGAAAAAGAAATGGCCGAGAGGTAAAGAATAGAAGGTAAAACCGAGGACGCGTGGATGAGGAGGGAGGGAGAGGATGAAGATGAAGGATGGTTGTTAAAGGGAGAGGTGGAGAGGTAAACACAGGATGAAGAAAAAGGCAACGCGAGTCGACAAAACAAGACTTGAAGATGATAGAAGGAATATATTTTAAGGAGAAGAAGGGAGAAGGGGAGAACAAAGGACGGCAATGAGACGAAGACTAGAGAGAGATTAAAAGAAAAGATTGTTGGGAGAGGAGACTATAGGTGCAGTATTCAAGGGCTGAGGAAATAAAGAAAGGCCATTGAAGAATAAAGGGCAGAGATACTACAAGAAAAGGAAGGAACAGAAAGAAGTTTCAGAAGCTAAGGAGTTGAAAGATGCAAAAGGCAGAGGTAGACGGGGTAGAAAGTAGGCTAAAGCAGACGGAAGGGAAGGAAGAGGAAGAGGAGACAGGAAGGGTGGGTGGTTAAAGAAAAGAGGATGAGGAAGGATTCTCCAAGGGTGAAAAACAACTACAAGAAAAATATACAGCTGAGGTACATGAAAGAACAGAATCGAGAGGAAGGTGAAGAAGAGGAGAGGTAGAGGAAGGCAGGCAGTGGAAATCTAAATAAATGAAGCAAGGTGGATGAAGGAGTGACAAAGAGTCGATAAGAGTGTGAGACAAAAGACTAACAGATGGATAGGTAAAGGAAGGAAGATGAGGAGGAGTAAATTGGATAAAGAGGAAGATGACGAAGACATATTGTGGTTGTTAGAGGAAGGACGATAATGGATGAATAGATCAGAGAGGTACAGGACGAACCACTAAAAATACCGAAAGTGGATGGAAGTATGAAGGAAGATGAAAGAAGGACTGAGAGGTAAAGGGAGAAATTTGAAAGGAAGGAGAGGAAAGAAAGTGACAGACAAGATAAATATGAAAATGCAAGGCTATGGAGGCTGGAGAGGTGAAGGAATGAAAAAAGAAAGCAAGGAAATGGGAATTAAATTAAAGGGAAAGGAAGAGAATAGAAGAGTAAATAATGGATGCAACGATAATTTTAAAATGACGGCCCTACAGCCTTGGAAGGAAAGGGCAGTGGGATAAAATAAAGGTTTGGAAAGGAGGACAAAGATGGAGGGATGAGGATAGTAGATTTTGGACAGATGAAGGTTTAACGGAGAGGGAGGATATTAGAAGTAAATCAAGAGGAGGAGGAGTAATCAAACAAGTATGAATTAGTATGTCAACCGGCTCCATCAGGTGTCCCACCTGATAATCTGTGTGCGCTGCAATTGTTCCCGCCCATAGAGGAGGAACACAGCTCACAGGACAATCAGGGAGATGTCAATCAAAAACCCATCTGAGTGCATCCACTGGTACTGCCAACGCACTACTTATGGGTCAACATAAATATTTAGTTATCCCAATTCAGTCAAATTCAGTTTGCCTCCAAAATACCAGCCTGTCTTATTGCACTTTTGTTTTGTAGTCAGCCAGCTTCCTTCTATTCCTATTCTGACCATATATGAGCAAGAGGGCCAATGGGGGTTGATGTATTTTCCACATTGAGCTGGTGATGCATGCAACAGTACTTTCTTTGGGAGGGCGGCTCCGGCACATCACAACAAAATGTTGTGGTAAAAAAAAGGCCGTAAATTGTGAAATGTGAACAATTTTTTTTTACGAAAATGAATTCCAACGTATTAAAGCTTTTAGCTGAGCTCTAAATTACCCAAAAAGTGAACAAATATTTTTTTACACTTGTTACACTGCGTTGTGTCAACATGAAGGCATGATCTGTTTAAGGACTTTGTGAGGCCATAAATGTTTTATTTTCCAGTCTGTCTGAATCAAAAGCTTTCAGCAGTCATAAAATCAGGGTATCGTTTGTTAATGATTTAACTGCTCTCTCCATGGTGGTGACGCATATGCCTCCACAAACCCTAAAGCCTGTTCATTGTTGTGCATCACCTTCATTTCATTAGAAGCAAAGCTCCAACAGCCCAAATATTCAAATTGTTTTGTGATAAAAGAAAAACATTTCACTCATTCAACAATCATAAAATTTAAGAGGACTGACCAACGACTATAACCTTAATTAAAACACAAAACCAATGCGGTCTCCCTATAAATCTTTACATTTAAAATGCATTAAAATGCACTCTACAATCTACTGTTTTATGTATTCTTTTCTTTTTTCAATCATTCATAATGGCGATTAATACTGCTGGCAAATAAACCTGAATCTGGTTGAGAACTTCAAAACATGGCGGTGAACCTGATCTCATGTTGGGGAGACGTAAGAAACCTGCATAGTAAAGAAAGAGTGTAGCTTGCATTGGTGAATTAGAAATATGATATCAAGCAACGACCACAACAATTATATGCTTGTATAATATTTATTGTAGAATCAAGTAATCATCATTTTCAGTAGGTTATGTGTCCACTCTCTCTGTTGGTGACACTGCCCTGGAAGAGAACAACATCCTGTGAGAATAAACATGATCAGAATAAAGAAATACAGGCTGATGGTAGTTATCAACAGAAGAAAATAATCTGAGTCACAAAGGAAAACCCTTACACGAAATCCTTTGGATCTGTAGATATTGGCAATAGGCGATTCTTCTGCACACCCCCAAACACCGCAGGGTGTGTCCACGTGCCGAAACACCTCAACCAGCTGTTGAAGAGAGAAAACACCCCAATGACTGCGATGGGAGGGATGCAAACGAACGAGGGGCGACCCGGGTCGGAGAAACGTGTGATCAATAATCACACAACCTTCACATCGCCCGCGGCAGCGTCTGCAAGGCCGTCCACATCCCTCTTCCCCCCCGGGTTCAGTCCATAGGACCAGTGCTGACAGCAGCTGGGCGGCAGTACCGCCCACACCAGCAGCAGACACAACGCCAGGTTTGGTGAAGCCATTCTGATGGAGGACAGGTTGCACATGTTGAATAAGTATGTTGTGTTTTTGACACACACACACACACACACACACACACACACACACACACACACACACACAGTCACAGCTTCTTACCTTCTGTGGTTGGTGCTCGCTCGGGTCCTGGGATTTGCTCTCTTCTGCCTCGTCCTTTGTAAATTGTGCCGCACACCGTTTCTCAGGGTCTATATAAGCCGATGGCACCTCCCTTCCTTTTAGCCCGTAACTTCACCACAGGGGGTCACGAGCAAAGTGGGATCCAGCAAAACTCATTGGAGACTTCCGCAGCTACATGGGCCGACCATTTATGGCGTTTTCCTCGCTGTTCCTGTTTCCCTTAAATTTTGACCGTTCAAACCGCACACAGAAAAAAATAATTAAAACCCAGAGGACAACTTTCTTTTCGTACTTTATAGCAGTTTATTTATAACAGTCATTTGTGGAAATATGTTTCCACAGTCGAGTGCAATAATCGCAGACAGGGAGACCAACGCCATGTCTTGAACACAAATCAACCGTCGCGTTCAGTGAGATGTGTTAAAATAAATAACCATCGCTCTGCCATTGACTTTCACACTCACGGTGAAATACACAATACAATCGCCATCGTAATCCATTGTCGCAGGCTGGGTGCGTACTACTGAACTGGGTGACTGGGATTGCATCAGAGCAGCTTTCAGCTAGAGGAGTTTGGCTCTCCACACATGCAAAGTGACCCTTGACGACCTAATGTAATAACAATAATAATCATTTTTGGAAACATTGGATTTGATTTACATCAACATTACAAAAAAACAATTATTTTTGGTGAAACGGTATGACACGTATACAAGTTAACACATACTTGTGCAAGTAGGTCTGCAGCATGGTTAAGTGACATGAATTGATTGATGTTTCCAGGCAAACCACTTTGACGTGTGAAAATGGCATCTCGTGAAAGTACAGCAAGTTTTCCCCCGAATGGGAAACTGAAGATTAACAAGTGCATTACATGAACATTACAATAAGCAGTCTAATACATGCAACTGTGGATCACTCGCACGCCGGATAAAAAAAGAGGTAGATTCACAGAACGCAAGGGGAGGGAAAGCTTTTTAAGAAACACTGTTTAAGGGTAGGAAAGAAGAAACATCACAGCTGTAAATAATGTATTGCATACCCAAGCTGTGTTTAAAACTAGCCTGATGCATAGTTTCACGCTGCACTAACAGCACTCTTGGTCTTTTAGACTGTGCTATTATTATGGCTTTGGCTTTCATTGCTTCCTTTGTAATATATATATATTTATATATATACAACCCAGTTGTTGGTAGTTGACACCTTCAATTTCTGATACAGCAGCAATCAGTAAAGCTCAGCGCTCCGGACCTGACTGCAAACAGACAATGTGATTTACATCCCATAAACACGTCAAGTATTAAGAAGTGAATATAAATGAAGTAGAACATTGAATGAGTATAGTCGTTGGATTGCATCCAGACACATCTACAAACACATGGGACATTGTATTGTTTTGGTGATATACACAGCCGAACAATTAAAAACATTCAAATCGTACATATATAGACACATATAGACAACCCTGAATTAAATTCTAGTGCAAGATATTTAAAGCTAACATAATATTAGGTGGAATGCCAGGGATGTGCATATAGCTACCTGTGCTGCAGACAGGTAGCGAGAGAGAGAGAGAGAGCGAGAATAGGGAGAAAATACTGGAGGAGGGGTTGGAGGGAAGAGCGATAAAGAAACCAGCTGTGGCTCCACACTGGACACAGTTGTGTGTGTGTGTGTGCTGCGTTATCTGACACTCTGTGACATGTGCAGAGGGGTCAGCATCTCTTCAAAAATGGCTCCTTTCACATTGGAACCTCTCAGGTTGGCTTCTTGTAAATCGCAGCCGGACAGGTCACAGTTCTGCAAAAGGCAGCAGACCCAACAAGGTATAACAGCTTTCAGACACATTCACTGTGTCTGAACATCATTCAGTGTATATAAATGGCTCAAAGGAGTCGGTTGGAAAACATATTTTCATGATTACTTTAATAATTTTAGTGTATATATCTCACAAAGGGAAAAGTTTAGACTCTTTTTCTAACCAACAGCCTGAGAGCCAAAGTTTATTTCTGTTTCTCTTACGGTGCCTACTTTTAAACATTTATGGTCAACGTGAAAATAGGCAGATGCCCCCAATTTAATTGACATTGATTAAAAGACAACAAAAAAAAAACGTAGGCAGAAATTAAGTAATTAGACACTTTGTGGTTTTTTTCTTCTTTTTTGGCTCTATAAAGTTACTGCAAACAAGATTACCAGCTGCGTCAACTCGAGTGTTCCAGGAGATAATCCCGTCTGACAGCCGAACTCACCTCCAGATCAGTCCCTGCTAAAGTGGCTCCCCGCAGGTTGCAGTTCTTCAGCTTTGCATTTTTCAGAGTGGCCACCCGCAGGTTGATGCCGGTCATTTGGCTCCCTTCCATGTCGACTCCTTTCAGGTTAGCACCTGGTTAAGAAAAACATTTGGTTAAAACATGGCTGTATTTGTTTAACTGCTGTACACTTTGCTGTGAGTTGTGATTACCTTCCAGGTTGGCCTTCAGGCCGGATGGATCTTCAAAATTGCATCCTTTGAGAGAAGCTCCCTCGGCATTAGAACAGAGCATCTTCACCCCCTGTAGGTTAGCCCCCTACCAAAGACAACACACATCAAAAGCATTCATAGTGTTATTGAAAATGCACGTTGAGTTTCGCCCTACACAAAATGTTAAATTACCAGACTGAGGAGAAAACGGTGTGCCTATTGATTAATTAATGAGAGTGTTTACGAACAGCGGGGCCTTCGTCCGTACAACGGAGAAGACCATGGGCGTGAAGTGGAAAAACAAAAGAAAACTCAAGCCCATTGTTCCCCCGCATGAAGGCTGACAGAAAAAGACACATGCCAATGACGCGCCACTTCCACAGAAGAAGAAAATGTTTGCTTCTTCAAATTGAGAGTTTTTGAGAACATTTCTTTGTATGTGCCCATTAAGTGCTGACAAGATAAGAGTTTTAAGACTCACGTCCAAGCTCGCTCCAGAAAGATCAGCCCGTTCCAGGTTGGAACAGCACAGGTTTGCGTGTGTCAGGTTGCAGCGGCTGAGATTAGCCATCTTGAAATTGATGTAGCGCAAATCAAGTCGGGACAGATCTGCACCGCTGAAATTAAGACCCTGGGAACAGTGGAAGCGATAGCGTCAAATAATGACTTGATACGGTGAAATGAGCGGGTGAATGAATTTATTTCAATTTAACGGTACCTGACAGCGAAGCTCCGACTTTGTGGGGGTTGCCAGAAGAAAACGGACAAACTCCTTGCGGGAAATGGGAGAGTGGTCCTCTGGTGGCTGTGTGTTCTGTTTTCAAAGGAAGCACGTTGTGGTGAGACACGACGCGTTCAAGGGAGTGAACGCGTCTCCCAATTAAAAATAGTGACATTACCTTGATGGCGACTTCCAGCTGTTCAGCAAGCTGCTCGATTCCAAAGAAGCGAGCCTCCTCAAGAACACCTGGCAGACATTCGGCAAACATTTGATCGGGAAACTTTCTTGTAACAATCCTCCTCAGAAAGATTCCAGTACACTCTGTCCTTTAGGACTAGTCAGAAAGCTTACCTCGTATATTTATGCCTTCATTGATAATGAGCTGACCGTGTCTCAAGTAGTTGAGGATAGGCTCAAAGTATTCAGGGCTGCGGTCGATGAGGTAGGCCCCGTGCTCGTCCTGAGTGTTGCCCCACACATCTGGAGCAAAAACAAGGGATGACCATTGAAAAGACGCCTCATATTAAACAAAAAAATGTTTAATGATTGGCTTGTTAGCCATAACTTACCTCTCTCTCGGAACATGTGGGCGAGCATACTCTCTGGCTCCTTGCTGACCAAGGTGCTCCTGAACAAATAATAGACACATTCAAGAGAGTAGGGAACAGAAAAGGATATAGTTTTATTATGTGTTTATTACTCGTAAAAACAGGATGAATGATAAAAAGGTACCTGGTGGTGGTAAAGGGACGGCCACCAATATTAAGGGTCAGCCAGTCGGTCTGTGATCCGTGCTGATCAGAAGCAACCGCAGGTTCATTTTGAGGATCTAAGGTGTAACAAGAAGAAGGACCTGAGCGTCTGGAACCATGTTTACCTTGACAGGTGGGACTCCAGCAGCAAACACTTCACAGCACTCACCAACAAATTGATCGCCTTCTGACACGTACAGAACGTCGTCATCTCTGTGACAGGAACGGACAAGTCACAGATTAACTCGGTGTGCACTTAATGCGCTTGGGCTCATTCGTGTTTGTATCGTGATGAGTTTACCGTATGAGTGCAATGTCATCTATGAGACCCCCCTTGCCATTGTACACAGAAGCAGCTCGGATTCCCAACTTGCTGCTTGCTACGGACAGTAAGTCAGGCAAGGTCCCGTACACTGCTACAACCTAAACGAGACAGGTTTCAAAATCAGCGGGTTGTTACAGAAAATGAGACAAAATATGCGATCCCGCAATATGAATGTCGCAGTTAAAACGTTAATACTTGTTTGGCATTATTGTAACGTTAGCTTGGTAGATGCCGTCATTCTGCGGCCCAAGAACCTCCGTACATACAGACGTATTACCAACCTTGCCATTTTTAGATGTCCCGTTAACAAACAGGGTAACTCTTCTCATTCTTTAGGTGTTTTTGGTTATAAGTGGTTTGTTACTATTCTAAGAACAATGTGGCGTTGGCCAGCTAACCCTCGCTAATTCAACCTGGCTAATGCTAGTTAGCTGATTCGGACAACAACACGTGACAAAAGATGCCTTCAAACGTTATCTGAATAACCGGTGACATTACCGCACAATACTCCCACGATCGGTTAACTCCGCATGTTGTGTGACTTGAATTGTACTACCACACTCACACACTTTATGTCCAGCTACAGATTCAAGTAAGTATTAATTATTAGCGTATTATTACTATGCTGCCTCGGTAAGGCTTTTTAGCCTCCCACTGCTCGACCAATACAAATCTGGGACGCAACTCGGGACAAAACTTTGACAAAACTAGCAAATTACACAGTACGTGAAGGGGGCTTCGGACAGCAGCTCTGCAATTGGTCGGAGCATTTACACGTGATATCGGTACACTTGTTTTATGCATCGGCTTGCCTGTTTTTAAAGTGTAGCCATGTATGATAGCCTGTTTTCTAATCGTTTCGTATAGCGAAAGAAATAGCCTTTTGAGTTGTTTCAACTCGCTTCTGACGAGTACCATTGCTTGCATTGGGTTTTTGATTTTTCTTTTGTCTGGTGGTGTTTGACATGCACCAGCTAGTAATCCACTATTACGTTAGACCAGGAAGAAACACGCAACGTTGACTGTCAAAACAGTGTCTGGCTTCAGGTTGGAATTAGTCCGGAAGAATTTAAATGCTGTGTGGAGACAATTAATACAATGGCGTCAGATAGACACAACTGTTCGTGTTGCTCCCATCCAGTCTCCTCTCCCAGTGTTTACCAGACGTTGACTGAAATGGATTTTGAACGAGGTTTGCATTCAACTAACACGCATGTGGTGACTGATTTCTACAGAGTAGTAATTATACCCATACCCATAACTCATATTAAACAGACTGCCTCCCACTTCAGATCAAACGTCTTGGCCAACAACTAGTGACTGATCCTTCTGCTAATTGAAGATGGTTGTATGCACTGTTGTGTGTTATTCCTCCCTGCAGGTATCTGGTCCGCTGCAATGAATGGGGACTTGGATAGGGTCCAGTTCTTGGTCCAAAAGGGCACTGACCCTAACCTACGCGACTCCACCGGATACACAGCTCTGGTAAGTTGGCGGGGAGGCTGTTTTGTCCTGTGGTTTGGCCTCGTGCATCAAAACCCCTGCATGGTGTTTGTGTATTTCATTACAGCACTATGCAAGTCGCAGCGGTCGTCACTCCGTATGCAGGTTTCTTCTTGAGACTGGTGCTTGTGCGTCCCCCCAGACCTCAGGCGGTGCCACACCACTCCATCGATCGGCTTACTGCGGCCATCTCGATGTGGTCAGACTCCTGCTGCACCACAGGGCGGATCCAAAGATCTGTGATGACGATGGTGCATCCCCTTTACATAAGGTACAGAACTGCAAGATGTAATCAAAGCATTCCAGAGGCTCAGTCTGATGGTCATTTAACCACTGCCCGTATTTGTTGCTCTATTAAACGCTCGAGCAGGCTGCAGAGCAGGGTCACGAAGAGGTATGTGAGCTGCTTCTGGAGCACTGTCCAGCGCTCTGCAGCCAGGTGAACAAGAGGCTCCAGCTTCCCTTCCAGCTGGCACCACAGCAAGATCTGCAGGAGCTGTTAAAACCTGACAGACACACTGCTTCTGGGCCATGAAATGAATATCAGCTGGAAATCTACACGCTGAGATTGAGTCATCTTTACCTGGAATCATCACATTTGGAAACCTCTTTTTCCACTCTCATCTGGTGGTTATCTATGTATTATGAAGAGCAGGTTACAGCTGCGGTACTTCGTTGGGGCTTGAAGGGTTGGTGGTGATTAGGAAAGATGAATCAAGTCAAGACTGCCAACTCCCCATCTGATGCTGTGCACTGACCTTTAAAGTGTGTTATGTCACTTTGGAATTAGCCTTGGTTACATATTTGGATGCTCAGTACAAGAGCTGAGCAGGAGTACAAGGTCAAGGGTCAACGACATAGAAGGACAACAGTCCAGTTCAAAAGCCAGAAAGTACTTTTTAATAGTGATTGAATTTATCTTTCAAACTACTGCCATTAAATCCACAACGTGTGGCATTTAATATGTATTTAAGCCGGGTCCTGAAAATACACGCGTCTGCCCCCGCTGCAGCATAAATAATTTATGTTATTGTGGCATTTTTATCAAAGGATTTTGTAATAAAACTGGAAGACATTTCTTTTTTTTTCTTTTGCAGCTGTTGCGTTACTTATTCTACTTTTGTTTGGCCGACTTGTGTTCCAGGAATCCTTGCAGGACTCTTTGTGTGGCAGCAGAGGACGCTGCTGTCTTAAAGGCATCGCGTGTTTCTTTCCCAGCACACCATGCGAAATTAGCAGGCGGCTCACACACAGTGACCTCATTCGATACTTCCAGCACAATGTTGGGAAACTAAACAGGGCAACTGTTCGAAAGAGAAAAAGCATCAGTGTGACAGCTGAGAATGAGACGTCGTGGATGCACCACCGTTTAACCATCTTCATGCCATCGTGGGTTATTTACTCATGGAGAACTTCCTTATTGTTCTAAACTGTCGATAATTCCGGGTCATTTTCACACATTGCCGTCTTTACACATGACATGTTTAGCGTTGTCCCTGGGCTTTAGGAGCACATATTTTGTCCGTGAGAACTCACAATTGTCCGCGTTATGACCTGGAAGTCTTGTTGCTAGTATTCCCATGGTTATTGATACCTCCTTGTGTATCATGGTGACCTGTAATGTGAGATTAGGAAAAATCGAATAGTTTCTTCCATCACACATTGTTTTCTACAATGAATTTCTAATTTTATTTAGTTTAATGGTCAGCCGTTATTAGAGTTTGTCACTTTTAATCAGATGGCTCAATCGTTATTATCAAAAGGCACGGCGCATTATCGGGTGCTTTTAAGCCAGTATTCATAAGCCAAGGATGGAAGCCCATCAGATAGAATGCCTTTCAGCTATTGTCTCGTATGCTTATTGAAAAGCATGTTTAATAACTAACATGTGCACATATACGAGGCAAGAGCCTTCCCCAGATGTGCACTGTTTGTACGGCACTTCCTCTGCGCTCTTCCAGTCCGCACATATTCCAAACCTCTCGCTGAATTCTGAGGAACTTTCATTGGGTCTGCTGGTGGGCGGTGTTTAAAAACTACCTTCAAACCACATCCAGTGCCGTGACGGGAGGGGTGCCAGGCCACATCTGGAGCTCATTGCAGCTGACGCCAAACAACACAAGGAGATGGGGTGTCGGGGGGGGTAGATGGGGTGGGACGGGGGTATTTCAGCTCGGCAGAATTAAGCCAAGAGGGCTGTTTACGCTCCGCGGCGAGCTCCTCCCTCCACACAACTGAGGACCTGTTCGGGACGAGGAACCAGGAACAGGGATCCCCCATTTGGAGGATGCCACATGCCAGTAATGGCAGCGGTCCGCTCGGCCCCTTTTAACTGCTCAGTGAGGATGCCGTTTAGAAGATCCCCTCATTTGTTTTTTGCAATAGCTGGAAGAGCCGGCCGCATCGTGCTGTTTGATTCAGTCTATCAGGTCCGCCCCCCCCCCCCCGGCACCTTCTGACTGTTGCCATGCCAGGTTCTACGTAACATAATCAAAGTTGATGTCTGAGATCTGCTTGCAGAGAGCGAGGTAATGAAAACCCTCTGTTTTAGTCAGTAAAAGTGGAGGAATATTTACGGCCTCGTTCTTTTTTGATAACTTTTCATGAGCTGGTTTGAATTTGAGAGCTGCCTTGCCCTTTTATGTGGAAACAAGCAGACTTTCATCTGGTGGGTGAAAATAATTAGCTTTGTGTTTAGAACAAGAATTAGTAAATCCGCTTAACTCAGAACCGTTGGTACAAATGATAGAACGAGTGATGGATAAGGTGGGATTTTTAAGCCTATAGCTTTTGAGAGATTTTCCTCTTAATGGGAGCGCTCCACAAGATGAGGAATTTGGATTACAACTCTGTTTAGTCAGTTTATTTGGAAAGCAATGAAACTTCCTGACCCCAGAACCCACTTCCACCGTAATGAGCCCAAGTTAAATCAGGACTGGAAGTTATTTTCCTCTGAAATAGAAGGAGGGATGTGTACTATTCGTGCATACAGGATTTGAAATCAGTGCTTGGAACTCTTGGAACCCTAAAAGTGTATGATGCTTTTCCTGTGGGTGCATTTGTGAGTAATTGCATATTTCAGCACAAAAGTGTATAAATAAATCCCCATTTTCATATTTTGTCAAATGACATTTATTGCTTGTTTTCCACGGATAAAAGGGTCATCCGGTCCTTATCTTTTCCTGTGTCCACCTGTACAGAACTAATGCCCCTCTCTTGCCTCCCAGCTGGCCTGGCAGAGCCTCAGCTGTCTGAATTATCCCAAAGTAATCAGGTAAATGGCTGGCAGATGGGCCCACATTAAGTAGTGGAGTACCAGACTCTGGCACGGAGGACCGCCCCACTTGTTCTCATCTGCATTGGGGAAATCAGAGGAGTGGGAGTGTTGGGAGAGCTGGGTGAGGGGGCGTGTATAATCAAATCTACGGGAGCTGCTCCTCGGAGATGCTGCGTAATCCAATTTGGGCCGACTCCCACTTCAAAGCCGCATGTTGTCTGCCGGTTCAAGTGATGTAGCAGATCTTTCGCTCCTATTTTCCAGGTCAGCGGGTGATTAGAACCATGAGTCCAGAGGCTGCAGCTCAGCTCTTCCATGCGATCAGCGCAGTGACTGTGGGGAAGGTCGGGCCCATCAAGTTATCGAGCCAAACTCAAATCGAGACCATGTGACGCAGGTTGTTTGTAGATACAATCAACATTTTGGTATTTTGAACTGACTTTTTAACCACATTCCTGATCTCCCAGTAATTAAATATTTGGATGTGGGTTCCCGCAGCCACAGTTGGACTAAAATTCAACATCCGGACAATGTGCCAACGTCTCCGCCAGCAACCACTATCATGAAAAGAGAAATTGCACTCAGTGAACATTTTGTAATTTCTCTGATATTGTGGATTATGTATTTGGGGGGAAGCTTATTTTCCAGATGTTTTTTAGACTCCGCGGTGGATGGTTTCTTTTTATTGATTATGGAGATGTAATCTTCTCAAAAGCAGGGCCAGTCAAACAACCCATAAGCTGTACTATAAGAATCAGAGGAGAATTGATGAGGCCGTTGGAATAATTTATCTAGTTCCCGTTGTACCTGATGGATTATTATTTCTCATCTGTAGAGGAACCATCTACTTGGCCTGCCTCTTATTGACCTTTTCTACCATTTCTACCATACCGTTTGTTTTTGCACAGGTGTACTTGCAGAGATTTACCCCTGTTGACTTTTAACTCTATTTCACAGGTTTATTTTTTCTCCTAAAGTTCTTCGGAAAAGTTTCATAATTATTCAAGTTTCACTTAATTTTGATGCACACACAGGTTTTAGACAATTTCTCAGTCCAATTCAATTCCAATTCATCAAACTCTCAGTAGAGGGTTTAACGTGAAGACTCCCATGAGCTCTTATGTTGAATATTATATCTATACGCTTCATCTTAATGTCTGTACTTCTGCTTTACTGCACTACCTTTATTTGATGGCCATATAGTTACTTTACTGTTTTGAAACACACAATTTAAAAAATGAAATTAAAATGAGCCCCACCTCATCCAAATGAAATACTACCTCAAAATTAATGTGTTATAGTAATCAAACATAATAATATGTCATAGAATGGGGGCCTCTTTGGTATTATAGGTACTCCTATTAATACCGTAAGTATATTTTGGTCATAATACTTTACTTTTACTTCATTATTCACAATCAGAAGTGGAGCATTAAAGGCACACTTCATGTTATTTTGTATAAATAAAGTCAGATGAATCAGATTGTTCAATGCATGGAGTACAATAGAAGGAAATAAGTCAAATGCTGATCATTAGAGATTGTTCACACCTAAAACAATGCATCTGACACCACGTGTGTTAACATCTCCCCTACAATGCCAAGCAGCAAAATATTCATGACTGCAGCGACAATGCTCCCATTCAGTGCGAATGACCGGGGAACGCAACACCGCGCTGCGTGTGTAATTGAACAAGATGGTTACGCTGATGAACTAAGACTCATGGAGGTACGGCGTCCTTCTGTCAGCAGGTGCCCGGCACACACTGGTCCATTCATATGCACATTCCTGTCCCTCCACTGGCAGCCCAGCAGGTTCCTCCCGGCCACTCAGGACAGGGGCCGACGCGCACAAAGGGTCTTCAATCTGCCTCAGACAACAGCCAGCATAAAGGCCCGGAAAGCCACAACAGTGTTACGTCAAAGAGCGGGCTGGGGGTGGTGTGCAGAGTTCAGGGGGGAGGCGGAGGGTGGGGGGGTGCTGTGTACAACAGGGGCGCTGCTGATGGATGGATGAGGGCCGGGCTCAAACAACGTAGTGGAAGGCCTTTATCTGCATCGAGGAGGATATTTGTACTTGCCCAGTGACAATGGAATGCAAACACAAAAAAGCAAAAAGTGGGGACAATAAAACACCACTTTGGGGGCGATCAAGAAGCTGCTATGGAAATCATCATGCAAAGCGTCCCCGGAGCAGATATTGTTCACTCTGAGGATTGCATGACTCTCTGTTTGTTCCCATGCAGATTTGTGGCTCAGCCTGCCTTTGGTTTTCTTTTGCATAAGGTATTCCCGGCTTTAACAGTGCCCGGCACATTTCCTTACGCTGAAAGGGAAGTGAGGAGGGACCAGATATGCCCCACCTCATCTTAACACACACCGTGTTTTAGCTTAGCTTTTGTCAGACGCATCCAAACAAAGGTTCAACCGACGTTACAACCTACCCAGTCCTGTGTACTGGATTTCATTCTCTGCAGGAAACCTGTGTCATTCTTAGCATTTCCTCACAAATGCTCTATGTAATATTAATTAAAACCATAAACTTTGGGCGTTCATTTTATAGCCTTTCAGTTGAGCCTTGGCGGTAAGCTTGCCTATATGTTTCTTGAGCTACCGCGGTATGTACACATGACAGGGACAGGTTAATGAATAATGACTAGACCCCATTGGCCAAGTTGCTGCTTTCACTCTCATATTTGTGCGAGTGAACCAGAAATATAGACAGCGTGTCGCCCATGTGCTGCTACAAAAAACCAAATACCATCTTTTATTGGCCTCATCTGTTTCGTACAAATTTTACCACCCAAACGGTCGCTGTTGAGAATGAGATGAAGAGATGGAGTTCCAGATCAGTCACGTTCTGACATGAGAGGAAAACAATAAGCAACAGAACAAATCAACAATTGCCATATGTCATTACTTCTGCCATGGCTTTCTTGTCTGCTGTAAAATCCTTTTAAATCATTAACAGCGTGCTGCAATGAACTCGTTATCAGCGACACAAAAAGAAACGTCTTTCTTTTATACTGCCGTGGCATCAAAGATCTGCTCATTTTTGTTTTTGATCCTCTGGAATCCTAAGATGTGGCTTGTGGCAGCACAAGCCTGTTTAACTCTCACTATTAGATACTGTAATAAACACGCCTGGTATGTTTGCGGTTTTGAGATAAAAAACATTTAATTTAAGTTTAAAGGGCATTTGACAAAAAAATACACCAATCTTAACATGTAACATAAAGACAGTTGGTCCTATGGTTTCATTCAGTCACTAAAACCTCATGGAAAGGCAGACATTTGTGCTCAAATGTTTCTTTCTTGTCTTGTCGAGGATTTGTTGAGAAGATGGATTCGATAACTCCATAAATGTAATCACGTGATGTTTTCCAGTCTTCTCACATCACCCGGGAGTCACAAAAGAAGCAAAGAACTTTTTCACACAGGACTTTACTTCCAAAATCCCATAAATATACTTTAATGTGAAGTTCCCAGTACCTTTGCCTATTCATCCCCTAAGCTCTACTTTGTGCTGGACTTAAAGACATTTGCATCTTGATGCTTTCCCTAGAATTTCATTTTGAAATGAATGGATTACAGCATCAACACTTAGTCACACAACCTGTAATGTCGTGCCAACATCCCCCGGTGTTTACTGATATGAGCTCAGTTCAGGCCGTGTGTTACAACCAATATAAGAGCAATAAGCTGGTGTTTTCTTCTCAATAAACTACCCTTCTATAAGAATCAGTTGTTGTGTTGGAAAGTGTTGGATTTTCTATGAAGTAAAGGAACCCACTTTGTAGACGTCTTTAACATCACACTGCTTGGAAGATGAAAGGCTAACACATGTTGAAACACAAATCTGTTCCTTGGTCATCCCATTCTTTAATCTAACTACCAAGATGGGCCGCGTGTGTCCCTGCAGTCGGCAATTATTTGTTCATCGTGACATGAAATCAAAGACCATATGAGCCGAACTATGTGTTTGATCAGACAGCGCAAACCTTTGTTGCCGCTGAGTTTGCATTTGAAATTCTGATTCTGTTTGAAATGCTGCCAAAGCATATGATGTATATTCGCCAGCACAACAAAGCTATTTTAAAGTTGCCTTGAACAGGACTGTGAGTGCTTACTTTCTGTCAGTGTACTGGTATTCAGGTTATTTTAATTGTTAATGTCCTGATGAAAACTAATGTGCCTCCACAGATACACAGTCATTCTATTTCCAGCTATTAGTCAGTAAACAGTCCAGCGTCCCTTTGTCGGCATGTGCCTTCTTGGCGTTAATGCAACAATACCATTCCGTTTTTTTTTAATTGTAGTTATTGTTCACTAAAAGATCAACATTTTTGTGAAATGCAACAAACATATACATTGTTGTTCTTTTATGTCTACATGGGACCAAAGGAATGAATCTTATTCTGTCTTTTCAATACAATGGCTGTATAGCAATATGGTTGTTCATATTTCTTAGGTATCATATTTCTGTAAATGTTTTTGTCATAATCAGTGCTGAGTGGTTGATGGGTGAGTGCATGTAGTTTATACCCACTACGGTGGTTGAAAGTAGCAAAGGACCGCGATAATTATTCGTGGTCACTTTAGTATTTTTGTGTTGTTGTGTGACTCTGCTGCCACGATGCAAAGAGCTGGTGGGAGCTGGTGGAGCGCTGGTGCCGTGGATGCGAGGGGGAGCCGGGTTTCTGCCACCCCGTGCAGACCTACATCAAGCTGAAAGGTAACTGCCTAAAAGGGGCCTGAGTTCCGCCGGTCACCTATTCAAAATAAAAGCAGAAATGTGTGGGAAAAACAACCGCATGTACCTGAAACAAACGCTGCACTGCACAACACTGGAAGCTTGCGTTGTATTATGGTGCAGATGCACTCAATTTTGAGGTGAATTGTCCTCCAATGACTTTTGGTTGGGGGGCGAGGGGTAGAACGTATCAAAGTAAAATGTATGTTTTTTTTCTTCTCCAAATGTATGTAATGGTGGGTTTCTGTTAATACGTTTATATTACCCGGTAATTTCCGCTTCAACAAATCCGTGTGGCGCTTTTTTGGAGCCTATACTCATCCTACTTTAGTCCCCGGTACTTGTGGTTGCTGAGGTCACCTTTATTTTGTAGCAGAAACCGGAAGTGCCCTTTGCTACTTGTTCTGTCTTCACAGTGGTCCGGAGGATGCGCACATTCTCAGAAATAAGGGGGGAGGTTTGGAGCAGCTCGTACTCTCGTCGTTTAACCGCATTTATCCGCCAGGAATCTTCCGAAAAATACTTTCTAGGATCAGTTGAAGTACGAGTCTTTTACAGACGCGACACGCCGAGCGAGATTTAGCCTGCATATATTTTGTTGGAGTGAGTTTGAACAACTTCGCGGTTCAGTTTTCGGAGGTGAGGCGACTTCGTTTCACTGCGAGCGAAAGGTTTTTGGGGCATAAAGGGACCAGGGCGAGAAGTACCGCGCAGGCTTCGGATGAGGTGAACGCGAGCTCGAGCACAGAAACGCAAACGCTGATTAGGAAGTTTCTCTTCCGCTTCTTTTGCTCATTTGGGATTTTTTTTTGCGGTGTGGGCGACGCACGTTTTTTTTTTTCTTCTTCTTCTCTCACGCACACGTTCTGCAAAGATCTTCATTATTTTTCACGGACTTCACGTCAACATCTGGATTTGCTGTGGCGCAAACCGTGTTTCTGCGGAGTGTTCCCTGTCCGACGCACACTGGCTGCTTCACAGCCCCCCGCCGGTGAGGTGAGCCGAACCCCCCCCCCCCTCTTTGACTCCTCTTCTCTTATCGCTTTACTCGGTTTACGAGCCTCGTGGATTCTTCTCCAGCGTGGTCGCGTTAATTTGTTACCGAACCTCGTGTCCTCGAACCATTTGAGTCGCGTTCAATCTGTTTTCACGTGGAGTTGTTTTTATTTCTGCGGTTTTGTAAATGTTGTTCCCTGTAGTTGGGTGCAGAGAGGAGGAGGAGGAGGGTGGGGGGGACCTGAGGGTCTGTCTCGTGCACGGCAACACCTCGGTGTCCTCCACGCTCGGGAAGGAGAAGGGGACAAACGGCGAAGGCCCGAACGTTGCCTGCAGGCCCCCAGACGGGTCCCCCGGGGCCCTTTTCCTTAAGTCTCAGCAGGCACCTTTGATCAGATTACAGCATTTGAATAAGACCAAATAACATCAAAGGTAAAACGGACAAGGCAGATGTTTGAAACTGCACGTGATGGCGCCGTTCTGTTTTTTACATTTTATAGAAACATTTCAGGTTTGCTTCAGGAATCTGGAAACATTTATTTACCAAAATATGCCAAACAACAAACAAGGAATTTGTCTTTGCGGTTAGTGCGCGACAGTAGACAGACAAGACAGCAGTGCACAAGTAATAAAATAAAGTAAAATGAAATGCTAATGCAATGGGTTAGTAGAATCATCCATCTGTTGTCATATGTTTGCTGTGTCAATCGTGTTTTTATCTCCGCAGAAACCCTCCAGGGCTCTCATATTAAAACTCAAACAAAACGCATATTTCAATTCAAAAATACTGTTCAGAAACCGCTTAATTTCTCTGAGGTAGAACTCTCATGCCCTTTAATTTGCTAGGCTGCTCCTTTTGCATTCATTTAATGCGGCCTGTATTTTTACCATACGAAATGTGAAATGTTTCCATGACACCGTTCTAGTAAATTTATATCCGTACTAAGTAGATTTCAGTTGGTGATCCTTCAGATCTGTTTGTAAGTTGGTCTCCAGAGGCATCGGGTTTGATGGTGTATGTGTGTGTGATGCATTGTGGGAGTTCTCAACTTCATTCAGATACACGCCGCGTGCATGTTGGTATCCTCTCCAGGGTTATTGCGCTGTGTTTACCTCCCTCGGGAGACATTTAAACTGAATGTACTTTTTAAGCGTGAAAGCAAGTGTCTCCGTCTCGGCTGGCTTGACACCGGTGGTCTTTGCGTTTGAGTGTAATCTTCATGTCACCTGATCTCCCTCCGTGGCACCCGGACGGCAAAATCACTGATGCTGCAAAGAAAAGAAGAAAAAAAAAGGCAGAAGTTTCTTGTTTTTGTGAAACGAGTAGGCTGCCTGATGCTCTTATGTTCGCTGAACTGCAGCCGGGTGCAGACCGGCCTGTTGCTGTCTGAGTGCACAGATAACTCGGGGGGGTCCATAGATTGGGAGCTGAGGAATTTTATGCATGGATGGCGGTGAACAGTAATTATGGTGTGCAGGCCATGTTATGGGTGAAGCCTGTGTCTTTGTATGATGGGAGAAGCTAAACGTGTCTTGCATGTTCTAATCGGTTTAGTTGAACCACCCTTTTTTTGTGTTTAGTGTAACTTTTATACCGAGTTTGATCTGTAGAGAAAATGTCTTTTTTCTTTTTCTCCTGTTGTCACTCAGTTTATTAGGTTGTTCTGGACTTTTTTTAAAAATTATATTGCTTTCATACTTGTATTATCAAACATATTTTCATGCTTTTCTTGTTAGTATAATTAACAACTATTCGTGATCGCAGATAAAATAAAAAAATCTTAGGAAGTGGGAAGCGATAGTGCTGCATGCTAAAGCGAGCGATGCAACACCAGACCTGTGGGTGTTTCAGTTGGGGTCTGCTCGTGGGGTCCGACTGGCCCGTTAGTGCGGTTCAGTGGAGCAAACAAACCTTTTGATAATGGGGCTCGCAGGTGTGATTGTGTTGTGTCATTTCTGTGAATCCGAATGTGTTCCATGTGATCCCGTTATCTGGGTGGGTCACTCCTATTTGGCAGGGATCCCTCAAATTTGGTTATTGTAGCTATATCTATGTGTGTGTATATATATCTCCTTTGTGGGTATATTTTACTTTTGAACACTGACTATTTTTTATTAGAAACACAATGGAATTTTATCAAACGGTAACTCCAGCCCGACAATTGCTGGATTTTTGAGGCCGATACTAATCGGATCTTTCCGAGAACAGTTTTCATGCTTTTCCAGGTGGATGTTTTTCAGAGAAAAGCTAATATGGGCCCACAATTAACAGTGTGTCAGTGTGCCGGTCGGTTTGTGTTCTCAGTGACTCACAGGAGTTCTGCCCAGTGAGCGGATGGCAAGACGCGCTGTTTGTTTAAAGCCTAGTTTATGCTCCTGCGTTTTCAGAGAGACGCAAGGACACGCAGACCCAAGAGTCCCTTGCGTGCCTTTTCACACCTCCTTGCCTGCGTCAACCCATTTTTCCAGCCTGCAAGGCTGCGATTGGTCTGCTAACTACATCCTTTCCAGAGTCTGACGTTTCTGGTTTCATAGCACAATACCGCCATTTTTTTTACGAGAGAATGGATCAGATCGAAGAGCTTTTGTTGGAAGAAATCCCTAAATATGACCACTTCTCTTCTGATTCATGGAGCGAGATCTCCGCAAACGTCTGTTCGCCGGTCGAGGGGAACAAAGTTGTGGAAGAAAATACGGGACAAATTTGTCCGCGATGAAAAGCAACAGTGGCGAACAACTTCAACACAAAAACGTGACTCCACCTGTTGTTCTGGCAGTGAATTGCTCTGCAACACACGCAATCCTTTTAGAACCATGACTTGAAACGAATGCGTCGACACGACGGTGCGTGAAGACGCGGGCGGCAGCCTTAACTCTCACTCCCGCGGGAGATGACAAAGTGTCCTATCCTACTTTTTCAAGAAGCTGCTTCCTCCTCTCTCAATTATTGACGGTTGTCATAGTGACGAGGGCCAGGGGACCGCGGCCGGCCCCTCCTGTCTGGCAGCCGAAGCACTTTTCTTTGGAGCGTTCCCAAACCCTGAGTCACGGAGCGGCGATGGCCACGCTTCCTTATCCCCCTCGGACCCCCCGACACGGCTCAGCTGCCGGAACACTGGAGCTTTCTGAGAAAGTGAAATTGAGTTTTTGAGGGGAACACAGTGACTGTTTCAGACACACACACACACACACAATGGTTAACCTCTTGAGGAAACTCACAGCTGCAGCCGAACATGACTTTTGGCCCCTAGGACCCACATGCGATGAGGCTGGTTTTGTTTTACATGCTGGACTGTGATCAATTAAGTTAATTTATGACCCATTGATTTGTATGGTGTTCGTTGATGAAGCCTGTATTCTGTATTTACAAAAAAAAAAAAAAACTCCATTTGTTCGACCCCTCCTGTCAACTCATGCTAGCAAATGGTTGCAGAGGCGGGGGGTCAATTTTGGCTCTGGGGCCAAAACCAACTGTTGGGTGATAGATCTCTCAGTGGGGAAATGATGGCCCAGCGTTCTCTCTCTACAGGGGTGTCGCATAACAGAGTTAGGCTTTTTTTTTTTTTGTGTGTGTCTTAAACAAATTCCTCAAGAGGGGTTCGGGGCGAGTGTTAATCTCTGTTGCCAGATGCTGCAGAAGTTATGATGCAAGCAGATGTGCATGTGAGGGTCACCCAACAGTACTGTGCCCTGTTTAGGAGGGCACTGCAAAAACATCAACGTGGTCTCCAGTGTTCTGAGCGTCTTTAAGGGTTCATGCTTCAGTTGCCGCTTTGAAGTCTTGAAAATGTTTAATTCCCAAGAGGTGAGCGAGACGTATCCCGTGTTTGGAGCCATCAGGGCGAGCTGCTTATCAGTGTTCTTGTACAAGGCGGCCCGAGTCCCTATCTTGAACCGTGTGGACATACGGAATATTCTTTTCTTTTAAGACGAGTGCGGAATTTCCTTGTCCACAGAAATAGATTGCCATTTGTATGTTTTAAAAAGGACATTACTTTCTTGAAAAGCAACAAAACCGATTTTTCATTCCTGCATACCAATGTTTACCAATGTAAAATCGCTTTCTGCCTTCATGAACTGACTTCAACTAATCGTTTGTCTTCTCGCAACAAAGCTTTGAGGTTATGAGGCTTTCTCTTGGGGTGGATGATTCATTTGTTTCTGTTACCGTTTGCTTGTTTTCAGTTTTTTACTGCGAATGACCCGTTGCTGATGCCCCGGCGGCCTGAATGGAGTTGCAGTCGCAGAAAAGGCAGCAGCTGTAGTTCCCTCAGCAGGATGCTGATGAGGCCAAATATACTTCTGTGTCTGGTTCTATTCTCCCAAGTCTTAAGGACGCAGAGCCGGCCGGCCAACAATGACGAAGGTAAGATTGCTTAATATCTTCTAGAGACTCCCGACTGTTTGTGCACTACAGGTTTTTATTGCTGCTCACAGTAGAATTATTTAATATCATAAAGCTGTTCGAACGTATTAAGTCTGACTTCTCCAGACTGACTTGAGGAACAGTGCATTGATAATCAGAGCTTTGTTCTTTGTAAAGGAATGTAATCCTAACACACTCCAGGCCTCGGTGCAGTCTGTCCTTTGTGGCGTCAGTGTTTCCTCCACCGCCCCCATTTGCCCGAGTCTGATGTTTGAGTGCAGTGAACTGTGTCAGATGTGGCACAACTGTCTCGGACTCTCAGCGTCTCGGTTGCTCCTGGCAAACTAAACCAGGAGGTGGGAACTGGTTTCTCCGCTCAAAAAACTTATTTTATTTTGCTCTTAAACTGGCCGGTGCATCTTGTAGATTGCTTTAAAAAAAAAAAAGAATTGGGCCCGAGATAAGTTCTGAAAAGGGGAACGAGGCACTGAAATCAAATCCTAAAAAATGTGTCTCTTGGATTCCGTCCAGCGTTGTAAAAGCTGCCCGGACTTGCGGGTAAATGGGTTTGGATGTTTACGCTCTGCAGTCGGAAGTGGGGAGCAGCAAAAGAATATTCTAAAGCTCAACATTATAATTAGAGTAATTAAGCAAGAGGGTCTCTCTTGGGCTGCGAGCCCCAGAATAAACTTTGCGCGGCTGTGTTTAAGCCGACAGTGGGACAGGGAGGAGTAAATGACTCCCATCTGTAGCCTCGGGGCGCCCCACTACCTACCGGTCCACGCTCTCCTCCTGCTTTTGTAATGAAAAGGTATTTGTTGTCACAGAGAAGAGTTGACTGTCAAGGAAACCATAAATTAGCCAGGTTTAAAAAAAAAAAAAAAAGGAAAGAAGATGCTCCCTTATCCCAGAGGATAAGGTTTCTGAGGAGAATGTTTGTCTTCTAAGGTGAGCCGTGAGGTTCCATGCGGGTGGGGGAGGTCTGATGCATTTACACTCCACCCAGTGCTTAATCACCAAATGGCCAGGTACTATCTATGCGCCTCTGTGCCTTTTCTCCTGCTCCCCCCACGGCCTTCTTGCCTGGGAATGTTTCACCCCCTCCTGCCGGGTGACGGATGGCTTCAGCTGTCGACAAACAATCACAGCAGAAGCATTTGGTTGCATTCCCTTTGTCTCGGTTGGGGAAACACAACAGCTCGATGGAAATGGTCCTGTTTTAATGCAGGATTCTTTGTTTTCTGTTGTTTAAATAAGAATAGAAAATCCTCTGAACAAATTCATTTGATTACATTTTCTTCAAGGGTCACGTGGAAGGACATTCGGTTTCTCTTGGTTAGATTTGGTGCAACTTGGTTGTTATAATCATTTTAATGTTAGTACGTCTTTCTGCACATGACTGTGAAATGTCAGTTATTTATTTATATTGCGTTCCCACGGACTTTATTTGACTGGATGCTCTGCTGTCAGTCCGAGTTGATGAGCTGCTGACTCTTCTCTTAAAATGTAGAGCTGCCAGTCTTAAAAAACAGACTCTTGAGACACTGGAGCTCGACTCTGTGGACAACCCCCCCCTCCAATCATTTGACTTTTTATTTTATTTTCACTCGAGGAAAACTAATAGTTCATTATGGTTCAAGTAACCCAGATCAACTCCTGTCGGTTGGAGAACGGGATTATGACAATGGCATTTATATTATGACCTATTTGGTTGCAAAGGATCTGCTGCACACATTAAGCTCTGATGCAAAATGCAGTCATGGCAAGATGTTGTTGACCAACTTTTTTCCTGCTAAATGATGTTCAGTATTCTGTTTCCCTTTTGTCCATTCTTCATTTTCAGTCGTGTTGAATAAGTTAAAAAGTGAAAATGAAAGGCTATTTATGTACAGAGGACGAGCAGTGAACATAGTACATGAACTACATGTCTGAAGCACAAGAACATCACTCCAGTCCATCTCTACTTAAATCAAAAAGCTACTTGCCATAAACGGTAAATGATGGAATTCTTAAGTTGTGGTAAAAATCCGTTTGGAAAGCTTGCCATGCGTGTGGTGTTTGAGTAATGGATTACTTTAGTCCCTGTAACTTTTCTAATGTTATTTTCAAAGCTGTGTGAGCGTGAGTCTCCTAAGACGGTAGAAGTAGATCAACATGCGTAGAAAGCCCTGGTTTTGCAGCGTTCGCCGTTACTGCCATAATGTGGGGACTAAATGTAGTGGAACTCATTCGAATGACACAAAGAATGTCTTGTAGCATGCAAGTGTTAATCCGTGCTGATTGTCAGGGGCTCATTTAGGAATGAAAAGCCCCTCCACTGGAGGGCTTTCAGGAGGGACACTAGCTTAGCAAATGTCTTGAGCTTGCTAATAGGCATTGTCCCCGTTCCATGGCTTCCTGCTAGTCCCGCCTTTTTGTCCATTATCAATCCTCCCCAACATGTCAGCCACCGCTTCACTCTGGTGCGGTCGATCCGCCGCAGGAAACGCGCCGCCGGCTTGTTCGCCCGCGCGCCACCGCAGAGCCTCGACCAGCGCGACTTCACGGCCTCCGACCTCCAGAGAGAGCAGGAAATCCCACAAGTCATTCACGCGGAATATTGCTTCCTATTTTGTAGCCAGAGTAGGTTCCGCAGACCGGAGCAAATGCTTTTTGTCTTTGTTGGTCTGGTGCTGGCAGACTGGTGAGCTTTTGCACCCCCCCCCGCAGCCCCTATAGTGTGATACTGCCACAAAAAAAAATCTTTTCATGATTAATATCATTTGGCTGATTTTTAAAAATGTCACTCAATGTTTTCAAATGGATGGTGGAACACATTCCAGATGGGTGGCTCTCTGGAAATATGGTCTTTAATTAATTTTAATCCGATCATAGCGGCAGCAGGATTAACGAGATCAAACCTCCTCGGATTCAAAAGGAATCCTGTAATGCGGCACCTCCCCTTAGTGTGAAGACTTGTTACTATCAAATAAATAATTCCCAAAATGACAAGCGGTCTTTCTTTTTTTAAAGATAGCAGTAGGTTGGTTTGACTACATTGTGTTGGATCTCACCCAGGTTTTATGTCGGTTGTCACGGAAGCACAAATGGTCCCGACTGTGCCCGGCGATAAAGGAACAAGCAAACTTTACAGCTTTTATGGGCACTTTATGATGCCTGCGGCCAGATTAACAGCTGGGATGTTGACTGTCTTATCAGTGGCATCTCCATTTAGAGCGCAGGGACAGGAGCATAATACCCCCCCACACTCGTCCCACCCCACACGCAGTGCGGAGACGTTAGTTTTAAGGCCGCGTCCTGGTCGGATCGCTGTAGTCAATCACTAAATGCCTCTTCTGCCTCCCCCGCCCGTTTGGGTTTGTATTCGAGGAGAAAGTTGATCCTAACCCCCCCTCCCCGGCCCCTTTTTCCTGCTGGGATTAAGGGCCTGTCAGACACATGTGATCCAGGAAATACCTTTACTGGGCCCAAGTGGGGTCACCATAGCAACTGGCGCTAGAACCTGCTGCTGCAGGCCCTCGCTGGCTCGCTCCTGTGCACATGCTCACTGGCTCCCTCTTCCCCTTCATTGTTTGGAGGCCTTTGTTGTGAGGGTGGGAGGGATTAGTCGGGTCTGCTGGTGCTGTGCTCTGCTTATGCTGTATAGATGTTCTTCCTGTTCTGAGGAAGTGCGTTCTACAAACACGGTGCGCCTTGAACTTTTCATGATAATCTCATTATGACAGATCACTTACCTCGATGGCATTTGATAATCCAGCCCCATTCTTCTTGCTGTAACAGAAAAGGGACGATGTGGGAAATTATTCCGGTTTCACATTGTGGTTCCACTGCCGGGGGATTACTTTGTAGCCGGCTAAAGCAACGAGCGTTCAAACTACAGCCGACCCGACAAGTTGAAAGACCGATTGAAGCGAAGAATTATTCCATCATTATTTAGATATTATATTAGAGATATTTTTCAAGCACAAAACTGTAAATATGATTTTCATCTCCTATAATGTGAGGACGTTTCACGTTGGCTTGCATGAATCTACCAAATATCTTTGAGAAACAAGACATCATCTTAGGCTTCTCTCTATTTTCCAGCATTTTCTGAATAATCAATAGAATACAATCTCTTGGTGAACTGGTACTGAAAGCGATGCAGTCCTACTGTCCACGGAGTCTGAATCCTAATTTCTCTTCACCGTGCGGCGCTTTTAAGCACGGATTCGTACGCTCAGAGCAGAAATGATTTCTTACCTTTTTGTTCCTACACACACACACACACACACGCCGCACTATCGTGATGGACAACGTGTCGGCGTAATCGCGTTACCCCTCCCTCCGCGGACTACGTAGTCGTTTAGAACAGGGGGGCTCAGGTGTCTCACCTCCCCTCTCCTCCGTCCTCTAATTGAATTTCACCTTCCTTTCCCAAGTAGCTCCCTGCCTGCCTGACGATGGGGCCCTAACTAACTTTGGATATGATTTCGTTTGAGGGAGAGGTCGGGCGGCGGTTTGCCTGCAGGAAATCACGGAAGGACTCTTTCTGCTCTTCCTCTCTTGTGGCGCGTTTCCACCGAGCGGTAGGGGTCGGGTCTGTTAACCATGATTTGGCGAGCGTTTCCACCGCCAACAGTAGCCACTTGATAGGCGTGGTGTATTCCAGAAAGTAGATTGACTTTCATTCCATCGCTCGAAAACTGAAACCGCAAACAACAATGGAGGACATACAGCCGATCCTGTTCTTGCTTCTCGATATGTGGCTGTTTGTCACAAGGAGACGACAATCTTTGTTTGAGCAAAGGCTACATGCTGCAAGTGTGATACGTGTGTTGTCTTTCCCCTTGCGGCTTGCGCAAATGACGACACTCTTTCAACCAATCAACGTTCTGCAGTGAGTCTAGCTCCACCCTTTAGTACCAAACAACTGTGCCAGGTACCCCAACGGAAGGGTACCCAAAAAGTGGTACGGTTCGGATTTTCGGTACCATTCTCAACTTTTGGCAGTGGAGACACAAATAAAAGGGTACCGTATCGTTCGGTGGAAACGCGCCATAGGATCCTGTTGATTCCACTTATTTATTTTATGCCTACAGTAAAGATACGTGTTCTGTGAGAGCTCTCTGACGTTATTATTTAGTTGCTTATTGTGTCCTATTGTGAATCACCCATTGCTTTTGTCCTATATTTAGTTTTTTGTGGCCAGTATTTTTCTAATCAAGCTAGATATGGTTTTGCATTTAAATAACTACAGAGCTTTCGTCAATAACTGTCCCGTGCTTTGTTCCTCGGTAGCCTCGGTGGAAACCCAGGTGGAGCTGTTCACTCTCTATCTCGGGGGTAGTTTGGACCTGAGCTGCTCCGCCAAAGACTCCCCCCATGCCGTCAACTGGACCAAAGACCACGAGGCCGTGGTGGATGGAGAACACACGCGCATCCGCGGCGTCCAGCTGGTGATCGAGGCGGTGGAGCTGACGGACTCCGGCCTGTACGCGTGCACCACCTTCGGCAACCACAGCAACTACTTCAACGTCACAGGTAGAGGAATACGGAGATGAATTAGAGCGGCCTCTTTTGCTCCTGTCAGTCACTATTTCCTTCGTATTGCCCGATACTTTGCTCTAGAACATGTTGTATCACTGGATCCGTGCTAACGGAAACGCTGTCTCCCCAGTTGAAACCTTGGCCTCATCTGAGGACGATGATGAAGAGGAAGAGTCGTCATCAGAGGAAGCCAAACTCTTGGGCAGTCAAAAACTGCTGCGTAAGTGTGCCGCTGCTCTTTTCGAGTTACTAATGCCGCTGTGAGAAGTGGTCATTACTTGCGTGCCCGGAGCCACAGGGTTATGAGTGATTGTCATGAAGCTTTATTATTCCATCAGTCAGTCACACTGAGGTGAGTGATTCCCCTGTGAATCACAGGGTTTTAGCTACCGCAGTTACAGCCTCTACATAAGGAGGATCTCCGCTGTGGCTAATCGCGGTAATCCAATTTGTCCTTCGAGTAATTAGGACACACAGCCTTTATTATCTTGCTGCCCACTCTGCCCGCAAAGAATCCAGCTACTAAGCGTGGCAACTATGACCTTGAGTTCTTACTGTGACTCCCAGAGAGCTTTATCTCACCCTGACCCACCCGGCAACTGGGGCCATTTTGAAGTGTTTGTTTGCATTTTTTTTTTTTTAAAACCCCATCTTCCCCCACCTAGTGCAGCCAAGCCTCAGGACCCTAATTTAGAACGCTTTGGGTGAACACTCATCTGTAACCTGTCAGGTACTTGGCCCAAGGCTTGGTTAAGGGGGCTGAAAAGCCCAGCCAACCTACAAAGAAAAGCTTTTTTCGGCCACTCGTTTGTAACGTTTTGGTCGCGACTCGTCTGTCCAATGCTGGCTGACGATATGAACAAATGTCAAACTATATTTAACATAGTTTTGTGTGTGTGTGTTTTTTTTTTAAATTATTCTTTAGCTATGGCCCCAGAATGGACTCATCCAGAGAAAATGGAGAAGAAGCTTCATGCCGTCCCGGCCAGTAAGACGGTGAAGTTCCGATGCCAGGCCAGCGGCAACCCGACGCCGAGCCTGAAATGGTACAAGAATGGCAAGGAGTTCAAGAGGGACCATCGCATTGGAGGCTTCAAGGTTATTATTAAAAAATGATATGTACTTTCAAATGTTCCCCTCCGCCTCCTCTTAGTGACACGACACCCACCTCGGCGTTTCTTATTGAATCTCTAAAGCTCGTTCTCTAGTCACTAGTGGAGATGGGATCTCATCTCCATGTTAGATTACCACACACCCGTCCTCCCCTCCCCCTCTGGAATAAGAAACGCATCCCGCAAGTGAAGACGGGCAAGTTTCACATTTCGGCTAAAAACAAAACAAGACGAGGGGAAACCCGATGCCACAAAAAAGAAACCTCGTGCCGTAGTGAGAATCGCTGCAGGTTGGAGGAAGGATAACGTTGCTGTCCTCGTTCCAGGACTCAGGGCATCGTCTTTTCTGTAATTACATCCACGTAGCAAAACACCCACCGTGATACTGAAGCCTCTGTTGTGCTGCTGACATCACTGAAGCACAATGGCGCTGTTTATGCTTTGTTTGCAGGATGCCTTTCACACATGTGCAGTACATTGCTGCCACTTGTTGCTCAGTGTCACAACAAATGTGACCAAATGTTGACCACACCAACTTGCGTGTACTTACAAACTGGCGAGCTACAGCTTCCTTGTTACTCTGTCTGTGATATGGCGTATCTGCTGTGATAACTTTCTTTGTCAACATCAACAGACTTTCCAGGCAATCTTTGTTCGATTGTGATGCAAACTGTTGTATATTACATTTTACAGTAAATATCATTATGATATCATCTGAAATATACCCATCACGTATCTGTGTTTATGCTTTTGATCCGAGCTTTAATGCCTTCAATCTTTTCCTGTTGGCTTAAAGGAGGCCGTTGCATTTACTTACAATCTAATCATATGATATGGGGGGGGTGATGATAATTGCATGAAAAACCATTTTGTTTTTGGCGGTGCTTCTTTTTTGTACCTTTTTTTTTTTTCCACTTTGACTTGTACGCAAACTGCTGCATTCAGTGGCTGTTGGATGTAAATGCACTAAGAAAGGCGCTTTCACCGTCCCTGCATCTGCTCATCCCATCGAGGTGTCAGTCGAGCCTCCCTCATGCTGCCCGAGCCCATCTCCCACCCCAGCTGGGACAGATTTAGGAGTTCCTCTAAGCTGCCTGCCCCCCCCCCCCACCAGCCAGGCAGGCGGCACACACACACAACCATCTGGCATTTTTTTTTCTACTTTACTTTTTTTTTTTTTTTCTCAAGTTGAGGTGCAAAGGTCTGCGTTAGCGGCCGGAGCCGTCGCTCATGTCCCTCCCAGACTCGTGCTTTTATGACCGGGCTTCTATTGTTCATATAGTCTGCATGAAGACGTGCAGGAGGGAGGGAATAATGTCCACCACATGTATATGAAGCCGAGCACAACACATCTGGCAGCAGGCAGCTGGACTCCCCCATCATGTTTTTAGCTAAATGAGGGAGACCGTATGGTTCAGTCTGTGTGTGTATATGCATGTTTGATGTTGCCATTGCCTTAGAGGTCCGCTGGTTAATCACACACTGCCGGTCTTGGCAGATTTATGGAAAGAAAACTATAACATGTTTTAGAAAAAAGAGCCAGACTTCAGTTGGCGCTAACTAGAGGGGTTGGGGCAGATGTGTATAAAACGTGAAACATATTTTTCCTTTCGTTGTTTGGTACGACAAAGATCCTCTGTTTAGAAACATTGGGTGGTGTCACATGAAGAGGGAGTAGCGTGACGGAGTAGAGCGTTATCTTATCATCACATCCCACATCATTGACCTTGTTTGCTGAAGCTTTGAAATGAAGAAAAAAAAGATTTACGACACTTGTATTGGTAGAAAGCAGATGGAGTAAAATGCTCAAGTCTTTAGTTCCGGGTTTTAGCTGTTGAACTCAAAACTGCAGTCTAGTTCCATGTTGCGAGGATTGGGTGACAACCGTCCATTTATGTTAATTAGATTTGATGGTAAATGAACTTTGAGGTTTACACCTTCAGTCAAAGTGCTGTACACTACATGACAACGTTTCACACAGTCGTACTGTGACGTCAGGGGCCGACATACAAGGTGCCACGAGCGCCACGTTCTGGTCTTATCAGAACGATTGCAAGAGCCATCAGGGGTGCAACATCTCGCACAAAGACGACTCTACGAGCAAACTGTATTTCCGGATTTTCTTTTTTTTATCAAATGCAAAAAAAATTACGAGGAGCAGAAATTGACTCTGGTCGGGTCAGCCACTGTAAACCTTTGCGTTATCTGAAATCCTCAGGTCCGTGACCACGTCTGGACCATCATCATGGAATCTGCTGTGCCCTCTGACAAAGGAAACTATACCTGTTTGGTAGAAAACGAGTACGGCAGCATCAATCACACCTACCAGCTCGACGTAGTCGGTAAGTGTTAATTGTCATTAAGTAGTTTTCTATTTTAAAATATGATTTTGAATATGAAGTTTTATTGATTTGTCTTTTAATAACCTGTTGAATAATCACGTTGCCTTCAGTCATGTTGGAATTCTCGGATATTTCTTAACCAGTCAAATGTGATTATCACAAACGCACGGGGTAGGTGGAATTTGGTGACTGGCTATTTTGATGAATAAAGCCTGTGTACTTGTGGCTTGACTACTGGATCCTTGTTGAGGAGAAAAGGGTTTACTCCTCCAGGAACCACTGGCTTTTTAAATCATAGACCACCTTCTTCTTCTGTCTCTCAAATGGTCCCATTTGCTTTATATGATGAGCGTTGATATTGCTTCAGTTATGGGGGAGTTTTGTCACCGGCCACTTCGTCCACATTCTTGACTCGTACGTTTACTATCGGTCATCAAAATGGAGCTGCAACATTTCATCTGTGGAATAACCGCTCTCAACCAGACAACGGAACTTGTTGTGGCCATCCATTAATAAAATACACAATCAGCCCACGGCTGTGAAAACAACCGCTTTAGTTCTCAACATAAGATGTGACCATCTGTATTTTACACATTATCTTATGCAGGTCACCTTGTTTGCCGTCCACCGCAGCATTTCCATTAACAAAGCCCTGATGTGACGGGTTTTTATCTGGTTCGTGTTAAAAAATCAGTCAGCTGTGTTAGGCCTGCGCGCTACGGCCAAAAATCCATATCACAGGATTAAAGATTCTGACGGTGTCACGGTATTGCTTTTTCAAGTAAACACATCAATTTGTTGACCCCGAAAAGCACCGGGGCTACTAGCTCCTATCGCCAAAGGTTCCACGATGACGTGTAAAAATAAATTCTGCCGCCTGCCGTGCTACACGTAACACCGGTATGTGAGAAATTCATACCGTATGGAAATCTTATACCGTATGTGCCCTACGCTTTTCGTATCGTCACTGTACGCATCTGTCTTTTACGTTGTGTAGTTGCTGCATTGCTTGCATAGTCCGAACGCTGTATTTTTACAGGATTCCCACCGTCAATCTGCATGTAATTTATAGTCCTGCAAAAATGTCCAATAGTCCAATGCTTTGAGAATAGACTGATCCCCGATGGCCGACTGATAAAGGTGCTTTCTTGGGAAATAAAACAATGTGTTGGAGTATTTCAGTTGACAACATGACTCCTAGATTAAAGCAGATTATCTTTTGATGCTGACACAGCGCTATTGAGATACGTCCTGCCATGCAAGACTACCGCTGGCGAAGCTTCTTCTAAATCAACGTTTGTATATGTTTTTGCTTGTTGAAGAGCGTTCTCCCCATAGACCGATCCTGCAGGCCGGCCTGCCGGCTAACCGCACCGCAGTGGTTGGCAGCGACGTGGAGTTTGAGTGCAAGGTGTTCAGCGACCCCCAGCCTCACATCCAGTGGCTGAAGCACGAGGAGTTCAATGGAAGCCGACTTGGTCCTGATGGTTTAGCGTATGTCCGTGTTCTCAAGGTAGGAGTTTTTCTTATCCATTTTTGCAGCAACAAGCCAGTTAAAATTAAGTTGAAAAACACCTGCAAAATGTCGTAATTTTGATTAGACTAGAGACTTCTTCTATAGCCTTTGGTTATTTTCTAATCTAGCCAATATCTCTGTAAAAGGGGTCCAAATTGCATCTGATGAAATATATGAAGTTTATCTTGTAACTGCAAACCTGAACACAACTCTCAAAAAATCCAATAATTTACATCTGAATGATCTCGTATTCCATGTGTCATTTTGTCACTTTTTTGTCTGTGCTGCACATGTCTTTATTTCCAGCACTCTGGGGTCAATAGCTCGGATGCTCAGGTGCTGACCCTCTACAATGTGACTGAGGAGGAGAGCGGGGAGTATATATGTAAAGTGTCCAATTATATAGGAGAGGCCAATCAGTCGGCGTGGCTGACGGTCACCAGATATGCGCCCACAGGTAACCACCGCGCTGCGCTACGGGGGCGACACAAGTGGAGGCGCTTCTAGGACCACCTGGAAAAAATCGGGCCGTATAACTCGAGACAACCTCAGATGTTTCTCTCCTCCCTCCCTCCGTTTTCTCCCTCCCTCTCTCCGGCCTCAGTGCTCCTGACTCTAAATGACGCTATGGAAAATTCCCAGCAGAACAGTTGAAAGTGTTTAGTCTCAGGTTTGAGTTGGACCCCCTTCTCCTTCCTGCCCCCATTCCTGTGCTGTGCCCTCCTAATAAGGGCCTCTCTTGCCATCTTCTTCTGTTACTCCCGCTCCCTTGCCCTTCAAAGTCCTCCTTTCACGGCTCACAAGCCTCTACCCTTTTTTTGTTTTTCTCCAGCCATCCTCCTCCTTTGAAGAAGTATGAGTGTGAATTTGAGTGTGGCCTGTTCTGCTGAGGCGTTTTCCATGTTACCCATCTCTTGCATGTAGAGATGAGAGTGAGGTATTTAATGTGGTGATGGGGTTGCGCTATGCGGTCTTCTGAAGCGCAGAGTGAACCTAACCTGCTCCTCCACTAACAGATACTGGAGTCCTCCTGCAGGGGCTCTCTCGGTGATACTTTTTGGGCAGATGGTGTTGAATTGAGGCGGAGAACCCTCCTCCACCTTTTTTTCTCTTTCAGAATCCTTTACTCATGGTTCCCTTTCCCATCTTGGGCCTTGTTGGGGTCTGTTTCTTTTGTTATTTTCTAGAGCGCTGGCCTAAACACCACGGACAAGGAAATGGAAGTCCTCCAACTGAGAAATGTGTCTTTTGATGACGCTGGGAAGTACACCTGCTTGGCGGGCAATTCTATCGGGTACTCTTATCACTCTGCATGGTTGGCCGTTTTTGAAGGTATCAGTGGTTCAGTCTCTTTCCTATTTTTTCATTAACTCCCATTTTCCAACTCCAGCCTGCCTGTCCACCTTCACATTTGACAGAAAATGCCCTAATCGGACGATTTTCTGTAGAAAAATGTGGGAGGAAGCCAGAGCGAGTTTCTAGTACTCACTCTTTTTCCTCAGCATGGCTCCTGCTCCATCTAAACTCCCTAGATGGAAGAGCACCAGCCATGCTCTGCAGTCTCTTAAATGGAAGCAGCAGATGCCAAACAACCCCGGGATCTGTCTGCTACCTAATGCAATATGACAAAAATAATAATCAACGTATAGAAACATGCCAGTAGTAGAGGTATTCTTAATGGTGCCACGTAGCCCGGCACATTGAGGGGTTGATTGGCATCTCTGATCATAAGGTGTCTCTTATCTAGTGTTTGTATTCATTTTGCTATAAAGCTGATTTTCTTTGATAATTGGCCCGCTGCGGTGGATGTGTCACATTCCTGCATTTTGGAATGAGCATTTGTCCAATTATCAAGCTGCTTGTCAATCAGCTTCTTCACGCAAGTGCAGCTCACTTGCTGGTGTTGGTTAGGGGTGTAACGGTACACTTAAGTCAGTTTGCCCCCCTTGGTTTGGGATGCATTGTTCAACATGTAACGCTTACAGAAAGAAAATGATTTATCCCACAATAACAGGCGGAAACCAAAGCGATCAGTAATATTTTTTTGCCCTAATACTGAAATGTTAAATTGAAATACAAAAACAAGCATTTTAGTAATATTCTAAATAATTAACTAGAATAACTCTTCTGGTACATTGAACGCTTCCAACAAGTAAAACTTTTAATTAAATTAAATTCTGAACCAACACCAGAACGAAATCCGCAGCCGTATGAATTCAAGATAAAAATAAAAAGGCAAAAAATATTTGTCGCCATCATTAATGCTTTTAAGAGGATTTAGGTTCCCGGGTCGTCTTGTGTGTAAACGGGGAACCCAGTTAGAACTGATTTGTGCGATGTAGCCGCTGCCCACAATGCCACATCCCAAGCCACGGTGAGCAGCTTCGCTGAAATGTGGAACCTATTACACACCTAGAGGTGGTATGAATAAATCCCGGTGTTTTCACTGAATGGGAGGAAAAAAACAGGATCTGAATCGAATATTTTTTTACACAAGAAATAAGCCATTTTCTTTCACATGAAAATGTTGTTTTCTTAACCAGTACCAACACACAACTGTCAAAATATCTTGGAAGTCAAAATTGGATATTTATATTTATCTACTGTATCTACCTCATGCTTTGTGTTTTGCTGCTTTTAGACTTACAAGTAGGCATAAAATGTGAATTAGGCCATTTGATGGTGTAGAAAGGATCTGTTGAAAAATGGTGTGTGTGAAGTGTTGATGCTCTGTATGAAAGTCAGATCCTTTGCACGCTGTTAAACTATTGTATTTATATTACATAGCTACAATCTAATTTATGTCTAAATCAATGTTTTGTGTGTACCAATTAGGCTCATTTGTTTTTCCCCTAACAATTTCTTACTGATTCATTGACTTCTCATATTAGCAAAATATGTAAAGTGAAGTTTAGGGATAAATGGCCTCCAATTAGATTTTCTTTGTGTCAAAGGCTCTGGTTTTGTGTGTGTGTGTGTGTGTCATATTATTTGAAAGCATGTGTATGATTTGGTGTGATTATCATGTATTTAAAGCATATCCATCAGCCGTAGTGTAATTTCATAGATGACAGCTGACCCCGTCACCTTGCACCCCTCCCATCTAGCGGTCCCACACTATCCTCCAGCCAGCGACACCTACCTGGAGGTGGTAATCTACTGCGTGGGCTTCTTTCTCATTGTGGTCATGATTGCCATCGCAATTCTAGTGAAGAATCGCACCTCATCAAAGAAGAGCGACTTCAACAGTCCGCTGGCCGTCCACAAGCTGGCCAAAAGCATCCCGCTGCGCAGACAGGTAACAGAAAGTAGATAGGGGGTTTGGAACATATACCTTTCATCTCTTCTTTCTCCCCCCATATGCCATTTGTTGAGGTCACTTGTAAATTCTAAGCTTAATAATGTATTTTGGGCTGTTTGGCTCGGAAAACTAAAAGCATTTATTCAAAGGGCTTCCAGGTTCATTGTAGCTTCCTGAGGTATTGTACATCCGGTAAGTATTAAAGGAGTATTTCTTCTCCATTCACACGGTAGAGCCGACTGGTTTGGGTGGTTTTATACGGTTCTACATTTGACAAACTATTCTAGTCAAAACATTTTCCGTCACTGTCAACTACAGTTGCTGCGGGTATCCGTTCCACTACGGGAGGAGTAATGTCCGTCCTCTTTTCCTCAGGTGTCCGTGGACTCGAGCTCCTCCATCCACTCCGGGGTGATGCTGGTTCGTCCGTCCCGCCTCTCTTCCAGCGGATCTCCAATGCTGTCCGGGGTGTCCGAGTATGAACTACCCCAGGATCCCCGCTGGGAGCTGCCTCGGGACAGGTATGGAGACTGGAACATTGTTGCGAAACACAATGCTGATTTGGGGTTGAACTTGTGATGACTGTCTCATGTTTCTCCTCCTCCTAACAGACTGGTTCTTGGAAAGCCGCTGGGCGAAGGCTGCTTCGGTCTGGTGGTGATGGGAGAGGCACTGGGTCTTGACAAAGAAAAACAAAACCGCGTGACCAAGGTTGCGGTCAAAATGTTGAAATGTAAGTTCGCTGTTCTCTGAAACTACAGAAACTAATACGATCAGTTGATTGACAGAGAGGAAGTCCCCTTCGTTTATAGTAATAGATCTTAACAAAGCCTAAACTCCAGGGGTGAGAACTTCCACCACCAAAAGTGTGATGAGCGGATACTAAGACATTTGCCACTGGATCCAGGCCACTTCGCTAATGGGATGGCGGAGTACAAATTTACGAGTACACTTGACATCCCATAAAAAACAGTGTTCATTAAACTGCACAGAGGAGTGAGGATGTGGAGAAAGTAGCATTTATTGTCTCCTACCCTCAGTTTCACTTTGTACTTTGTAGGATGATTGTTGTGAGGGCTTTTTCCCCCAAAAAAACATTGCCTAATTGCCCTAATGTGATTAATCCCTACAGCTGACGCCACAGAGAAAGACCTGTCAGACCTGATTTCAGAGATGGAGATGATGAAGATCATTGGGAAGCACAAGAACATCATTAATCTGCTGGGAGCTTGCACACAGGATGGTAGGACCAGACAGTCCGGGGTCTGCTGCTGACCTGCTCGGGCCAACACAAATATGCGCGCGCGCACACACACACACAGACACACACAGAGAGAGACAACAGTGTGTGTGTGTATCTGTTGTCCAAACTAGCGTGAACCCCATTTGGAGAGATGTGTACCACAGCATGAGTAAACCAGTCTGACACCCACTTCCGAACTCTCACATTGAAACACAACAGCTGCTGCCATTTCCTTCCAATAGTCCCCGACAAAAAAAACTAAAGAAAGTTAACCTCCGATGACCCCGCAGTGCACGCCGCTCTGCTGCTTCCACACAGAAACACAGATCGCTCCACTTTAGTGACTGCTTTGAAATTAAGTTGTAACTCTTTTGTGTGTGTCTCTTAATTTCAAAGTATTTACAACTTCTGCTAAAAGGGACTTTTATTTTGCCGGCCAATAACCCAATTATCTTCAATTGTTTCAAGTTTACACATTGTGACTCACAAAGGCAAAGAATTCAATCGATGTCTTTATTGATGTCATGGATTAGAAAAATGTGATATTTAAGAGAAGATGATTGTTAAAGATAATAAAATATTTTTTATCATCAATGAGTCGGTTGATGGATTACCTGACAAATCAAGAAGATAATTAGATTAATTAATAAAAAAATAATGATATGGTGCAGCTTTACCTGTTTGCTTCACCCTTGTGACGCATCAGTCAGATATTTCAGTTTTAAGGATTTGGTCTTTTAATGTATGTTGTAAAATACTGCCGCTCCCATCATGACGTTTATTCTTGTGCTCTTCTGATAGTCTTATAAATGCTTTCATTATTTCTATTAAATACACTAAATAATACCCCAACTCCAAATTCTATGTTACATGGCCTCATTTCCGGGTGGTTATTCTTTTTTTTAGGTCCTCTGTATGTGATCGTAGAGTACGCGTCCAAGGGCAACCTGCGTGAGTACTTGCGAGCTCGGCGCCCACCAGGCATGGAGTACTGCTACAACCCGGACCAGGTTCCCGTAGAGACCATGTCCATCAAAGATCTGGTGTCCTGTGCCTATCAAGTGGCCCGAGGCATGGAGTACTTGTCCTCTAAAAAGGTAAGCATGAAGTAAAAGTATTTTAGGTCGAAAAGGGGTAGAGGAATGAGTTTAAATAATAAATGTTCTGCGGACGTTGTATTTGAGAAACGGACTCTCAGGACATCGATTCATTTCTGTCATTTCTGCAGTGCATCCACAGGGACCTCGCCGCTCGCAATGTTTTGGTAACCGAGGACAACGTGATGAAAATAGCAGACTTCGGCCTGGCGAGAGATATCCACCACATTGATTACTATAAGAAGACCACCAATGTGAGTAGCCTTCATTCGATTAGCATTCGGACTCACGGAAAAGCATCCAAACCAGAGACTGTAACATGCCAACATGCATACTTTTCCCACAGGGTCGTTTACCTGTCAAGTGGATGGCTCCCGAGGCTCTGTTTGATCGGATATACACCAACCAAAGCGATGTGTGAGTAGTACACGTCACTGTTTTATGTGATGTGAGAAAGAGATTTAGTTGTACAGAAAATTTAGACATGCCTTTCTGTTTTGTTTTTTTGGTCCGCAGCTGGTCATTCGGGGTTCTGCTTTGGGAGATCTTCACCCTGGGGGGCTCTCCATACCCCGGAGTCCCAGTGGAGGAGTTGTTCAAGCTGCTGAAGGAAGGTCACCGAATGGACAAGCCTTCAACATGCACTCATGAACTGTAAGGAAACACTACACACCTTAAATCCAACATGTTCCTGGGACAGAACCTTTAATATCTATTTCCCAGCATTTTTGCTTTTTGAGTTGAACTATTGGGCCGAATATTAAATGCTATTGCATGGTCAGATGCATTTTAATTGTATTTAAAAAGGTCCTTTATTTTTTGACACACCTTAAGCTGCATGTGCAATGTATGATCAAAACAACCCTGTGGTTGTAACACCGCTGCATTGTTGTAATCACAGAGGAGAAGCCATGAGGATTGCTTTCTGCCAACGGATGAGTTGCAAATATAGGATTTCTGTTTTGAGCTTACAGCATTGAGGGGATGACGTGGGTTGTGATATTTTTGTTTCAGTTTTCCCTTCAGTTTCATTTTGAAATCTCTTGATCTGCAGATACATGATGATGAGGGACTGCTGGCATGCTGTTCCTTCGCACAGACCCACATTCAAACAGCTGGTTGAGGACCTTGACCGCTGCCTGGCCATGACATCCAACCAGGTCAATAATCCCCTCCCCAAGCACAAATGTTTTTTTTTTTTTAATTAAATGTAATAAACTGTTTTACTGCTCCCTTTTGTTGCCTACAGGAGTATTTGGAGCTGTCTGTACCTCTGGACCAATATTCCCCCAACTACCCCGACACCCGCAGCTCCACGTGCTCCTCGGGGGAGGACTCTGTCTTCTCCCACGATGCCGGAGCAGAGGAGCCCTGCCTGCCAAAGTTCCCTCCCCACTCCAATGGGGCAGCCATCAAGAAACGCTGACACCTCGTCCGGATTCAGAAAAAAAACATTGACATTTCCTCCGCTCCTTGCCTCATGGGGTTGGACTCTACCCCACATTCCCAGAGATGAAGCTAAAAAACACTCAGTGCCCTGTGAGAAAGGAGCTCGGAGAGACTCGTCGTAGAACTTGCTTGATCACATGGACCGAGGAGTTAATCTGAGTCTCCACAGTTCTTGGTCGGTGACGATGTCAATGGGGCACTTTGTATTACCGGGCTTGGCAGTGTGGCGCAGTGTTGGGAGAGAAACAAATTAGAGCAGACTCCCACTGTTCTTTCCAGTTTGGGCATTCCACAGGTCAGGAGATTGAAAAAGGACGTTTTGTTTTTTTGTTTTTTTCTTCCTCCCCTTCATTGTTGTTTCATCAGTACTGAAGGACAATATTCTGCTTTTCTGACCAAATCCAGAGAATATCCTACCAGAGGACACGCAGTCCTCTGCATCATTCACTATCTTATTGTAAATACAGTTAGGAAATTATAAATATATATTTACATTGTACTCTTATTTTTATTACCATAATTGATTTGTTTTCTTTTGTACGAGGATGCTTTTGTTTGATCCATTTTTAATATAGTCGGTAGGGGCAGTTGTTACATAAGAATATCTCTAAATTGCGGAGGATGACGTCGCCAGTTTGTTTTTGCTGATTTCCCCTAAACCTACTGCATAATCAACGATGACAAAAATATATATATTGGGTTTTTTGTTTTTCAACTGCAAGTGCTTTTCATGACACAAACCTGCAATACAGCGTAACTCAGCGTTTGGGGTTTTCTCTCCATCAGAAAAGATTTGTGAAAATATGTGTTGTGTGACTGGCTGGATGTATGTGGAACATTGGATGTCTCATTCAATGTCCACTGATTCCAAGGATGGTCACGACTATAAATATTCCTGGTTGTATGCCATGCTTGTTAAGATCCAGAGTCATTCGCTAACATCATGCACTTCCACTGTGCATGCCTTCCATGTGATGAACTTGTCTCCTACTGTAAATGCTTTAACAGGAGTTACATTTCCTGCCATATAACTTCTGATGAAGGGTTGCAGAACACGTATTTCATCGTAAAAGGATTACATTAAATAAAATGCTATCGAAAAACAAACCGCCAAAGCTTTCAGAGTTTGAACTCGACTCCATAAACGGGTCAATAAATATTGAGATTTTTTTTTTTTTTTCATGTTTGTGATGTAAATCATGCTAACGGAGATGGAACGATGGCCACTCAAATCCCCCACCCATTTAACACTGGTTGCTGGGGGCTGATTAGATATGATAATGTGCTGCTGACATCAGACGTAATGTTGGCGAGCGCGGAGCCACAGCCGGCAGTAAACCTGTAATTTATGGCCGTGGGAATGGCTCGGTGAGTGCTGGTGCTACACTTCTATCCATCAGCCACAGCAACCTTGACGCCCGTGTATGGCTCTGGCCTCCTGCCATTGGCTGATGCATCACCTGGATTGCGGTCTCCACGCAACAGGCTAAAATCAGCCACGCGGCGCGCCAGGCTCTCCACCTACTTTTTTTTTCTTTTTTTTAAAAGCCGGGTCAATGCAGTTGGCCTTCTGTTCGTACTGTATTACAGCAGAGAAGGAGAACAGTTTGTTAATGAGGAGCAGATCCGGGTTGCTTTTATTCCAACAGTTCTATGAATCCAAGCTGCTGGGAACGTACGGCGTGCTTAACAATACACGTCTTGGCCTTCACGGGTACATCGTCACGCCCGGCTTCACGTGCACGGCCGTGTCCAGTTTTCCACAAACTTAAAAGGATTCAAACACGCGAACATCCCATCCACTCCTGGAAACGGGGATTATTAAACGATATCATCTGTGCCGTGGTTGAGGTGATGATGAAGAGCACCGTTTAAGAATAGAAATGTCTGGAGAGGCCTTGCTTTATAACCTGCTAATGGTGCAGAGTGAGGAGGACATGTGCCATTAGGTGCACCATGTTACGACTTCTGGCAGATGGCTCTGGAAGAGTTCGGTAAAGGAAAGTTCATCAGCTATCCTCTATTTGTGCACTGCTGATAGCTGCAACTTCTGAATTAAACTAGTAGTGATTATTCTGTTGTCATGGGGATGCACGCGGGACGGTGTTTGTCAACAGTTGTGATCGGGGAACATGACAGCATCTGAATATATGGTTTCCAAACAAAGATGAAAGTGACCGCTGTTGTTTTTTAATCATCATCTGTTGACTGATTTTGTAATACTGGAGTTTGGTCACTCAAACTTTTGTAACTAATTGGTATGTCAAGCTTCCGCAAAACCGCTTGCTCAATTCTGGTCAACTTAATGTAATGCGTACGAGATGATATACCAACCTACAGAGTGGTTCAGTATTTTCATCAGTAGCTAACCTTAAATTGGTGAAGGATTGAAGGATGGACCAAAGAACTATGGCATGTTGGAATTGTACTCGCCCATATTTTAGTCCATCAGATTTAATGTCATCTGAGATTATAGCATTATTTCCCCGTTTTTTAGAAGAAGTTTAGTATTTAATGTGTAGTTGTCATAATAGAGAGGAAAAAAGTAATTGAGGTCATACTTAGCATTGTCATTGCTAGCATGCTAACATTTATTTCCAAAATATGCCTCACGAAGCAGCTAGCATGGAGTAACTTTAATAGGTATATGTGATATATTTCATAATGTAAACATTACAGTATTTAATTTCACTTCCACCGCTCCGGGAAATTCATCTTCTCATCTTTTAAAATGTTAATTGCTTAGTGGCACTATGTACTCAAGGAACCGCCACATTTTTAAGGTGTTCGATTAAAGAAAATCAACCACCTCGGTAAACTGCACACCCTTTTTTAAAAAGTCAGTATATGCGTGTTTCCTTGGTGTTGTTTACCAGAGATGGTTTGATTTATTGCAATTTTGGATCATCATCTCCAGGCCCAGAGAAAAGCCTGAGCCTCACCAATTAATCTCCACCCCGTGCCGTTTCCTGTCAGTGGTGAAGAAGCACGGGCGGAGGAGACACGTCGTCAATCAAGAGTGTCTTTCTCTGCCGCGGTTAGGAGAGAGGAGCCAAGGAGAGTGACGCCATCGGTGATGATGGTGCCGGTGATGCTGGGTGCGTTTCTGCTCATTCGAGCCTCCTGGAAGCCGGGAGCGGTGACATCAACCCGCTGTTGTGCCCTTTGTCTCCTCACAAATGCACTAACTATTTGTGGGAGGAAGTGAGGCGAGTTTAGTGGAAGGGAGCCGTCAACGAGCACTAGGGGACAGAGGCGAGGGGGGCAGCAGTACAATACTGGAACTCATGAATATCATTCTGGCCTGCGTCCATGCGCAAGGTGAAGGAGACCAGTCTCTTGCATTCCTGCCTATGATGGGCCCGTAAACAACAGACCTCAGACATGAGGTGTGTGGCTGACCACAGCAGACGGGCTGAGCCACCACGTCCACCATGAACAGATCACTTCAAAAACCCGCAAGGAATTTCTTTATTTTATTTTTTGCCGACTGCGACAGATTCCCCACCCGCGTTACCAATAGTTGAGATGATGAGCAGCTGTTTTGTGTTTAAATACAGACTGGTTTTTGGGTGTAGTTCACTCTCGAGGACAGTTTTCAGCAGAGCTAAATAAGTGTAATCCTAAACGTGGTTGTCCACAGATGTGGAAGTCTCAGTGATGCACCCCGTCGTTGGCCTCCTGGAGTTAAGATGACAGACGCAGGCAGTCGGTGTCGGCTCCTCGTCTGCCCTCTTTGGTTGTTGATGTGTCCGTCTCCACGGAGGGCCCGGGCCCCTGTTTGTGAGATGGCTGTCTATATGACAGGTCCCCAGCGCCCCAGCTGCTCTTTGGGAGAGACATAACAGAAGGGGTGAGCCTGGGGCACAGACTGTCACTCACTGTGTGTCTCACTATTGTCTTTGAGTGGCTGGCACAACAAAAAAACACAAGCAAATAAGGTGATGTTAACCTCGGTTGGATTTAAATGGAATAAAGCTTCAAATTATGTAGTGATTATTTAGAAATGACTTGTAAAAAACTTTTGATTGCAGTGTTCTTAATACCACAAATGTTACTGGACAACACATAACATGAAGAATACTGTGATGTGGTATTTATTAAAGTATCTCATTGTTTTTCTCACGTTCCTTTAACAACATGCATGTTGTACCCTACGATCAGGACAAATCCATTTCCAAAAGTAGAAAATGTCTGTATCACAGTATGCAACCCCCCTTTTCACTGTCTTTAACTGTGTAGTGTAGTTGGTTTGGTTTAGTTCTGTCACAACGCAACCTGTACATCAAAGTAAATGAATGCACCAGACTGAGAAATTGCCATTTTAAAGCAAACATGCCTTGCAGCAAGTATCTATTTCTTGATTTGCGGCAGTAGTATTTATGGCATCTGGAGACATGGGTGTGGTCAGGTAATGGGTGAGGGTGGTGTTAGTGGTGCCTGTCCCAACAAGGTGTGTTTTGGCATGCATACAAAAAACCGCCGCCTACAGGAATGGCCCCGCCTCATTCCCACCAGATCGACTTTCTTCAGTGCAGGAATGAGACACAGACAGCTCCTCCAGGCAGAGACATATAATCCCGGGCATGTCAGGGCCTTTATCAAACGGGATCAACCGCCGCGCTGGGCCTTTCTCCGCAGTCCCCACAGGCGGCAGGATACCTGCACGCGCATTCCTCTGACACATCCCCGTCCCGAGAGCCGTATCACCAGTCTTTCATTCAGCTCGGCTAGAAGATGAGGGAGGAAGGGGGGGGTTGGGGTACAGTTGCTCCTCTGCATTGTCCTGATTGAAAAGTAAGACAGCAGCACGGCCTGTGGTTTGAAGGATTTTACTCATCCCATGTCTCTTAAAATGTGAAAAATAAATCCCTGTCTCATAGAAAACTGATTTTGTGTTTGTACCTGTTTGGTCACTGCGGCCTGCTTTCAGATTGGCATGATAGATGATGACAGTACGACCCGAGGATTGGTTTAGGATAGCTTTTATAGGCCCCCGAGGATGCTGCAGCGCACCTGCGGGAGCCCCTCCTCGGCTCGGTTGTTGCAGTCCGTCACCGTAAGCGACCAGATAAGAGAGGGCATGAATCAAAGCCGCAGCCTCGTTGTGCACAGAACTCTAATCATATCACACAGCCCCGAGCCATGTGTCTTTGTACTCTCTTTAATTGAATCGCGCCCGGGATGAGATTGGCTGACATACCTTCCAGTGACTGGGCCGCACTTGAAGAGCGAGGAGAGGAGTAAAAGCAATTTGGGACAGTTGTTTTCTTGGCACAGTTTTGGGATATAATCCCGAAGGCACCCGAACAACCTGCAGTTTAATTTCACAGATTTCATTGCTGTTACTAGTCTCGCCTAAAGCACCAACCTTTATTGTCCAAAATGAAATAATTGTGAATTTTATTGGCCTGTTTGCAGCCCGACGATTGCTTTGGTAAAGACGGACCCATCAAACACGGCCGGTTGGCGCTCAGCAAGCCTTGTAGTGACAAACACCTTATTGAATTTCTTGGTCCCGTGTGAATGCAATATTTGCTCCTGACTCACAGAGGAAGACATCTGACGTCAGCTTGTCCTCGGACTTGGCCAACTGAATTACTGGCATCTACCGGCCTCACGAGGACACATGACGATTAAGTTAATGAGTTAACACTTCCGGGAATCGACTGTTTATTTGTGCCGTTGTCAGTCGTTTTGTGTAAAGATATGCAGACGAGCAGCCGGCATATCGCGTTGGTGCCGCACGGCATCAACAGAGTAGAAACACCACAACGTGTGGCTACATGTCCGCCTGGAGTCTCCACACCTTTGTGGCTCCTGTATGGAGCACATTGCCTGGAGCTGCTGGGATTTTCCCCGAGAAGCAACCGAGGTGAAACTCATTTAGTCTTTCTTCCTACTTACGTTTTTTTTCTGCTTCCTGTGGAGCCAGGAGGCAAAACCGTGAACGGCAAACTGAAAGGGAAACAGACAGAGAGCTCTTTTCAGAGTCTTTGGCCCATAATCAAAGCGGGATGTGGGTTCGAAGCTGAAGTGAACAACAAGTCAGTGTTAAATGTGGCTTTAAGTGAAAGTCGGTCCAAATGGAGCTGGTCCTCGGTGAAGCGTAGTTGGCGCATGAAGGGGGCAGAAGTTCTGATTTAGAATACATGTATGTGCCAGACACCAAATGAGGTGGTGGAGGTGGTCCGGCCCGGGAGAAAGAAAAGCGCTGTGATGTTTGATGACTAATTTTTGCCAAACTCTACATGGCCAAGTGTTCCTTTTAATGCTGAACCCTCAGAGTGAGCAGTTTGTTTAGCGGAACTTATTTCCATTAGTTTGAAAAGAAGACACGAAAACAAGTCGATCCGAAAGAGCTGCTAACGGCAAAGCTTCCAAAACAGCGTTTAGAGCTGAAACCTGTGATTTAGTTAAGTGTACTCGTACAGGGAGGATTGGGTGGCTTAATCTCAGCAGCATTTCAGATTCCTCTGCCTCACATGGGACGTGTCGCGGTTCACAGCTGCTGTTTCACGCCGCGTCCGGGGCCCTGCAATTATGTCGGTTCACACCGGAGGTTTGCATTGGGTGGAGTTCAGCTCAGGCATTAACTTCTCCTCATGCCATAATAACCAAGATGCATGCAAACGTACAAAAGAAAATAGAGCATAAGAATAGCTGCTGTAACTGATTCCCATGTGGAGGTGTAAAACGAGGCCGTCCTGTTTTAGAGGATGGACACATTTATGTTCAAAGACGCTAAATTATTTTTACGGATAACCATTAAACGCTCCCATTAAGTCAAATAAAATATCTAAGCCACTGATGACATTCTGAGCTTTTCATCCTTCAAGATAATGCTTTTTATTTAATTCCGTTGCTTACAGTTGTAAAGGCCATGACTGAAAGAAAGGAAGAAAGAAAGAAAACGGTCAAACTAAATCAATTACCTGACAGGTTGTATTTTGTCGTATGTTATCTGAAATCATTATAATCTGCTTTAGAATAAGTAAGAAACAACTGCAGCTTTGTATGTGATATTTAACACCACGTGATACATCCGTCCTGCCGGTGTGGGTTCGGACCAGTGTGCAGTGACCCGGCCGGACAGCGTGCTGCTGGGTCTCTTTGCTTGTGACAACGGGGTGGTTGTGAGGGACGGCCGGTGACGCCTGGCACTGAAACGCAGCTCTGCCAGCAGCCATTCAGCCCCTCTGCACGGTCACCCGCCCGGGAGCCACTTTATTGCGTGGCCAGCAGCGCCCCCTGGTGGCGCGAGTCAGAACCACAGGGTAAAGAATTTTGAGAGTCGTGAAATGGCATTCGAGCCATCAACACATTATACAGTTAGACATTATACACATCATATAGTTGTAGTTAGTTAATCAAAAACTAATTAAAGTAAAGCAAAAGCAAAAAATATGACTTTTATTTTCCTAAAACCATATTCAACCAGTACTGATTTTACGTGATGTACGTGTCACTGTGACTCATCCGGTAAAATGATGAGATGGGAGGCTCATGTTGCATACTGGGGGCAGAAGTTTGAAAGATGTGAGCGTACCAGGCAGCGAGTGCCATGACGCTGTTGAGTTGCATCATGGGAATATTAGGACACAGGGGAGTTTGATCCATACTACGAAAAAAAGCCTCAGCATCTGCTTCTTTAAGTGCTTATTTTTGTCCCCCAACCCATTAGAAGTGCTGAACTTTATCACTGGAACAACTCTTTAAGGCCCCCAGTTGGAAAAATACATACATCCCTATGAAATACAAACGTTATTTTTTCTTCAAGACAAGATGTACAAAGTCAACGGGTTCTGTTGTCCCTTTTGTAAAATAAGTCAAAATCAAAACAGGCCAGCCAGAAAAAGGAGGATTTGGTCCTCACAGGGTTAAATGTGTTTATGCTGCTGTCATCTGACGTAGTGGCTTTAAAACACAAATGGTACAATCCCCAATCTAGCAATTGTTCTGCAACAGCAATGGGGCGTTTTGTTGCATTGTTTGCTGCATCAAGTGTTTCTTGGTGGGCACCTTCCTGTTTTGAGAGCATCTCATCACTGGTTGCTATTTTAAAGCTGTCAGAATGCACCCAACCACCCACGCATGCAGCCACTGACACACAGTGTGTGCACGCACACTCACATAGGCATCCCCTGCATCCCTGATGCCTCTTTGTCTACTCTCACGACTGCAGCAGCTCGACACGACTTCACACCTGATAAGATATGGTATATTATTCCGACAGGAATGACCCAACCTCCTCACCCCTCTCTCCGTTCCACCCCTTTTCTCCCTCCCTGGTGCTGCTGTTCTATGTTTTTTTTTTCTGTGTGTGCAGGAGTAAATAATTCATTGTCAGCTGCGCGTCCTACAAGCCCTAGTGCGGAGAAAGCAGCCTAGCTCGTCATTCCTGCAGTATGAACTCTGGCAGCAGCTCCTGAGAGAGAAAGCTTACACAGATCCAAGGAAGCTGCAGAGTCCCCCCCGCCCCACCTCCTCCCACCTCACCCACTTTCCCTCCTCCCTCCCTTCCTCTCTTACCCATCCTCTCATTCTCATGCTCAACTCTGTGCTGAGCGGTATCGGAGCGGCGTTATCGGATCGCCTCTCAACAAGCCGCTGAGGAGAAACTTCAAGACGTTGATCCATACAGCTTCCCTTTCCTCCTGCCCGAAGATGCCCGAGCTCGGACAGAGATGGACGGGGCTGATATGCCTGTTGTTCTTGTGTCTGTTTCTCTGCCTGCCGGGGGAATCAAATGCCAGGAGAGCCCCAAAGATCCCCAAATGTCCTGCGACCTGCTCCTGCACCAAAGACAGTGCCTTCTGTGTGGACACCAAGGCCATCCCCAAGAGCTTCCCACCCGGAATCATTTCTCTGTGAGTCTGTAGCTTTCAATCTTCAATGTGGGCATTGTGTGGGCTGCTAGAGGTGGGTACCTGACTGGTGTCACCCTCCGTTACGTAATTATGTGGGAATCACTACTTGCCTTTTAATTAACTAAAAGTGAATACAGCTACATGTAGCTACTGTAGCTGGGCTCTTTGCATTACAAAATATATTCATACCTAACTGTATCACCATGAAATAATGATAAGGATAATGTCCCTTTACTGTTCCTTATTCCTGCACATCGCTATGGGAGCACAGCTGTAGAATGCTGTCATGCTCCAGAGAGTAACTAACAATAGATTCCCTATTTCTCTGCAGGAGACCTGCTTCTCCTCCGACAGATCTAACCTTAGAGAGAGTTCAGAAATACATTCAATAAATGGAGCGCATGTTATGAAATGGAAATGCTCTCCTTCTCATATTTTCCTAGAAGGTTACAGAGTCCTTTTCCATGTGACAGGCTGGTGTCCTCCTTTTGCAATAACGAAGATGTGAAGATTGCGAAGATTTATTTATTGGTATATACACATACTTAAACTGAAAGGAAAGACATAAATAAAAAATAGATACACAGTCTATGTAGGACAACATTGTCCTCCATGAAACACATGACTCCTCCTACGCGTCTGGTGGTGGTGGTGATGATGATGATGATGTTTGTCTGAACAGGACGATGGTCAACGCGGCCTTCACTACAATCCCGGAGGGAGCTTTCTCGCACCTTCATCTACTGCAGTTCCTGTGAGTGTCCCGACCCACAACAGAGCACTTTCCCCACCGTTAAACGCCATAGGCCCATTACTCACATCCACCAGTGAGCTTCACGCTGGAAAATGAAATCACAACACTTAATGTCACGCGTGCTTTAACACAGCCGGCACTGTGGTGCTCGCAGACAGCTTTTGTTTTGCAGTGACAATGGCAGTGACTTCAGCTACGAGAATCGAATGCTTATCGAATACAGTGTTGACAAAGCAGTAACACGAGTAAAGTGGCTCTGTATCAGTGGCATTGCCAACCACTGACTCCCTTCAGTTCTGCTCTGCCCGGACAAAGGGTCGTTTATCCACTCAGATGCAATCATGAGTGTGTGGTCGCGTCCGTGCACGTTTGTGTGATCTCAAAGTATTTATGTGTTAACACTAAATTAGCTTTATATAGTGTGAATGTTCAATGTGGCAGATACTATAACTGTTGTTATGAATGCATTCATACTGGGCCTCTGAATTGACCCAAAGACAAATATAAATGACGATTTTCAGATATGAATGTGTCAAGTTTATTTGTCTCACTTCAGTTGAACATGTACCATCTATCTACATGACTTGATTGTAATTGTTTCCTCTCTGCAGGCTCTTGAACTCCAACACATTCACCATGATTGCTGATGATGCCTTTGCTGGCCTTTCTCACCTGCAGTACCTGTAAGTGTCTCACATATTTCAATTTGCTGTGATTTGGTCCATCAGATTCTTTTTAAGTATTGATACAAATAGTTTTGTAGCACCAAAAATGTTTTACGTTTTACTAGTTTTACACTATGCTAACTGTTTGGCAAAGTGAGTGAACATTTTCAGTTTTGCACTCCTCCCTTTCTGTTCTAGATTGTTTACTTAGTGAATGTTTCATTGCAATCGGTCTAGCTAGCCATATCATTCCGGAAAGCAGACAGATTTAACCTCAACGCAGCACATTAAGATTTCAGGATCGGACTGCAGTATTGCAAAGGATGCCAAAAGTAAAATTGATAAAGCTGAACACGCCACTCTGTGAATTGATGGGCTTCAGTTAGCTGATGGCTTGCAGCATGCGGCTCTCAGTGACGCTTGCCGTGTGGCTTTGGATGCAGCCCAGCCATCAGGTCTTTCTGCATCACTGCCAATGCCAGCACCACCCGCTATGAATACTAATAAAGTCACGCTTCAAATCCAGCCACCTCTGCACGCGCTGTATGTCCGCGTCCAGCAACAGACAAAGCGTAGACAGGACGGGATCAAATGGTGCTGACACGCAGACCTTTTTTGCCTACATTTATTTTTATCACAGTAATTGAAGGCATAATGATCTTTTGCCATCAAACAACAGTTATTCTTTTAAGGTTTTTAATGCAATGTATACGCCAATTGTATTAGTCGGAAGTATTAAATCGAAAATAAAAAATGTGTACATCCGTATTTTCCCGGATGACAGAGAACAATCATTTCAATGACATCATTGCAGCTAACGGTCAAATTCCTTTTGTACTCTGCAATGACAACACGACCCTGTTTCCTAACAAGCATGACGTCATATAACACAGGCTGAATCTGTGCTCCCTGTGTGACCTGTGAGGGGTTTGTTCTCTCCTCAGGTTCATTGAGAATAACGACATCCAGGCCCTGTCAAAGTACACCCTCAGAGGACTCAAGTCCCTGACTCATCTGTGAGTATTACGTTGAGCTGTTAGGATACAAAACCCTGTTACCGAATGTCGGTTTGCACAATGGACTATCGGACGTGGCTAAAATATACCCTATAAAGAAACTTCAAAAGGTAGACAGTTTATTTAGCATTTACATACAACAGGCTGTGTTTTTCTCTTTTTTTCCTCAGATCTCTCTCAAACAACAACCTGCAGCAGCTGCCAAGAGATCTCTTCAAGCATCTCGACATTCTCACCGATTTGTAAGCGTGCCTTCGCCGAAATAGAGACAGTGTCTTCGTAGCACTGTGTGCATCGAGATAGACACACTTTCAGCCCTGAACCGTCTCTGTTACCTGCCCGTTACTCAGAGACCTGCGGGGGAACAATTTCCGCTGCGACTGTAAAATCAAATGGCTTGTCGACTGGATGGAGAAGACCAACACTTCTGTTCCTGCTATCTACTGTGCCAGTCCTTTTGAATTCCAGGGACGGCGAATCCACGACCTCACGCCGCGGGACTTCAACTGCATCAGCGCAGGTTTGCGCCGTCGCTCTGCCGAGCCTTTAGGTGACGTCATGGCATGACTCCTTGTCTCTCAGAAGTATTGTAATTCCGTTTTGTCTTCCCATAGATTTTGCGGTTTACGAAACCTTCCCCTTCCACTCTGTGTCTGTGGAGGCGTATGAGTTCAATGAGGATCAGTTTGTGGCCTTTGCTCAGCCAGATTCAGGGTTCTGCACCTTGTATGTATGGGATCATGTGGAGATGATCTTCAGGATGTTTCATAACATTACTTGTAAGTTGAAAACGCAAATATTTCACCTTAAAAAAAAAAAAAAAAATCCTGATGGCTTTTCTATTTTTTTTTGTGTACGTCTCATGCAGCTCGCTCCGCTGTGTACTGCAAACCAGTGGTGATAGACAACAGTCTCTACATGGTTGTTGCTCAACTCTTTGGCGGCTCTCACATCTACAAGTAAGGCGTGCGATCTAATCTTCCAGGTCGACTGTTGAATTTCTCCAGCATATTAAAAAGAAACCAACCTTAAAGGGAAAAGTTGCCACCTTTTACGCAGATATAGTCCAATGTAGTCAGTAGAGGCGTGAGTGGTGCCAATGTGCTCACCTGACTCTTAACAAGAAAGCAAATAAGCGTGTTTCCCAAAATATGACCTCATCTGTGAAAGCAGTAGGAATACGATGACGACCCTTTCGCTGTCGCAGGTGGGAGGAGGACCCGCAGCGCTTTGTGAAGATCCAAGACATTGACACCACTCGCGTGAGGAAGCCCAACTTCGTGGAGACCTTCCAGCTGGATGAAGAGTGGTACTTTGTCGTAGCGGACAGCTCCAAGGCAGGTTCCACCAGCATTTATCGCTGGAACAGCAACGGTTTCTATACCCACCAATCCCTTCATCCGTGGCACCGCGACACGCACGTGGAGTTCCTCGACGTTGGGGGAAAGCCTCACCTCATCCTCTCCAGCGCTTCTCAGGCGCCGGTGGTTTACCAGTGGAACCGAGGACAGAAGCAGTTCGCTTTCTTCTCCCAGATCACAGAGCTCGCAGATGTGCAGATGGTTAAGCACTTTTGGGTGAGGAAAGTTCTTTACCTCTGCCTCACGCGCTTCATAGGTGACTCGAAGGTCCTCCGCTGGGAAGGGCAGCGCTTCATAGAGATCCAGACTCTTCCCTCTCGGGGCTCAATGGCAGTGTATCCTTTCACGGTGGGCCTCCGCCAGTACCTGATTCTCGGAAGCGATTTCTCCTTCTCCAGGGTCTACCTGTGGGACGACCTCACTCAGCGCTTTCAGCCCTTCCAGGAGCTCAACATGAGGGCCCCGCGAGCGTTCAGCTTGGTGTCCGTAGACAACAAGGACATAATGCTGGCTGCTAGCTTCAAAGGAAACACGCTGGCCTACCAGCACCTGCTGCTGGATCTAAGTGCCATATAGAGATGCTCCAGCCAGAGCAAAGGGAGGTAAATCTAAGCATTTAACAACTACGTGCCAAATAAAGGAAAGACTGCAAAATGTTAAAGCCATGTAACTTAAGTTCTGATGTGTCACTTGATGTTTTAGTGCGAGTCAACTGATTAGGTGATTAATCTATTTTGATGCGCCATCCCTTAACATCTGAATGAAATAATGTGATAACATGCAATATCAGTAACATGCCAACATAAGGATTGTGTCACTGCCGCATATTTGCTCGTGTTCTGCGAAACATTAATCAAGGCAAATTATTTTTCAAAGAATATTATATTGTATGCTGCATTTTACTAATGTGTGAAAATGATATGCATGTACATCAAGAGATTCATTCACAAGACGACACTGAATATTGTAAATTACCGTAAAACAATGATGGTTTTGTAATTTACACAGTGTAGTGCATCTGTGTAGCATTTTGCATGACACGGTACAATATATATGATAGAAGTATGTGAAACAAGCAATACCATTGCAACATTTTAAATCCTTGATTATATCAACATTTATATACCAGCTATTGATTTTTTGGGGATTTAATGTTTGTCTGCAATAAAACATATGATCAGAGGCATGAGCAAACTAATCATGGGACTCCTGCTACTGCTCTTTAGAATGTATTCTTTAACAAGCTTTTATCCAAAATGACCACTTAACAATGGTGCGATTATTGGGCATGTGGTAAATGAGAGAACATTTTGGGACACTATTGCAAATTTGACGATTATAAAAAATAAACAATTTGAGAAATGTTTGAGAATGTATATTAAAGTTGTAAAAAAGTTCTAATAACGTCCCCTTTTCTTAATAGACTACTTGATGGTTGCAATGTGCATGGAAAGGGTTCAGTTTAAATTCAGTTTAAAGACCATAAAAGATACTGTTGCCGTTTTATGTGTTTATGTGTTTAGAGTTTGCTTCCCTTATTCCGTGATAACACAACTTTAGCGGCCACCAGTAGTTTCTCTTGTATTGCAGTACAAGTTAGCTTAAATAATTGGTACCATATAAAACTGTGTAAGCTGTTAATTATCTGGATAATTTTGCCGAGAGTCGAGGGTTGAGCTGGGAGGAAGATCTCATCCGCTTCAGCGATGCGCCTGAAGTGCCCAAAATGTGATGATCTTGAGCAGAATTATGGGTGCGCTTGTTTTGTTGCTTGGGGCGTCTGCGTGGGTGGAGTAATAGCATTTCTTATTGGCACCGCTTTGACGCGCACCTCTGACTTATAAAACTCGCAACCGAATATTGTTGACATATGAACTTTAGCACCTTAGCTCGTCCTAGCTAAATATAAACGCATCATGCTGGCGTAAGGGTTCGCTTCGATGGCTGGTAGCTACACGTGAGCTAATGTCAACATTTCCCTCTAACAGTGGACATTGGAACTCAGACCACATTGAAGCTTTTTATTAATTATTCTGCTACGAAACCGGGCAGGTAGCGGATGTTATTGAGCTAACGCAGCGTTGTCTCGGCTTGCTAAACGTCAGCTAACACGTTAGCGTCGAAAGTAAACGTTGAGCTAAAGTCTCGGTGCCGCTAATGTCTGACGCTACGGGCGTTTCCCTGCCGGCCGAATGGGACGACGACGAGCGGATGAATTTTATGTTCTCGGACTTCAACGAGAACCGCGACGTCAACACGACGGACTGGGACAGCAAGATGGACTTCTGGACGGCTCTGATCGTTAAGGGCTGCAGGGACCGAGGCTCGGTGTGTGTCAGTCTGCAGGAGCTGAACAAGACCTTCAGGAGGAAAGAGCGATCCCCGCTGGGCTTAGCGACCGTCATCCGGTCCATGGCCAGGTAACCGTCCCCGTGTCAGCCACGGCTCCGTGGCTCAATCCGCTCTCATCGCCTCTGTTCTCACCTCTGCCAGATGTGGAAAGATCCAGAGGGAGTCCGATTTTGCCGCCAACGTGGACTGTGGCTGGCTGTACTGGGGTGTTGGACTGCTGCTGGTGAAACCTCTGAAATGGACCTTCTCCACTCTGCTGGGAAGCCAGCGGGTGCCTGTGGATGCGTCCTTCGTTGTCATTGAGCTAGTGAAGGTTTGTTTAACTCTGTGTTTCCTGTTAAGACCCATTCTGCGATATTAGCATCACCTGAGGCATCATTCTTCAAATGTTGTGCCTTATTTACCTTTAATTCCTCCCCTCAGCATTTTGATGCAATGCATTGATTATCTTATTTGAAGGTGTCATCTTGCAACCCCACTGAACACTTTACTAATCTTCATGTTGGACATTAAATGTTATTGTGGCGGCTGCTAGTTATTTATTTATTTTCCAGGAGAAAGCGTCAGAGCTACTCAAGGTGTACAGGAGCAGTGGACTTGCGGGCCGCTCCGTTCTGTCGTTTCAGGAGCTTTGCACGCTGTCCTCTGACGTGTGTGCCGACGAGAGCACCCTGTGCATGGTCCTCCTGCAACTGCAGAGGGACAAGCAGGTGACGGTTTCGTTGCACGATGGTGAGAAGGTAAACAAAGTCTCATTCATAAAGACTCTCGCTGTTCGACTGGCCAGTTATCGTTCACTACAAAGCCTGATAACAGATATATTCTGGTTGCTGGTTTATTGTTAGAATTTGCAACAGTCTCTGTGTGTCGCCTTTTCAGATTGTCAAGTTTTGTCAAGCTGGTCAAAATAATGTTTCTCCACTCAGCGATGTGGACATGGGCATCTACCAGCTGCAGCGCAGTGAAAAGCTGCTGGGAGAGCGGGTGGAGAAGCTGGGCGTTGAGGCTGACAAGTACATCTACTCAAATATGAGCTTAAAGTAGAAACAGAACCAGTGTTGATCGTAATTGCTCGATGTCAAAAAAGATGGTAGTTTTATTTTAGAAAACATTTGTAATGTAGTCATGAAGTTTGTTAAATAACCAGCATTAAATGTGCGACTTGATACTTAGCTGTCTTTTTTTTCAGGGATTGGTCTAAGTAGTCAGAAATATTGCTTTACATTTGCTCTGAAAGTCATGCATTCTTACGGTTATTGCTAAAGCTTTGCATCATCTAAGTGCAGGTGCAAAGAGGAAGCGAGGACACATCTCCGGGAAGGAAAGAAATCACAGGTACATAATAACGTTTCACTGGAACAAAAATGCACCGTAGCACTGGTTTCAATGGTAATATTCACTGTGTATCCCACAGGCGCTGAGGAGTTTAAAGGGCTGCAAAAGGGTGGAAAAGAGAGCAGACGGCTTGTTTGCCAAACTGGAGTCAATCCGGGGAATCCTGGACAGAATAGCCCAGTCGCAGACCGATAAGATGGTAAGGCCAGAGTGAGATCGGCTGCCTTTCTGTGCAGGTATCTATAACCAAGTGTGTTTTAAGTATTGTAAGTGTGTACTTGTCATGTCTGTAGGTTATGCAAGCGTATCAGGCCGGAGTGTCGGCTCTGAGACTTTCTCTCAAGGATGTGACTGTGGAACGTGCTGAGAGTCTTGTGGATCAAATACAGGAGGTACAGAAGATGATCAAACATAGCTAATTGTATGCATCATTTTAATTAAATCTTGCAGTTTAACATCTTAATGTATCTTTCCTATGATGGAACCAGTTATGTGACACTCAAGATGAGGTGAACCAAACTCTATCCAGTGGCGTGACCGGCGCAGGTATGGCATACTGTTAGATCTTAAGTACATGGTTTATATGTGAATACCAAAGAAAGTCTCAGCTTGTCACATGTGTTTTGTAGATGAAGACATGGATGAGTTGGAGGAGGAACTGAAGTCTTTGCTGGACGAGTCAAAACCGGATTCCGTCTCAAGTTATCCCCAAGTTCCGACAGGTGGCCTGCGAATCCCCGGGGAGCCGAGCCCCGCAGGTACTGACGTGCTCAGTTATCTGCCTGCGGTACCTTGCAGACCCCTGGATATTACCGCCGAGCAGCTGGAGGAAGAGTTAAATCAGTTAACCCTTACAGATTTAGGTTGGCACTTTTTTTTTTTTGATTTTCTTCACTTTTACTCTAATGGACTGTGATATATGTGGTTTGGTAACAAATGGTCAACTTTCTGTCCAGGCTTTCAGCAGAAGAAAATGACATCGCCAGCCAAGAGATGTGAGCCTGCACAGTGACGGCACAGGCAAACTGGGGAAAGTTCAAAGCCCTGCATCACCATATCTAACTGTATCTCTTGAGACAGAAAGTACTACGTTAAAACTCAAAATATATCTTTTTTTCTTTCCTAAACTAAAATGCTTTTCAACTTGAAAGTATTTATTTCTGCCATCAAGATCTCAAAGATCTCAAGTCAAAAGTTAATGCCGGCAAAGTTAATGCTCTTCTTTTTGGTGTATTATTGACAAGTATGAGAGTGAGTATATTTGTTGTGTGTGTTTATTGATGTCTTTAAATATCCTTTAATGCACTGTACAGGACTGTCAATAAGTGGCCTTTTGAAATGTACATTTTGAACGTAAAGATCAATCAATTAATCAATAAAGTATATTTAGTCTCACTGCAGCATATGAAGTGAAGTGAAGTGAGTTTAAGCAAAATACGTTTCCCATATAAAGTGTATTTTAATCACTGGTCTTGTTTGTATTTACTTCAGTCACAAAGTTTGAGGCGGACCTAAAATGAAAGCTTTATTCCAGGAGTCACGCAATATGTATATATTAATAACAGTGTAATGTGACTTCTTTCAAAGAAATTGCATTTTTGAGACAAACCATATTGTAAGCCTTTTTTAACTACAGTTTTCACCAATAACATAATATTCATATCATGCTAATTCATTAAAAAGCAATAAACTAGTACGTGGGAGCTTCTGATTAACCTGCATAATTACCCTCGCATGTCTGCTGTCAATATTAACTCATCCTTTTGGAAATTGTGTACTTTAGATTCTGGTAGGAGTATCTCAGGAACTCAAGCACTTTTGGGGGGCTTCTCTAGCCTAAAATCAGTTGTGCTCAAAACCATTCTTGAGTCTGTTTTGATCATTAAACTAGACAAATCAAATTTTACGTTTTGTTTTTCCTGGTGTACAGAAACTTGTCAAACCTCTGGATAATCTCATTGGCCGTAACAAACACACACCTTTTTATAATTAGTCACTATTCATTCATTCATTTGGTCATGGGGATATACTTGACAAGATGACCATTTCCTTACTCAAAATAACTAAAAAGCTGTGCCAATGCATGTTTTACAATGCAAGGATGTACAGTAACTTGGCCACTAGGAGACACTGTCACTCACACTGATGTGTTTTAATGGCTCAGACAATGAACTGCTTGAGTCCTCAATTGCTGTGCATGGTTTTTCTTCCTTTTTCCCCTAACATTCTTTAGTGTTAGTTTTCCACAAGAGGGGCAGGATGTAAACTCTCTTCAAGCAAATTAGTTAATTGTGATATTGGGCTACTGATATTGAAATGGAAAATTTCACAGACTATTGAACGGTTAATTACCTGTGAACAATTTGCTGGAGAAATAAAATGGAAAAATGGCTTTCATTTCTCCAGTGGACTATTTGAATTGAAGTGGTTATCAAGGCTTGTAATGGACCAAACACTTCTCTAAACACGTAAAACAGTATTATCCATGTATTTCTTATCCATCTGTACAAACAGAAACAAGTAACCAAAGCAAAAAAAAGCATTGCTTTATTGTATAGATTCATTTGTATACTTCAAGAACAAGTGATATTTGTGTGAAAAGCAGGTTATTAAGTGATTATAATTACTGTCATGTTGGTGGTGCAGTGACTACGGTCAATATCTGAGGTGTTTTTGTGTTCTCTATTGAACAATACATAAAAAAAAGAATTCATTAAAATGTATCGCCTTTACAAAGTACAGTTAACAATATCACAAAAAAATGCCTTGGTATCACAAATAACGTCAGTGGATATTGTTTAAGCCAAAACGTCTATCAATGGCCTTCAGTGTCTCCCTCTGAAAAACACTCTCTCGCTCATACACACCCAAATACACGTTCACCTTTCATCCTTTACATTTACACATGAAATCAAAATGACAGCTTTATCACCCTTCACCGGCAAATCTCAATTGCACATTATGCAGCTCGTACATACAGTAATGTTATTATACTGCTATCACAGATAAAAGACATTCGGGGAGTATTAGTTTAAGTATTTCAGTTCTATCCTATGCAGCAGTTTATTGGTACGTCCAGACTGTAGTTGAGACGAGGGAGCAGATAGAGATATGTAAAGGTAACTATGAGCCACGAATACACAACACAGCTTGTGTATGGTTGATCCGGTCGAGGAGGCACTGATGCAGATATTTGGCTGAGAATTCGTTGTATGCATCACATTACACAGAATGAAGAGAGAGTCTAAGCAAAAGTCAAGCTGTGTATCATACTAGAGCTCATTGGTTGCAAATAAGAAACATTTGGCATGCTTTATAGTACTCATTTTCTAATGCATATTAAGAAAGTCTTTATCGAATACCATGAACAAAATTAAAATTTCTTTACATTTTTCATACTGCAGTGTTGCGCAAAAAGCAGGCTACACAGTGGTTTCAGGCTCCCTCCCGCTCATTCAGTGTGTTAAGACTAGATGTGTGTGTGTGTGTATGTGTGTGCGCGCACGTTAGCATTGCAGTGTTAAACTGTTCTGTCGGTTCCCGAGCGCTTCCGCACAACTTTGCCCTCGTTGACCTGGTCGACAGCCAGCGTCTCCAGCTCCGCCTGCGGCGGGGCCAGGGGGGCGGTGCCGTGTGGAATGCGGTGAGCCACGCCTACGTGAGCCCTGTGCTGGCGGTCCCGAGCGGGGCTGTGCCGGGGGCTGTGCCGGGGGCTGGCCGTCGCACCCAGGGCAGCGACAGAGGAGCGCTCGGAGGCGATGGGAGGGATGACGGCGGGCCGTTCTCGCACCACCTGCGGTTCGGGAGACTCTCTCCCGGCCTGCAGGAAGGGCGTCGGGTCGGGCATGGCGTCCACCGTCTCCCGCAGAACCAATCGCCTACCGTCGGGGCCGAGCCGATACACCTCAGTCAACTCCGGGTGAAGTGGCTGGGAAAGGCTCTTCTTCATGCGTCGCCGCGGGGTTTCAGGCTGCCGGTCCTTGGCGGGTGGAGGCGTGGGTTTGTATGAGGTGACTGGACTGACGTTGGGGCTGGCCTCGGACGAACTGCCGGCCAGCAGCTTCTTCTTGGTGGCGTGAAGCTGTGCGGTTAGGTAAGCGATGGTGCTCGCTCTCTGCTCCAACTCCCCGGACAAAACAGCCAGCTTGTGGCTCTTCATCTTTAGCTCCTCCAGGTACTTCTTCTCTCGCTCCTTGATGGTGTTCTCGAGGACGGAGATCATGGCGTTCTTCTGCTCGAGGTCCCTGAGCAGCTCTGTGTTCTCCTCCTCCTTCTTCTTGAGCTGGGTCTCGAGCTCCTCACACCTCCTTTGCAGCTCCCTGCAGCGGACTTCGCTGCTGCCTGAACACACACAACGAAACAATGTTAAAGCAGAGCTGATAGCTATGCACAGTTGCAAACATGTACACTAAAACAAAAGTAGAAAAACGTGAATATAGAAAGCGAGACCAGACATAATCTCATCAATGATTAGTACATCAAGAGCAGACACTGACTATGGACTGTCTGCCAGCTGACAGAGGCAGTATGATCCTATGGAGACTAATCTGCAGTGGGCCGAGCGCTCAGTCTCACATTACACGTGTGGTGTACGGCAAGGGCAGTACTCTTCTCTGACCTCCATCACTGTGCCACCACACAGCCGCGGCCCACCCAGTCACAGCCTGTACAGCCATGTTTATACATAGCATAACAGACTACTGCTGCATTATGTATACACTATGTATGTTTACAGTGCATCAAAATGTGCTGGGATTCAATTTACAGTTTACATTTCTTTCTTCTTTCTTTTCAACATCCATTCTCCTATCAAATAGACTGATAGATGAAGGTCGGGGATGGGGGAGGAGGGTACATTTTCAACCCAGTTGAAACAGCTGAGGCCTGCTGCACTAAGCAGGTTGCCGGCTGTGCATTAGCACAGTGACAGATAATCTCATTTCCTGCACTCCAATCGCCGAGATGTCCCACGCAAACATGATAGCGGCTCTAACTGGAGGCCCTGGCGATATTGCTCAGATCCAGGCAAGCATTGTGAAAAGCAAGCAACAAATAGTGATCCTGGCGAGAATGCTTCCTGTTCAGTAGCATCATAATATGTGAAACTGTATGCAGCCTGCTGGAGGCCTCGCTGACTGCTCAGCTGTCAGTATGAAGACAGAGGAGCTGAGGGTGAATCCATGTCATGGTCATGGTAACGTTGGGGGGGGGTCGTTGGGCAGTGGAGGCTGGAATGAACAGCAGGGAATACCACATTGCAAAGCTTTCTGGGTGGAACTTTGTTACCGGGAAACAGGCAGAGCTCCCTGAACACTGACCTGTGCACTGACAGAGATCTCAATTTCAGCATAAAACACAGATGTATAGCCTCATTGTTGGGCAGTTTTACAATTTAAAATCAGTTATTTATAATACAAAACTGAAGCAGCTAGATTTTGAGGAATTAAATCAACTTGTTAGTCATCAATCTAGTCGATTACAGTGCAACAACCAATGGTTAAACAGTAAAACAGACGTGTGTGTGCGCTGTACAGTGCGACAGAGGCTTACCTGAGGGATCAGAGCTTCTCACTGTGAGCTCATATGTCAGATCTGCAAAGGAAAAGAGAGGCTCAGGTTGTAAAAGGACAGCGCTCAGTCGACATCCTTCCTACACACAGTAGTTAGCATGTTTAGGGAAGATGTGTCAGCGGTTTCCATATGCCAAAGCATTCCTTTAACCAGATTAGTGAGATTTAGTGACAAGGATACGGCAAACAGGGCCAAAGCATATTGTGTCTGTATCTTTCTATCCTCCCTTTGTGGAAGAGTATATCTATTACTGGAAAAATTGTTAATACAGGTTGCGCATTGCTACAGTGCAACATGTACTCACTGATACTTGAGTGCATTTCCGATAAGTTAACATATTATCTCTAAAAGGTGTATTAGCGGCCTCACGGCACATTATTGACCCGTAGTCTTAAACATCCATCCAGGACTTACATCTGATCTGCCTCAGCGTTGAATTCATGGATAACTTGTGATTTAATTTGCTATTTTTTAAGTGTTCTATACGACCTCATGAGATCCCCTATCAAAGACGTTCTTGAATGCGGCGGCTACCCGTGGCTCGTGCTCACCTGTGCATTGCTGTTGCAATCTGCGAATTTCCGCGTGTAGCCCCTTCAATGTGTTGGTGTGATCCTGCTGGAGGAACAGCAGGTTTTTCTGTGCACTGTGCAGCTGATTTTCCAGTGTAACGTTTGCTGATGCCATGGCTGATAATGTTCGGACACACGCCTGGATTGCAACCTCTGGACACAGGGGACAAAAACAAGGAGAGAAAAAGAAGATAAAGTCAATCCATTCTGGCAAACATGCCATTGACTCTCATCGCTTCGCCTTCAAACATTTGGGTTTATGGATGTACTCCAACTTTGATACTCTGCCTAGATCTGCTTTCGATGAACACTTTAATACTTTAAGTATTAGAATTGGGGATACACATTTATTAATTTGCAAAACAGGTGTATACGCCGGCAAAAATAATTAATAGTTGATAAAGAATTATCAGAGCTGGGTCAATGCTATGTTCAGACTGTAGCAGAGAATGATAAGGTTATTGGATCCATAAATAGGCACACTCCACTTTTTCTTGCTGTAATTATCAATTACTGACATGAAAGTATTGACATTGAAAGTGAGCAGTGTAATATCATATATCTGAATGGTAACATTAATCTAAAATATGATAATCTAATCTATACTTTAAATTGTAATTCAGTGGAAATACTCTTTATCAGCACAACACACGACTGAGAACATTAACGTTCATTTTAAAACCGGAATTAAAGTGGCAAAACAGAAATGTCTAATATCTTCTCCTCACTTTGGGTGTAAATGAATGCAATAGATAGCAGGTATCCATACATGGTAAATAACAACAAAGAATAAAAGCAAAACCCAAAGTGGAACACAATGACACTGGGTGTGGCATGAAGGCCAACCTTCCATGTCCTCTCTTCGCTGGATGTCCTTGTCTCCGGATGCCAAGCAGAGTGTAAGAAACAATCACTCAGTCCCAACATCTACATCATCTGCCAGAAAGCTGCACTGGGCGGAGAGTTGAGAGCACATTGATCCCTCCAACAACCCTTTTGGGCCAGGAGAAAGCCTTTCTCCCCCTCTCCCTGCATATCTAAGTGTGCTTCAATAAAACATCCTAAAGCTTCTCTTACATCATCAGCTCTCTGACATGAATAATACATCCCATGACACCACGCTGGACACACTTCCCAGTTTCAAATTGTCATTTGTACGGCTTTGTTGCATGGCTGACAGAGGAAATGAAAGCATGGGATAATCAGCAGAACACAAACTGTTAATCACAAATAGAACCAATGATGCACTATAAAAGCTGAGGAGATAATCCGTTATTGATGAGTAATGTGGCGTTCTGATAAACCCGGCATTGCAAGCGTTTCTCTCATCCCGAGTCTTTCCTAGAATAGCTTGAATAGCTTTCGATTTGCAAAGACATGACCTCACCTAAAAACACAGCTGACGCCATGACACGGAGGGGGCACTGGTAGAAAGGCGTCTACGAGTAAAGAACTTAAGTGAATTAGAGAGACAATGACGTTGATTTTCCTTTGTTAAGGAACAACGTATGTGGTAAATCCGTAACAGAGATAAATGTCAAACCAGTGTGACCTGTCCATCCCCTTCCCATGTCTTTCTTTTCCTGGTACACAAACCACTTATTTCCTTATACAGAGAACATAAATAATCAATGAACTGCAGCAGCATGAAACATTAGCTAGTAGCTACACTCTTTAGAATGAACAAGAGCTTAGCAGTCACTAGTCGTCCTGTCATGAAGCTATTGCTTTTCTCAACACTTTCTTCCTCTAATGTTCTTGCTTATACTAAAATGCGCTTCCGAATGTCAAACTACTCCTAGAACACGTTTATGTTCAAGGAAACTTTAACATCCAAACGTACGGAACATCAATAACGCCACAAGAAGTGATGAGCAAAAACAACTAACGGTTAACCAGCATCACCATCTAAAGCAACGCCTGCAGGACACGTGTGACGTCTTATCCGACAGGGACACTTTCAATTTCAGCACCTGCATTGCGGACAGCACCCCGAACCCACAGTCCACAGCGGAGCGGTGCTCGTGTAACCGCGGGAGCTGCCGGAGGATCATTTCTACACACACGCACACACACACACACACGCACACACGCGCACACACGCTACGATCGTTCAGGTCATAGCTTTTAGGGTTATTAGACAAAAGCTGGGAGTGGCGAATGGTGCCAGTAAACGAAGTATTTCACGTCCCTTGTTGCTTCATGCAGTGAGGTAGGATATGCCATCACGGAGACTGTCCTTGCAGCAGATGTTGTGTACTGCAGCTGTCCAGGGAGGAGCTGTCCAGGTTCCAAAACCGAAGACGAGCTAGTCTCAATATATGTCCTTCTCTGTCGTACGTGCCATACTACCTTTACGATCGGCCACCCAAATGGCACCTTGCCTTACACAGCAGGAAATGACACAATCGAATAATACACACAATGATGATGACACTGTGGTGGAGTTCTTGGAAATTCGGCACACGTTGAATCTACCAAGCAGGATTCATCTCAATAAAATATTGGTTTCCACCATATTCTTGATGAAGCGTAGACTTCAACCCCCTTTATAAGGGCTACAGTATGATGTCAACCAACTTTGATGCATGGCAGTTTGAAAATTGCCTTCCACATGCAACGGGCTGCGTGATATAAAATATAGAAAATCTAAAGCCTCTTTTTTAAACAATTAAACAATTTCCCCGTTGAGGGGAAGTAACGTTACGCGAGGCTTTAAATGTGCTAGCCTATTAGCTGACAAAGCTACCGGGGCTACAGCAACACAATATACACTAGAGAGCTTACCTTATGGCTAAAAATACGCGGGCGTCGAAATATCGCGTAAAAGGTTGTATATTGTCGGAGAACAGACGAGCCTTCCGCGGCTAAGCGCGTCCTGCCCTGTGCGGCATGTCGGGGATGCTTTCTGCGGCTCGCCTTGGTGAGAGGGGAGGGCGGCCGCGTCAGTCCGCTATCATCTCCCCGAGCGACTAGACAAAATAAAGCGATGCATCATGGGAAACCAGGGCCCAAAGGCCTTTAATCGCGCACAAGTTCTAAGCACGTCAACTCAACATTAAGCAATTTGGAATAAGAAACGTCAGTTCAAAGTGTTCGACACAATTAAGCCTCGATGCAGATGTTACTGACCTTATGCGACATGAAACGGTGAAGTCAGCGGCGGTCGGCGACGTGCTGGTTTTTAGTTGCCGGCGTCATCGCCATGGCAACAGAATATGTCACCTGTTACTAGTGATGCATCAACGCCATCTAGTGACCGAGCAGGCAAAGGGCGTTACTGCCGTCAGTCAGCTGTGTGATGATGTGTCACATGTAATGTCCACCATGTGCCAAACTGCGATAGGAAAACAAATGAAAATGGATGCAGCAGTTGGACAGCTCACAGCTGGTGGACAGCAGAGGGGAGCGTTGCCCTTCAATGGCAGATGGCTACACAGCACAGTGTGACCTCTCGCTCCCATGCTACTCTTTTCTCATCTAGTTAAAATTGGTCTTGTTAATTTGGTGTTTCATGACTTATTAATGAACGTCTCTTGTCATTAGAGATTGTTGGGGAGCGTCAAACATTGAACTGATCTTAGAATAACACTTTGCTATTATGTTCAAACAATTAGACATTTACCCGCACATACTGATCAACATGTGTATGATATGTCAACCGTCAGTACAATATATAATATTTGCAGAGAAATTTGTTTGACACCTCCTGCATTCTTCTGCCGAATTATAAGCATCTAAAATTAAAACTAAATTTTAAAAATATAAATGTTACTATTCTTTCACCCTGTATTGAATTGTAATGTTATTCTAGCAAGTCTTGCAGTGTTGTTTGCGTGAAGGTGTGTGATCACAACTCTTCTTTTGTATAATTTGCCATTAAAATACTTGGTCAACAGTAGCCTTTTCATGACTCATAATGTCCCCTTAAATTATTTCTGGCAAGGGAAATTCCTCAGCGACCTAGCTACCGCGTAAAATGATACAAACCAAAAACAAAGGCATCAGTTTGCTTTTTTTATTTTACAAGATAGAGGCTCATTTGTAAAAAGAAATGGAATAAATGGAATTATTGTCCACATCCAGAAATATTATCTTCCGGAAGCAGCCTTTAATCTCTCCCCGGTTTGGGCACGTTTGTGATAGGGATTGAATTCTTCCCCTTTCTTTACTTTTAATGTTTCTGGCACACGTCCCAGCCGCCTGCAGAAAGCAATTGGTCGAGGAGAAAGTAAGTTATCCTCACCCCAAGTAAAGTGAGGTGAAAATAATTATCCAACAGAGACCCCTGCCTCCTGGGTGATTTGTTTTACTTACTCGCTGCTGGAGATCTCCATATATCATAACAGGTAGGAAAGTAGCTCAACAAGAGAAACCCAGAAACCAGCCAAATAAAACAGGCACAATTGACTTTGGACACCGGCTGTGACTTTAACCACCTTAAAATTGTTGTTTTTTTGGCCTTTGCCTATGGGTGATCTGGTGCTGGGGAAGGAGCCAGCTGGGAACTGTCTGCCATACAAACTGGCCAAACCCTCCCTCCTACCTGCGGTGTTCTTTTCCTTTAACAAGGCTCAAGGTTCAGCTTTGCTGTCATTATACAGTAGAGGAAGGCTCTTGGCTACACACACTGAAAATGAATAAAGACATTATCAAATATTTCAAATATATTGATATGTGGTGACCTAAAAACGTGAGGTAGGAATAGGGATGGTGCATAAAAATACCAGATTGATAATATGGCAGGCCTCATTAATGTGTCTGAGATTTGTCGTCAAGCGCAAACGTATTTCCTGTCTTTCTTCATAAACCGCTGTTTTTTTGTCTAAAGTTTAGTATGTCTGTAGATTGGTATCCGGTTTTTATGAAGAAAATGAGGAAATGCATTCTTGTGAAACACAGCCAGGTACTCAAAAATGTTCCAATAATGCCATATATGCAGGGGCGAGGGTGCTGGGTGCAGTTAAACTGCTGGAAAAGAGTGGACTATTATGCTTTTGTTAAAACTTCTGGGCATCAGTCATACATCGGTGAAAATAAAACCAATTCATACCTTTCTACAGTGTGTCTTATTGGTAGAGTTGTTGGATTGTGAACAGATAGTGCAGGTCCTTGTCAAATGTATGGCATTGAAAATGAAACCACAGGGCAGCAAGTCTCAAGTGGCACTGTTTAACTGCCCCTGCTCTGACAAGCAGCCAATACAAACACTTCTCAGGTTGTAATAGTTTTACGGTTATTATATTGAGGTTGGCAGGGCATAACGCCTCTAAGACTGTGCAAACCTAATTTAATTTTCCAAGACCTTTTTTATTTGTCTGTCCAAAGAAAGTTATAATTGCCCGACTCTGGAATTGACTGTCATTAATGGGAGAACTTCAAAGTCAGCTGCTGACATGGCGATAGAATTAACTTATTATCTGCTTATGGTTTAATACTGAATATATAGAATCATGTGAAGTACAATTGGGCGACATTTTAATTTATACTCTCTGAGTAGTCCAGGCAGTAAGTGTACATGCATGCACATCACCCACACCACTTAAAATCATAAGGCTTTTTCCGTAAGTACATGTTTTAGAAAGATGTTGAGTCTAAACAGACATTCAAATTGTTTCTGTCAAATAGTTAATGGGCCTCTTTCATTTTGATATGTTGGTGCTTGTGCGGTATGGAAAGTATTTGTACGTTCAAGTCCTTACTCCGTATCTGCAGTATGAACTTTATATGAGGCCAATTGAAAATAAGAGGGCCAGCAAATGTGAAATGAGCCCATAAAGAGAAGGTAATTTCAACAGCAAACACCTTCTCTGACACAGTTTTGTGCCTTTCAATTAATTCAGGAGAAATTCACGAGCTGATAAAACATAGCCGAACAGAGGGCGGAAAATATGTTAGGAAACCAACGCTTCTATGAAATCTCTTCCTTTTGTTGTTTTTTCACAGTCCAGAGAAAACAGCGAGCTACATGACATTTAAACTGACACTTTAATTACTAGAGGTTAATGGACCACTAACACCAGACTGTGATGTGGCTGTAACTCAAGGTGCCCGCACAATGAGAAAAGAGGAAAATGTGTGCCGTGGTAAAATTGTTCCACACGCACTGGACATGCTGTGACAGATAGTGTAAGACTAATGCGTAACGTATGAGCTGATGAAATTGAAAACATGAAGGTTCACAGCGCAGATTTAAAGGATTGGAAATATGTGAAAAACCTATGAGTTTTTTCTCTGACATTTTGGCTGTTTTTCCATGCAGGAGTACAGTAAAGCAAGTGCACATGTCAAATATGATCACATTTAATACAGAAGCTAATGCATGTAATGTTTGTCATATGATTGTTTAAAGCAACTATGACATGACTTACTTTGTGACATAAAACATGAAAAAAGACAGATAATATAAACTAGTGTGCTAGTGTTTCATGTGTTACTGGTGAGGACCGATGAATGATAATAAACATCGATGTTCCCGTTAGATGTATTGTGCCACAATCACAATTTTACAATCAAAAGAACAACACTACAAAAAAAGTGCATCACAAAGCAACGTCAGCACAGATTAGACTAATTAAAAGCAAGAATCTGAATTAAACTCAAACAATCAAAAAATAATGAATTTGTTACCTTTAGCTGGAAGTTTATAAAATGTGTGTATGCACCTCCGCCGTGGGCATACATCTGCAACTCTTTACCTTGACACTGTTGTGGCCTAATTGTAGGCGACCTAACACCGAATCAAGCGTTGATTTTATTTGCGCCCTCATTCAGCTTCCTTGAGTAGAAGCACAAATATGCCTCTTCATAGCCTTCATTTAGTCAACCCACTGCTTGGGGCTAACTTGGGTGGTAAGGTTATGTGCAAAGCTGTTTTGTGGTTTGCGGTGGACACTCTCCTCTTGGATTATCACAGTCTGGTCGCGAACCAAGAGAAGCAGAAGCAGACATGCCTTTCCCAGATCCAGAGCAGTCTTAAAATCCCCAGGCTCCTATTACGACCACCTCAGCCATCCCCGGTGCACCAGCATAATCACAGCTCTGTGTTTTCCCAGAGAAAAATAAGGGAATAGCTGAAGATTTTTTGTTTCTCCACAATAGTGATGAGAATTCTGCTGACATATACTTTTTATGTGCCCACGTGTATCCGTCTTTAAACCACAAGTTGAGTATTCAGAGAATGAATATTAGAGTATAGGATGTTCAAACGCAGCAACGGCATTTTCCTGAAATATAATCAATACTTTCGCCACCAGCAGTACCAAAAAATGTCCGTGTTCAGTACCCAACTTTTACATAAAACGTGTTGAATGAAAAGTTACAGGAGCCCACAAACACTAACGTCCTGCTGCCCTACTTGACGCACTTACCAAACTCAGCTGTGCAGGATTTTGTCTTTTCCTTCCAGAGTGTGGAGTTAGCAAGAATTGGGTACATACAGAAGGGTCAAATGTGGTAAATAAACACCGGTCGCTGTTTATTCATCTTGCATATGGATTTTAGTGCCTGTTTGATCTGCAAAGGCCTTGGGCGCGCTCCAGTCAAACTGGGCGACTCATCCTTTAGTGCAGGGCTCCAAATAAAACTGAGCGGCCTGGCCAAGCAAAACCCACTACAGAGCTATTTTCCACCATCTGTGTGGCCAGGCAAAATACAAGGAAACCATTTATACCATGAGAACTTTCTGAATTAACACAAAATAGATCACTTAGAATGACAGGCCAATTGACACAGTGTCACGGCCCTTCCTAAAGTTGTCCATTTCCTCTGTGGGGGCAAGGGAAAAGCATTACTCTGCACATCCGCACGTCCTCCCTGTCTGGACCTTCCTGAACTGAAAACATTGGGTTTTTAACCAGTCTATAACACCCTGAGTTCCCACATTGGTTCAAGATCTTCCAGTTCTCTTGCCAGATATTCTCCTTCACACTGGTGCTGTGTTCACCTGCTGCCAAAGTCTCCCAGCTGCTCATGCTGGCCGCAACAGGGACGACTCTCTTCAGTGTGGATGCAGCGGCAGGGTCCTCAGGGCCTCACGGAGGGACTCTATCCCGACTATCCTCTTTCAAAGAGGACTGAAGAGGACCACAAAATACCCTCTCCCAGCTGCTTGCATCGAAACCCAACACCGGCTGGGCTCTGAGAGAGCAGTCAGCACAGGAAAGCCACGGATTATGGCCTCCACTGTCACACCGTCTTCAGTGAGTCCACTGTCGCCCTTGGCTGCCAGTCCGTCCTGTACTCTGAGAAAAGACAGAAGATTTCAAGGTTATTAAACATTATTGTTCCATACATTGCACTTTCCCGTTAATGGAGCTGCAGTTACTTTCCAAGTGCATATTTGGCTGTTTGGCGACGAATGTGACTGAGTTTCATTTCAGCTACATTCTTTCCATGCTGTATTTTCATTTAGGCAGGGGCACGGCTCTGCCTTGAAACTCTATGACAGGGCTGCTCCAGTACCTCAGCGAGTGCAATGAAAAGAGTCTTTATCTGCCATTCAAATTGGCCAAACTAATTTTCCTGGAATGGCACCTTGCCAGAAACACTTAGCGTCTACTCAAAACATAAATAATTTTAACAGGGTGTGTATCCACCTGCTCAATTGCCCTTTTCTGTGTAAAACATAACCTTATCATTCTGAATTTTCCATGCATTTTCAAACAGCCAAAGCACTGGGATTTTACATCTGGTGAATAAATGGATTATGGTCTTTCGCCATAAAATACCATTTAATTAATGTTCCTACAGCAATATCTCCGGTGAACAAACCCTCCTGTAAATCTCACGGTTTTGGTTTTTGCTCCTGGAAGAACAAAGTGCTTAATGAATCAAGAACTTGGCAGCAGTCATCGGTCACATTGATAACAGCAACATTTGAGGCAGTGATCAAACCTGCACTGCTAAATACCCTGAAGGACTTTAACAAATGCAACACAAGAACTTACCTGGTTGACATCGGTGCAGTATCATGTTGAAATTCCGTAAAGGTCAGGCAGACACACGGTTCAAAGACAACATATGGTGTGAAGCTGCAGTGTGAGACCAACTGTGCACTATGCAGAGGGCTATATTTCACTCCACAAACGTCTAAAACTGTCCTCAACTGTGACCAGAAGTCTACCGTTGCGGCATGTGATGAAGAAAATCATATTGACAAGAGTGACAGGCATGAAACAAATTACACAAACTTGATGGAGGGAAAAATTGGAATTGGAGGTTGTGTAAACGAGTTGCTGTTGACTCTGCTGGGCGAGCAGCTGGCGAGCCGTCAAGGTGAAGTGAACAGGGCAGGAACAGCAACATACTGCCATCGCACTTCTGCCCCCGAATGCTAAGTACTTAATAAAATGCAGAAGAGCACCAAAGCTAGAAGTTTGATATGCACATGTTTAGGTTAAATCTATTAAGAATTTAATTTCAAATCTGGAGCTCTAAATTGTCATGTACTAAAAAATAACCGTTGTAAATATTTGCACTTAATATTTACATTCAGCATTTTTTTTTACTAGTTTCCACTTTAAAACGCCTGCAAGTTGCAAGTGAGACAGAGAGAGAGAGAATGTGAGCACAGATTGTACCCAGCTATGAGATGGTGTGTTTGTGCACATTCCTGGAAGCCACAGCTCCCGTTGGCAGGTTGACTTTCTGAGCCTGTTAGTTCTCTCAGCTCCACATGTTTATGTCTTGGGTTTCTCTCCTTCTCCCTCCCTCTCCAAATATTTTCTAATGCCACTGAAGAATGTTTGAATGTTGTTGAAGTAGTGGAGCGGTTATATCCAATGAGCAGGATCGCTGTTTTGTTTTTTTTGTTCTTTCAGCTGATGCTTTATGAAGCGGCTGTGCTCCTTAATTCCACTATGAGACCACGAGCAAATGTTTGCGTGAGGATTCACCATCTTCATCAAATGATCTATTGTAGTGTAAATGTAAACATGTGCCATGATTTATTTCTATAAGTGACTTTGCCTCTGGATTAACTTGAATGACTTCTTTGTTGAGTAGAAAAAAATGTTGGCTAAAATTAAAAGTTGTGGTGTAATGGAGGCTCTCTGTTGGTTCTCTTGCTGATGAGCTCGGAGTGGGTCTGCAGTGCCTCCTTCTCATTTATATTCTTGTGTTTTTCATACATAAATTAACAGAAACCACACGGTGTGGCCACGACGTGACAGCGAAGGTGAAAACTACACAGCCACAATGTAGAGACCAAACCTTACAGGGCTCTGGTACTCAAGTTAGATGAGGACCTAATTAGAGCTGAAGCATCTAGTCAGTCAGTGTGACATCAATGTTAAAGGAATAGTTTGACATTTTGGCAACACAAGAACTCTCATGTCTGTGTGTTAAGTATAGCTGAAGGCAAATAGTTAAGCTTAGCATAAAGAGGGATGAGAAACAGCTACCCTGCCTCTCTCTCTTTGCTGGTGTGTGCAGTTTCCCAACAAGAAATATTCAGCATTCATTTTTGTTCACAGATTAAACTAATTGGATGTTATGCAGCTATTGTCCCCTGTAGTTAAGCAAAGCTAAAGGTCTCCTAGCTTAGAAAAAAGTCCTTTATAAGTTAGTTACTTTAGAGTGACGTGATTATAAAAGTTTAATATAACAACCAGTCTAATAAAAATAGCTTCTTATTGGAATTATTATTATCGTGTTGTTCTTTTCCACAGGCAGGCCGCACTCAATTTCAAATGTTGGATTTTTTATGCTGAATGTATCCCTCCTCAGGTAGCTGAGAGGGTTTTATTTTTTCTCTTCAGACGAGTTTCCTTCTTTCTCACAGAAAGTCTGTCTCCTCTGAAACACAGTGGGCGGAGAGGACACATCTGCTGCAGCTGTGCAGACGCAGTGCTGATGGATACTGCAGGTAAACTTGCTTATTACTGCACTGGAATTGAAGGCCTGCGGCTGCCAACAAAGATAAATGTACAAACACACTGTGATAAACAAGGCAGAAATGCTTCAACGTGACTGCATATTTAAGATCTGTATGAACTGTGTATTTGAGGGTGATTCAATGTGTGTGCACAGCTGGCACTCTTCAGTACATTTAGATGCATGTAGTTGGTATATGTCTCATTGCAGTGGACTGCTGGGTGCCTGCTCTGGACTATTTCAGGTGCTGCCAACATCCCAGAGTGGAATATTTACCTTCCACTCTTAAAACTGAGGAAGGGGAAGGCAATATCTATCTAACACTAACCTATGTATTCGGCAGCTGTTTGCTCAGGTGAGAAAGTCAATTAAGACTCTTTCTGCTTATTCAGAAGTTAACTGGTGGTATAATGAAATGTTCATCCTGTGAAAGCAGTGATTCGGAGTTAAAAACTCCTGTAATGAAAAACACACTCACCTTGTCATGTAGATGTAAAAATATTTGATTGCTTTTGGACTTGTCTAGTTAATGCCGAATTAGCATGAAAAGTTGACTAATGAATAATATATGTACCCAATGTATTATTTGTTGATGCAACATAACGTTCTATTAAATAGAAATAAATTACCTCAATCAAACAAGCAGCTATAAACACTTTTACAACACCGCTTTACAGGAGTTTGTCTTTACAAGTTTCCCTCAACGAGAGGAAATGCAGAGACTGGCCTCTACGTTCAAGCACTAGAAGAACAAAAACGTTTGTTGGAACAAGTAAATTCATAACAGTCAACCTGTCGGTGACATTTTCCACTCTGAACATGAGCCACACGGGAAAATGCATATGAGCGACCAAACAGCTGTTATTACAGGCCTGCAGCAATTTAGTCATGCATTAAAAGAGAAAAACGTTGAGGCAGTTGTTTACTTGATGTCATACATGACAGGCCATTCTGTGTGAGACAGACGTGACGGAGAGACAGTGAGGCAGCCACCATCTCGTATTTGGGATCAAAAAAAAGTTGTTTTTGGAACACTTAACAAGAGTGAACTTGTAAAAAAATTTACAGACTGAGGTGTTACATTCTCAACAAAATAATGCCAATCAAGACACATGGAATACATTCTTAGACACACCAAAGACTTTGGTTTCCGCCCACTTCGGCTCTTTAAAAACAGGATACAGACGGAGGATTGAACCCATAATTCATAGACGTGTACTTATTTGGGGATGAAAAGTAAGGTCCATATTGACATTAAAGCCTGTCTGTGCCACCAGCTGATCAAAGTATGCCACTAACAAACTAAAGTTTGTTGAGAGATTCACAATCGAATTATAATAACTATTCAGCAACTGCCATATTCTGGACAAAATTTGTATTTGGCCAATATTTTATGATCAAATAAAAATGGATTCTCTGTTTTTAATGAACTTCTGCCGTAATTAGTTTTCTCTCTGACTAGATTAAAATAGAGCTTTCCATCTCTTATTTGCCATAGGAGAAGTCTTCCGCTCTGCATCCAAGAACGCAAAGACCTTTGACATAAAATAACACGCTGCTCCTTCCAGACGTGCCCAAACATACACTCACAAAACCACACAGGCTTTGGCATCGGCTTGTCTCCATTCATCTGTACAAGTCGTTAGTGCTGAGTCACAGAAAGCTATAGGCTCTGCACTATAAAGAGGTATAGCGGAGAACATAAACTGTTGGATGCAAAATAAGGCTGTAAAATATATTGGCTCTGCGGTCTTGGCTTTGGTGCACGGAGAGGGATCTTGTTCTAAGACGGACAGACAGAACAGCAGTTACCACATTCACACCATTTACTCATGCAGCAGTCATACCCCGTCATGTATTTCGTAAGTAGTTAAGCTTGGAGTGACTAAGCTTGTAATGTATGGCATCAGTCTTTGTGTGATGCATTGCTAACTCACAAAAGAGACAGATCCTTTTTTGTGTACAAAATGTGGCCCACTATTTGAGTTAAAATTCTTGTTTGGAAGGTGACGCCATTTAAGCTCTGCTTTGCTTTCCCTCCCTCCGTATGTTTGTACAGGTGCACATGTGATGCATGTGTTACAGCCACTGTGTGACTGAGCACTGACCCACGCCGGCCCTGCTGGCACTGTCCCGAGCTGAGAGGCCGTGAGGTGGAGCAACAAACCGCCCTCTGTGACTGAAAGAAGCCATACTTTTAATTTAAGGGCCTGACGAGCTCTTTGATTAACTAAATCAATCAGATACTTCACAGATTTAAACAATTTTATTTATATACAGTATATATCATATGTATTGACAGTATATATGTTTGAATGGCCTGTGCTGTCATTAACCCCTGTGGTGACCCAACACCACCTGTAACAAAGGAGTTTTAAACACAGCCAGAGTAATGGGTGGCAGAAACAATCGGCATGGTAACCATCAGAGCGAGGGGGCCTGATGAGCGACGGGGAGTGGGGCCCCGGAGTCTGGCAGCAGCTTGATTAATCCTAGACTTTGGGGTTGGCTTACATCGACTCGTGTGCCAACTCAAGCATATTAAGAGCTGGAGCATCAACAGTCGAGCGTGTCCCCATGTGGTCCCCACGCTGACTCCATTTCCATACCACATCACTTTTTTGATACAACCTTAAAAGGTACAGGTTGGATATATCAAACATCAAAGAGGCTTAAGATGGATGATAATTTCATGGCAGGGCGCCGGAGAGAAGAGTGCTTCTGCTTTGAGGTGTATACAAACCTCCTGCTTACTGGATCTTCTTTTCCTCTAAATCCGCTGCTTTAATATGTTTGGTTCAACATTATAAATGAATCTTAATTTATATGTACCAAAATCCAAACAGGCCACTAGATGTCTCCTGTCACTGCTCAAATATCCAGGCTCTAGCTCAACAAGGAGACTTGCATTACCATCACTGAATGCCGAGCATTGCACCATTCAGCCAAGGAAAGCAGATACGACTCCATGTGCTGAAAATATATTTAAGTAGATGAGGTGAGGAATAAATGTGACAGATGTAGTCATCCCTGAAACAGGTTGTCATCACCATAACAGTAAGTGTGTGTCACAGCGCAACAGGCGTTCTGCACCCCATAAAGAAGAGCGGAGGTTCAATCCATGAAGCGAAGAAAACAAGCGAAAGGAACTTCTTTACCATTTTCTGGCTGCTCTTTATTAATTTGCTAACATGACATGGACGAGCATTGGGCACCCAATCATATACAAGTAGAAATACATTGCAAACAAAAGGATTTAAAGAGCTACTTACTGAATCAAACTGAATCAAGCAATTGTTCAGTCCAGCCCAACAGTCGACATTCTTCTCTCTGGGTCGCCCATTCGGGGCTGGGAGAGGTGTGTGAATTCGTTTCCCTGCCAGCTTCCTGTGCAGCAGCTCTCAGTCCGCCATCATGCATCTTAATGGCCTAAATGACTGCACTGCATGTGATGATGGCTGCAGAAAGGGTTACCACACCTGAAAAGCTGACAGGGAACGGAGGCGGATGGTTGCTGGCAGAAGTCAAACACGCCGCTTCTGGACAGGGAACAGTCATTTCGGCCACAGCGGTGGAGAGATTGTCTACATTCTGGGATGACGCCAACCATTTTTGGGTGAGTGCCGGTTTTGACGGCGCTGAAAGGGAATATTCTCACAGGCTGACATAACTGTCCAAAAACAATAGTGACAGTTGAGCCTCAGAGGAGGTTTGTCGGGGCTTTAGGGTTCAGGCTGAGTCTCTTTGACCTCAAACTGCAGGCGGATGGGAAAGTAGGTGCAGCTCCACATCGGAAACTAAACGGACAACTTCCCTGAATGTCTGCGACACTGGGTGGGGGTGAAGGGTGAGGCTGCAGTATATCAAATTTAGCAGTAAAATCTAAATACATGTCAACATTAAAAATAAAGTCACCCTTAAAGGAATGCTTGAGCTCGACACAACCCAGGTCCTTTTTTCGACTTGCAGCAGACGTTGCACTCGGAACATGAGACAACATACCGGGAGGTCAGTGCTTCGAGGGAAAGTGACACCTTTGAGCTGTAATAAATATACTTTAAAACATTTTTGTTGAATGCAGAATTTCCTTCACAAGTCCAACAGCTGAAATGCAGCAGCGCCATTAGTACATTTGAACATCCAGATGCTCCCCATCCCAGCTGATCCCTTGACAGACCCTGACTGTGCAATTGTATGGGGAAAAGAAAGCTCGAAAAACTGGTTAGAAAATTCCAGATCTGCACGCGGTTTATCGGTGCAGCATCCAAAACCACTACTAGGTCTGCATCAGATGGAGGTCTGGCCAACGATCACTGAAGCATGAGCTAGCCCGTTCAAAAGAGGCTCAGGCAAATTGGTGTCAGCTGTGGAGTTCCTCGGATATTTGAAGTGCACCTCCAAAAACGTTCTTTTTGTTTCTTTTAACGTTGCTTTGGATGAAGCCATTTTGCCTCAGTTTGATAAGAATGTGTTCCCTGCTGTTTCTGTTTGCACAAGCTGAAGTAACATTTTGGTGCATCTCTGTGAGCAAAGTGAAGGGGTTGCTGGAGGCTGCTGCAGCACAGATTGTGTGTCTGGGACTAGGAGCAGGGCTCCTTCCTGCCTCTCACAGGATGTGGGGTATCCTGTCTGGCAGCACAGAAGAAGGGCGCCCCGGCTTCAAAGGCAAGAGGAAGTGGTCAGGAGATGGAGCGAGGTAGGCAGGACAGGGGGAGGGGGCAGACAAGGCCAGAGAATAAGCCCTGCAGCGGTGAATGGTCTTACTTGAATTCAGGACATTTCAACATGAACTCGATGAGAACACATGTTAACGTCGTAAAACCCTTTTGCCTCAATGTAGTTAAAAGAAAACAAAAGGATAACCCTAAAAGCACCACTGTCTATTCAATGTTGTCAATAGCACTGCAATGCTCATAATGGGAGTTAAGTTTCCTTCCTATAGTCCCTTGTTCTGTTTACAAGGGAGGGAGCTCTTTGAAAGACTCTTGCAAATCTTGACTTCAAAAATATGTGCAGTTGGCAGTGTAGGACGCACCCTGCATCTGAGTCATGCTGCACTCAGTGACAAATGTGCCCAGAGGCATTCATGTATGCACATATAGCAAACAAATGGGAGAGGAATGATAAGTGTCAAAGGGTTGATCATCGAATGAAAGAAGGAGGACTAAATGTGGAGGGGGAGTGTTCTCCTAATTATACATGTTAGAGTAAAGTGCGGGGCTTTTAAACTCATTACTCTCTCCTGTAATTGTATGCTTGTCTTTATGCAGGAGACCAAAGGCTGAAGCAGAGTAGGAATCAAGTAATTATCACTTAAAGGATAAAGCATCTTTGCTTGCTTTCACTGTAAACCCGTTTTCTTCTCCACATGTGTTTGACATTAGCCTCGCTATGCCCCACATTGGTAATTCTTAGACCACTAAGAGGGCCTGAATTAAAGGAGGCCAGAGGCACAAGGGAGCCTATTTATAGACCTGATTCAACGAGCTGCCGCTAATTAGGCAGCTTCATCACGTAACGATAATTGTATGAACGGTTAATAATTGATGCACAGGGAAAGAGATGTTCAATATAGATGTTTGGAAATGGCAAATGTAAAACCTAAAGTTATTACGGTAAATCTGATAATGCAGGTAGCTGACCGAGAGCAACATTAGCATTGAAATTATAGAATGTTATTACCCATGTTAACTCTTTAATTCATCCTAAACCTATGAGCATAAATATATAAAAATAAATTGTGCAGTAAACTCGAGCCAGAAAAAAGAATAATATTCCATCCCATTACAGTTCCAAAATCTACTAATGTTGCATATGGTGCGGCTAAAATATTTGGCTCCTTTATTATTTAGTCTGTGGCTTGAAGATGTTGGAGTTACTCTTCTCAAGAGTAGAAACGTTGGAATAACAAAATGCTCTTGATGGTAGAACCTCCTGTTAGATACTGCCGGTGTTTTAACATGCCCAACAACAATGTGCTGAGCTTCATAAAATATGAACATAATGACATGAATATTTACAACCAAACACCATTCAGGCGGCACGGTCTTTTTCATATGTACGTTTTCTTACCATCGTGCCATTGACATGCTGGATGCACATTTTTTTACTCTTACTTAATTGAATGAGAGCCAGCATTGAAAGAAAACATTGAGATTTATTTTTTCAAACGTACGTTTTTTCACGACCATGCCCCCTAATATGACAATAGTAAGGATTTCATGACTTTTTTGCATTTTTCTTTCAAATGTTTTTTTTGTAAAATTGAATCTTTTTTAGACATTCTTTGACATGCTGGATACCCTTTGTTTTGGGGTGGAGTTCATTGTATTCAAATGTTTGTTTTTGGAACACAGAACAGAATCTTTTTTAGACGTTCTTTGATATGCTGGATGCACATTGGTTCACTTGAGCGAATCCGAGCTAGTATTGAAATTACTCAGCCTTTCCAGAGGGGTCATTGGGTGGAGTCGAACCCGAGTCATTGGTGTGGGAGGTGAGAGTGCTAATTGGTGTGTGAGGTGAGAGTGCTAACCACTACACCACTGTGTCCCCTCAAATGTCTCTTATGACTCCATTTTAGAATATAATCAGATTTCTTTTCAAACATAAGTTTTTTTCTCCACTAGGCTCCCTAATATGACTATAGTAAGGATTTCATGACTTTTTTGCAAAAAAATGTTGTTTGTTTTTTTCAAATGTTTTCTTTGTAAAATGGAATCTTTTTTAGACATTCTTTGACGTGCTGGATACACTTTGTTTTTGGGTGGAGTACATGGTATTTAAATGTTTGTTTGATATGCTGGATGCTCTTATGATTCCATTTTAGAAAATATTCAGATTTCTTTTCAAACATATGTTTTTTCACCACCGAGCCCCCTAATATGACTATTGTAAGGATTTCATGACTTTTTACCAAAATATCAAATGTTTGTTTTTGGAACACAAAACCTTTTTTTAAATGTTCTTTGACAAGCCGTTTATAGTGGTTAGCACTGTCGGCTAAGAGCCATAGTGCCTTGGGTTTTACTCCACCCAACAGCGGTTCTCTGTAGAGAAAGTCCGATGCTGGCTGGGATTTACTCCAGTGATTGTAAACAACAAAGTATGTATCTAGTAAGAGACAATATTTTCAAAATATTTGTAAAATGGGCTAAATGGTAAAATGCCCAAATTTGAAAAGAATCAGGTTCAAAAAATTCAAAATTCAAAAACATCTTTCAAAATAGGTTAAAATGCATATTTTCAACAATTATCTTTATCAAAAATTATGAAAAAAGTAGGGTGTGTTCAGGGGTTCCATGTTTACATATGTTACAATATTGGTGAAGGCAGGCCAATTCATTTGTAAATGATGTGTCTCTCAGATTAACCACACCCCTTGCATTAAGTTCATTATCCCATATCCTCTCAAGACAATAAGATATCAACTCGATTTTTATGATTCAGGTGGACCAATTGAACTAATAATGACCCACAGAAAATTTAGGAGGAATTAGCAAAAATGTGCTTTTTTACAAAATTCAAAATGGCATTTGGTATGCCAAATTTCTAGTCAATCGTACAGCTTCCCTTGTCACCTATGTGAAGATATTCACAATCAATGAATATTTTTTATTGCACAATAAATTCCTATATCGTCCCATCTATGGAACTCGTGACGTTTTACTGAATAACAGCTAAAGGAATTATGTACATACATATAGAAGAAACACAAAAGTCCTTTTTTTTTCTACATTACATTTTTTTCTTAAAATATGTAAATAAAATCTTGGCCCTGATTATGGGAACTGGGAGTGGAATTTTCAGCTCCATTTTGTCCGGCAGCTGTTGGCCACAGCAGGATTTTGCCCCTGCATGCAGGGCCACACACTGTGGCGAGCTCATATAACTATCACTGTGGTTGGAGAAAGGTAGAGGATGAACTCTGTTCTGCGGCAATGCCTGAATTTACATTATTTTCATATATGCATTGCAGGAATTTCTCCACAATGTGTACGTGTGTAATGCTGCGTTCACACCAAAATCAAGCACATTTTTGCAACAATCTACTTGTGCGAGATTACTTGCCCGTAATTTGCCTTCATTTTTTGCAAAGGGGGAAATATTTCAACTTTGGTGAAAAAGCAAATTTTTCGCTCTGCTCAATTTGCTTTTTCGTGTCTTTTGCGTCATGTCATACAAGTCATCCGCGCCGCCCGTTGAAAATTTGCTTCCTCCGCAACGATTCGCGTCTGTGCATTGACTGGAATCTACCCGCGGAAATAATTTGCTTCACTGCAGGGTGGACCTGCATATTGGGGTGAAGTTGTTCTCACTTGCTGACCAGGTCGGTGTTTATAACAAGGGAAAATACAGTTACTGCTGTGAAGGATGCTGCTCTGCACAAAGACTGATTCACAGGGCGGATGACAACATGTGCGCAGCACATGGCGAGTTTGTGGCAGATTGAGAGCCACGGGCTAAAGAGGCCCACGGAGACACACATGTGCATAAATACCCGTGTTCTCGTACATTCTCCACTTTAACAAGGGGTTGAAGCTTTGCGATATTACTTTGCTTTACAGGTAGAACTCAACGTGTGTGCTTGAGCGCGTGCACGTGTGTGATTGTGGTGAAGAGGGATATCCGGTGGAGTTCCACTGTGTGAAAGTATCATAGAACACCCAGAGAGCTCAGAGAGTTGATTATACCTAATTG